TTAAAAAAAATTAAATTAGAGATGTCGGAGTGAATTGACGAGACCTATACCATACGAAATGGCACAGAATGAAATTTCAGATCCGCAAGTTTCGCCTTTTTTGGAGCCAAATTGCGCCCGTACCAGGCCGAACACTTTGATATTATACTAGGCACCGGTTTAAAAAAAATTAAATTAGAGATGTCGGAGTGAATTGACGAGACCTATACCATACGAAATGGCACAGAATAAAATTTCAGACCCGCAAGTTTCGCCTTTTTTGGAGCCAAATTGCGCCCGTACCAGGCCGAACACTTTGATATTATACTAGGCACCGGTTTAAAAAAAATTAAATTAGAGATGTCGGAGTGAATTGACGAGACCTATACCATACGAAATGGCACAGAATGAAATTTCAGATCCGCAAGTTTCGCCTTTTTTGGAGCCAAATTGCGCCCGTACCAGGCCGAACACTTTGATATTATACTAGGCACCGGTTTAAAAAAAATTAAATTAGAGATGTCGGAGTGAATTGACGAGACCTATACCATACGAAATGGCACAGAATGAAATTTCAGATCCGCAAGTTTCGCCTTTTTTGGAGCCAAATTGCGCCCGTACCAGGCCGAACACTTTGATATTATACTAGGCACCGGTTTAAAAAAATTAAGTTAGAGATGTCGGAGTGAATTGACGAGACCTACACCATTTGAAATGGCACAGAATGAAATTTCAGATCCGCAAGTTTCGCCTTTTTTGGAGCCAAATTGCGCCCGTACCAGGCCGAACACTTTGATATTATACTAGGCACCGGTTTAAAAAAATTAAATTAGAGATGTCGGAGTGAATTGACGAGACCTATACCATACGAAATGGCACAGAATAAAATTTCAGATCCGCAAGTTTCGCCTTTTTTGGAGCCAAATTGCGCCCGTACCAGGCCGAACACTTTGATATTATACTAGGCACCGGTTTAAAAAAAATTAAATTAGAGATGTCGGAGTGAATTGACGAGACCTACACCATTTGAAATGGCACAGAATAAAATTTCAGATCCGCAAGTTTCGCCTTTTTTGGAGCCAAATTGCGCCCGTACCAGGCCGAACACTTTGATATTATACTAGGCACCGGTTTAAAAAAATTAAATTAGAGATGTCGGAGTGAATTGACGAGACCTACACCATTTGAAATGGCACAGAATGAAATTTCAGATCCGCAAGTTTCGCCTTTTTTGGAGCCAAATTGCGCCCGTACCAGGCCGAACACTTTGATATTATACTAGGCACCGGTTTAAAAAAAATTAAATTAGAGATGTCGGAGTGAATTGACGAGACCTACACCATTTGAAATGGCACAGAATGAAATTTCAGATCCGCAAGTTTCGCCTTTTTTGGAGCCAAATTGCGCCCGTACCAGGCCGAACACTTTGATATTATACTAGGCACCGGTTTAAAAAAAATTAAATTAGAGATGTCGGAGTGAATTGACGAGACCTATACCATACGAAATGGCACAGAATAAAATTTCAGATCCGCAAGTTTCGCCTTTTTTGGAGTCAAATTGCGCCCGTACCAGGCCGAACACTTTGATATTATACTAGGCACCGGTTTAAAAAAAATTAAATTAGAGATGTCGGAGTGAATTGACGAGACCTATACCATACGAAATGGCACAGAATAAAATTTCAGATCCGCAAGTTTCGCCTTTTTTGGAGCCAAATTGCGCCCGTACCAGGCCGAACACTTTGATATTATACTAGGCACCGGTTTAAAAAAAATTAAATTAGAGATGTCGGAGTGAATTGACGAGACCTATACCATACGAAATGGCACAGAATAAAATTTCAGATCCGCAAGTTTCGCCTTTTTTGGAGCCAAATTGCGCCCGTACCAGGCCGAACACTTTGATATTATACTAGGCACCGGTTTAAAAAAAATTAAATTAGAGATGTCGGAGTGAATTGACGAGACCTATACCATACGAAATGGCACAGAATAAAATTTCAGACCCGCAAGTTTCGCCTTTTTTGGAGCCAAATTGCGCCCGTACCAGGCCGAACACTTTGATATTATACTAGGCACCGGTTTAAAAAAAATTAAATTAGAGATGTCGGAGTGAATTGACGAGACCTATACCATACGAAATGGCACAGAATAAAATTTCAGATCCGCAAGTTTCGCCTTTTTTGGAGCCAAATTGCGCCCGTACCAGGCCGAACACTTTGATATTATACTAGGCACCGGTTTAAAAAAAATTAAGTTAGAGATGTCGGAGTGAATTGACGAGACCTATACCATTTGAAATGGCACAGAATGAAATTTCAGATCCGCAAGTTTCGCCTTTTTTGGAGCCAAATTGCGCCCGTACCAGGCCGAACACTTTGATATTATATTAGCCACCGGTTTAAAAAAAAATTAAATTAGAGATGTCGGAGTGAATTGACGAGACCTACACCATTTGAAATGGCACAGAATAAAATTTCAGATCCGCAAGTTTCGCCTTTTTTGGAGCCAAATTGCGCCCGTACCAGGCCGAACACTTTGATATTATACTAGGCACCGGTTTAAAAAAAATTAAGTTAGAGATGTCGGAGTGAATTGACGAGACCTATACCATACGAAATGGCACAGAATGAAATTTCAGACCCGCAAGTTTCGCCTTTTTTGGAGCCAAATTGCGCCCGTACCAGGCCGAACACTTTGATATTATACTAGGCACCGGTTTAAAAAAAATTAAATTAGAGATGTCGGAGTGAATTGACGAGACCTATACCATACGAAATGGCACAGAATGAAATTTCAGACCCGCAAGTTTCGCCTTTTTTGGAGCCAAATTGCGCCCGTACCAGGCCGAACACTTTGATATTATACTAGGCACCGGTTTAAAAAAAATTAAATTAGAGATGTCGGAGTGAATTGACGTGACCTATACCATACGAAATGGCACAGAACGACATTTCAGATCCGCAAGTTTCGCCTTTTTTGGAGCCAAATTGCGCCCGTACCAGGCCGAACACTTTGATATTATACTAGGCACCGGTTTAAAAAAAATTAAATTAGAGATGTCGGAGTGAATTGACGAGACCTATACCATACGAAATGGCACAGAATGAAATTTCAGATCCGCAAGTTTCGCCTTTTTTGGAGCCAAATTGCGCCCGTACCAGGCCGAACACTTTGATATTATACCACTTACCGGTTTAAAAAAAATTAAATTAGAGATGTCGGAGTGAATTGACGTGACCTATACCATTTGAAATGGCACAGAATAAAATTTCAGATCCGCAAGTTTCGCCTTTTTTGGAGTCAAATTGCGCCCGTACCAGGCCGAACACTTTGATATTATACTAGGCACCGGTTTAAAAAAAATTAAATTAGAGATGTCGGAGTGAATTGACGAGACCTATACCATACGAAATGGCACAGAATGAAATTTCAGACCCGCAAGTTTCGCCTTTTTTGGAGCCAAATTGCGCCCGTACCAGGCCGAACACTTTGATATTATACTAGGCACCGGTTTAAAAAAAATTAAATTAGAGATGTCGGAGTGAATTGACGAGACCTATACCATACGAAATGGCACAGAATGAGATTTCAGATCCGCAAGTTTCGCCTTTTTTGGAGCCAAATTGCGCCCGTACCAGGCCGAACACTTTGATATTATACTAGGCACCGGTTTAAAAAAATTAAATTAGAGATGTCGGAGTGAATTGACGTGACCTATACCATTTGAAATGGCACAGAATAAAATTTCAGATCCGCAAGTTTCGCCTTTTTTGGAGTCAAATTGCGCCCGTACCAGGCCGAACACTTTGATATTATACTAGGCACCGGTTTAAAAAAATTAAATTAGAGATGTCGGAGTGAATTGACGTGACCTATACCATACGAAATGGCACAGAATGAGATTTCAGATCCGCAAGTTTCGCCTTTTTTGGAGCCAAATTGCGCCCGTACCAGGCCGAACACTTTGATATTATACTAGGCACCGGTTTAAAAAAATTAAATTAGAGATGTCGGAGTGAATTGACGAGACCTATACCATACGAAATGGCACAGAATGAAATTTCAGACCCGCAAGTTTCGCCTTTTTTGGAGCCAAATTGCGCCCGTACCAGGCCGAACACTTTGATATTATACTAGGCACCAGTTTAAAAAAAATTAAATTAGAGATGTCGGAGTGAATTGACGTGACCTATACCATTTGAAATGGCACAGAATAAAATTTCAGATCCGCAAGTTTCGCCTTTTTTGGAGTCAAATTGCGCCCGTATCAGGCCGAACACTTTGATATTATACTAGGCACCGGTTTAAAAAAAATTAAATTAGAGATGTCGGAGTGAATTGACGTGACCTATACCATTTGAAATGGCACAGAATAAGATTTCAGATCCGCAAGTTTCGCCTTTTTTGGAGTCAAATTGCGCCCGTACCAGGCCGAACACTTTGATATTATACTAGGCACCGGTTTAAAAAAAATTAAATTAGAGATGTCGGAGTGAATTGACGTGACCTATACCATTTGAAATGGCACAGAATAAGATTTCAGATCCGCAAGTTTCGCCTTTTTTGGAGTCAAATTGCGCCCGTACCAGGCCGAACACTTTGATATTATACTAGGCACCGGTTTAAAAAAAATTAAATTAGAGATGTCGGAGTGAATTGACAAGACCTATGCCATTCGAAGTGGCACAGAATGAAATTTTGGAACCGCAAGTTTCGCCTTTTTTGGAGCCAAATTGCGCCGTACCGGGCCACGTTTGAGCATTAAGGCTGCTTACATTAGGTTTTTACATGCGATTCATCTTTCAAAATTGCCAATTTCATTTCTTGGTTTCTAGTTTGATGGCAAGGATTCTCGATCGTTATCAAGTCAAAACTACAAACCTTTGATCAAAGGTTTGTAAACTCTGGCGTTTAGAAACCGTCATCGTAAAGCGGTCATCCTTTTCCAATCACTTACTTTCTAATCAGTCTTGCAAGTGCTGCCGCAACAATGTAAGCAATAATTTATTAAAATACTTAAAAGCGAGTGAACAAAGCGCCAAAGATCATCAATAAAATACTGCTGACAACTTGAACCGAGTCATTATTCTGCGCGAATCCAATCTGGTATTTCTCGAATTTGTCATCAACCCTGAGGGCAACACAATATTTCTGGAGAAAATCACTGCCAAACGCAAAATCATATTCGTATTCTGGATACGACGAGTCAATTCGAGCACTGTAAGTCTTGTCCGGATCGTAGTACCAAGAGAATTGTTTGGCGGTCGTTTTGTAAGTTTGGTTTCCGATCGAGAATCCAATATCATGGAAATTTTTCTCGTCCTTAGCGGAATGCTCACTGTAATATTTGTCGCGTATTTTATCGGGAACCTCGGTGTAACGACCGGGAAGTAGTCCGACGATTTGATCCTTAAGAGTCTCCTTCCCAACTTTGATACTAAAAATGTAATGGAAAATACATGTACGCCATAAATAAATTGTATCTTTGAGTAATTTAAGATACTTTTTATCTTGTCAACTGAGTGTTGTGCCTTCTAACTTACTCAGTTTTGAATCTCCATCCACCCTCACTCAATGCGTCGACATATGTGAATTCCTCGCACAGGTTGCCTTTGTATTCGCCGAAAGTAATTGTTCCATCAGACCAGAAGTCGTATCCCCTGCCGGGCTGAAAGAAAACAAAGTCTAATTTTCCTACTAATGTAAATTCTTACCCGACTCATGTAATAATGACCTTCTTGAATAGTGATCTGTTTTACGGATAGTTTCTTCATGATATCCTTGACCACACTTGTCTCCGAATCACCGATTCCAAGGCCGAAAACACCATCATATCTGAAAGTGAATCTCGTGTCTCCTCGTGTTATGACTCCCAATTTTACTGGTAGTTCAATATCGCCAAACTTGATGGTGTCCTCGAAAAGGGTGCCGGCAAAATCTCGGTATCTCCGGAATCGGTCCCTGAACAAGAAGTCCGTCTCACGGCCGCCTGTTTTTCTGAAAACGGAATAGTGGACAACTTGGAAAAATGCCATTGGAACTACGCCTCGACGCTCCTTTCTGAAGCCAAACTTACTCTGCATGATACGTATAAGCATGCGTATTATTTGTGCAGTAAGCGTTTCGATAGTTGCAACTTCCATTGAAAACCCAAGAAAACTGCCGATTTGTGTCCAGCAATACCTTTATGGGCCGGCTCTCATTTCCCAGTGTGAATTCAAAAAACGGGTCATCAAAGATAGAAGCTAAAAGATGTTTAAGATTTCAGTTACGGTTTTGTTTGACTCACTGAATCCATAATGAAACGAGTAATCCGCTACGGCATATGCACAGCATAACAAAATGATGATTGAGATCTTGGGCAGCGTCATTTTAAACACAATGTAAATACAATAGGAAAATCATTTAAAAAGCTCCAGCGATTAATGGAAAGGGACTGATAAGGGCACTCCTTTGTTGACTGGCCGTTGAGTAAGACTCAAGAGAGGAACACAATACAAATCACGTCACAATTTGTAACTATCTATGTATTGCAAATTCTGGCCTAACATAGTAACTGGCAAAGTTCAAACAGTTTATTTATTGTTAGTGTAAATTTCACACAAGTATCCTCAATATTCCAAGGACAAGTGAACTTATTAAAGTTGTTGCAAAACAAATCCTTCTTGCTGAATTCTCCGCAAACCCGATTTGATAATGCACCACAGACTTGTGCGCTCGTAATGCAACACAGTAGTGTTGAAGAAAATCACTTCCAAATGCAAAGTCGTAACCATAGTTAGGATAGGCGATATCGATTATGGGTTCGTAGTAATTGCCCTAAAATTTTGTGTGTCATATTATTTGTCCCTACCGCTTCCACATAATAAAGATAATCGTTTTTGTTTATGCCACAGGTTTTTCCGTCGACTGAGAATGAAATCTCATGGAAGTTTGACTCGTCTGTAGCTTTTTTATCGCTAAAAAGCTCGTTGTAAATGGACAGAGGTACTTGGGTTGGGCGACCAGGAACGAACCCAATTTTTTGGTTGGTTAAAGTCTCGTTTCCAATGTGAACACTGAAACTTTTGAAATCAACACAAGAATTAAGAACGGACGAGGGAGCTAGTTTCGACCGGATCTCATACGAATCTGATGCATAGGAATTTGGCCAGCAAGAATTTGGATATCCGAAAACCCAAACCAATTGTGTATGACGCAAAAAATAACAAATCTAAAGGCTTACTCGGCCCGAAATTGCCATGAAGTCGCGGTCGCATTAACATAGGTAAATGGCCCACATTTGGTGCTTCCTCGAAGTTTGCCAAACACAACGGAGCCTTTGGAAATCATCTCATTTTTGGCGTTTTTCTAAAGTTATATATGTTTAAATAACTGGATACAAAAGTCATAGTAGCTGTAAGATAGTACGTACTCTGGGAATATTATATTTCCCTTCTTGAATTACAATTTGTGCCGTTGAAATGTCGGTCATAATGTTCTTGATGATATTGGTCCTTCCATTGCTAATCCCAAGACCCAAAACCCCGTCCCATTCAAAATTATAGCTGGGGTGGCCGTGATCAACAACAAGCACATCTGTGTGGCATCCTATAGAGTCCACTCTCACAACATCGGTAAACAAAAATCCTCCAAAATTTCGATTGTAATCGTACTTGTCCATCAAAGTTTTGTTGGTTAGTTTACCGTTTGTTTTTCTAAAAATATCGAGATTTCATTGAGAACGTCAGCAAGCCAACTCTTACTTGTAGTCATACAAATAATCGTGCTTATTCTTCGTACATTCAAATCCCTTATCGCCACAGACTTTGTCGAATACCATCGTGTACGGTCGATTTGTGTCCAATAAAACTTTCGCCTCCCGTTTGTCATCACCAAAACGGACAAGAAAAAATGGACTGGATGGATAAGCTACAAGGGATTTTAAAATACCGTTTGATAATTTAAAAATGCTAAATATTAATATATATGGTTATTCAAGATGGAAAGGTTTGTAAATCAAAGCTTAAAACACGATTTCTGAGTGAGTGTAGCAGCCGTGGACATAGAAAAAAATCGATTTTAAGCTTTTGCTTTTAAAATGACCGCAGGCATCCAGTAAACATATTCCTGAAATATTTTTGCCTAATTCTCTCATTAACCTACTGTAATTTACAATTTAATGTTTTTACAGTAATCGACTATTACAGCATAACTACTCACTAGAAATGGCTGAAATTGAGAATACTGATGTTTTCGGGTATGCTCGTCATTGTGAATCCAGAATTTTGGCGGTCGGGTTACTGTAACATACCGCAATATGGTTTCGGCCGAACAAAATCGGCCATAAAAAATTTGTTTCTGAAATGCCGCAGCCGATTTTTACATATGTTAATCAGCGTAAAATTCTGCCCTAGAAACATTTAAAAAAAGTGTAAAAAGTCATCACCCCTTTTTCGTGGTGTAGTGGATTTTGGTCAAATTTAGTAATCCGAAGGTCGCGGGTTCGATCCCCGTGGAAGGAAAATGCGTAAAACTGTACAAAACCTCAAAAAATTGGTTGAGGTGGATTGATTATGTATTCCAGAAGTATGAAAAATTGTATCAAAGTTGATTTCCGAATTTGAAAGCATTTTTTTGATGATGAAACTTGGATTTGGGTTTCCGTGGATTATGGTGCAAATTTAGTCTAGGAAATAGCTAAAGGTGTTTTTAATTAGGTTTTTTAGCCTTCTGAATTCAATGGACCAGGGTTTTTGGCTATAGGATTACTGTAACATAGACAAACCGGATTTCGGCCGCTTAAAATCGGCCGTAAAACGGTTGTTTCTAAGCACACGCAGCTAATTCCTCAATTGTTGGAATCAGCGTGAAATTCTGCTCTAGAATCATTAAATATAATATCCTAACTGGTCGCACAAATTCCAAGGATTTTTTCGAGCAGATTAGAATTTTTTCAGTAAAAAAAAGTCATCCGTGGAAATCGAAAAAAAAAATCTGAGATTTTGGTCTAGAAATGTTTGCATACGTTGATGAAACTTAGCCTCAAAATATTTTTGGCTAATTCTTTCGCTAATATAGTTTTATTTACAATTTCCAAGTTTTAAAGTAAGTCACTACTGAAAAAAAAGTATTCAACCAATAAGCCATTGTTTAGGTGAAAATTGGGTGAAATTTCACGCTGATTCCAAAAATTGAGGAATTAGCTACGTGTGTTTAGAAACAACCGTTTTACGGCCGATTTTAAGCGGCCGAAATCCGTTTTGTCTATGTTACAGTAATCCTATGGCCAAAAACCCTGCTCCATTGAATTCAGAAGGCTAAAAAACCTAATTATAAACAACTGTAGCTATTTCCTAGACTAAATTTGCACCATAATCCACGGAAACCAAAATCCAAGTTTCATCATCAAAAAAATGCTTTCAAATTCGGAAATCAACTTTGATACAATTTTTCATACTTCTGGAATACATAATCAATCCACCTCAACCAATTTTTTGAGGTTTTGTACAGTTTTACGCATTTTCCTTCCACGGGGATCGAACCCGCGACCTTCGGATTACTAAATTTGACCAAAATCCACTACACCACGAAAAAGGGGTGATGACTTTTTACACTTTTTTTAAATGTTTCTAGGGCAGAATTTTACGCTGATTAACATATGTAAAAATCAGCTGCGGCATTTCAGAAACAAATTTTTTATGGCCGATTTTGTTCGGCCGAAACCATATTGCGGTGTGTTACAGTAACCCGACCGCCAAAATTCTGGATTCACAATGACGAGCATACCCGAAAACATCAGTATTCTCAATTTCAGCCATTTCTAGTGAGTAGTTATGCTGTAATAGTCGATTACTGTAAAAACATTAAATTGTAAATTGCAGTAGGTTAATGAGAGAATTAGGCAAAAATATTTCAGTAATATGTTTACTGGATGCCTGCGGTCATTTTAAAATCAAAAACTCAAAATCGATTTTTTTCTATGTCCAGGCCTAACTGGCGGCTGATTCACTGACTCAGAAATCGTGTTTTAATATTTTCAGAAACGGCATGAATAGAAGAAAAACTGAAAAACTTACCGACATTATACCTGTAAGTGTGATCCGCATAGGATGCGCTCAAGAAAATAACAATGGCTACGAAAAACAAGAAGGTAGCCATGGCTTTGAGGAAAATAAGTATTATAAAGAAGTGCATTTTTGCTTGGTTTATATAATCAAACAAGTCATAAAGCTATTAAATTAAAATGATAACAGCGAATGAGTTCTCTGTTCACCCACACCTCTCAATGAGTAATTCCATTACTTTTGCAATACAATAACTTTTTGGGACTTTTCTGGGGAGAGTTATCAATTGTATTGAAGCTGATAATGGCGTCGATATTATTGCAATAGCCTTTGAAGTAGCAAAATCATGTATTTTTATGCGAAATATTTCCTTCTGTTTGACATCACTTTTTTGATTGCATTTTATTTCTATTGCAGCTTTTATTTACAATTTTGGTTGTAAAAAAACGTTTTTCTTATCACACAATGACTCATAATTGATGAATTATCGTTCTAAGCCGCTTTCACAAATGGAATTAATTAACCGATTGCCTGATCTCTAGGCTCAGTCAGTCTACATAAATTACGGCAATAAATGGAAGCATTCAAATTTTTTTCGATTCATCCACCATGGCAAACTCCATACCGCCAACCTTGATGATGTCATTATAGATTGCACTTTGTAGGTTGCGATCTTTGTCATATTAATTGTCAGTAAACTTTTGCGAGCAATGGTAAAGTTAAAACTTCGTAATTTTACTTTCAAACTTTCATGACTGCAGACACCTTGACTACTCACAAATCATATGTCGCATTACGAGAAAAATGATTGATGGATTGTTATTTGAAAGATAAGAAAATAAAATCAAATTAATCAAGCGATAAGAACTTACAAGGGAAGTCACTTTTTTCGCAAGTCGATCCCTACTGGTGACCTAGTGGACTGTGAAGGCCTCAGGCTGTGTCAGGCTCTGCTACCGAAGCTCACTTCTCCAACTCCGTTTTTTTGGAGGGTCTTTTAGGAACCTTTTTTGCGTGAACTTTGATGAGCCATAACTCTGCCCTCAGGGCCCGTAAACACTTTTGGACGCCAGATTCTTCTTACACCGCCTGAGGCCTTCACAGTCCACTAGGTCACCAGTATGGATCGATCTGCGAAAAAAGTGACCTACCTTGTTAGTGCCGTTAATTTTTATATTGTCTCATTTTGAATGAATTTTAAGTAGGTCAAAACTCAGGGTTGAGCTGCCTTTTTATGGAGTAAGCAAAATGCGACCAAAATTCGATTTTCGAAAGAGGTGCGGCCTCGTAAACCGTGATAATACATTACGCATGCAAGCTAATTTCTGATTGATCTTTTATTTCTGAGCCAAGGATGACATTACGATCTATATCAAACATTTATTTTCTTCTTCTTGGCGACTCCAAATTCTCCGCCAAACCTATTTTTGTCTTCTCCAGTTTGTCATCATATTTCAGCGCTACGCAATAGTGTTGCAAAAATTCGCTTCCAAATCCAAATTTGTAATTGTATGCAGAATAGGAGAAGCCAAGAAGACTTGAGTACTTTTTCTTGTCCTAAAAAGGTCCCACATTTATAAATGATTGAATATTTACCTCAGGATCATACATCGTGTAGTCTTCTTTAGCGACTTTATATTCCTTGGATCCAATTAAAAGACTGATGTCTGGGTATTCCTCTTGGGTCTCGGCGTCAAAAGGGAAATGAGCGTCGAGAATGGGGATCGGAATCTCGGACATTCGGCCGGGGAGGAAACCGATCGTTTGGTTTTTGTATTCCGTTGATCCTATTCTGACACTGAAACAACAAGTTAAATTTTAAAAGTTCTTTTCGAATGGCAAGCAAACCGAAAATAAATTATTTTTTTGCATTCCGTAAATTTGCCGTGAAAGGTCACATCTTATAGTCATCAAAAAAATCATGTTTCTCTGTGAGATCTTTAGTTAATGCGAATCTCAAGTAACTAAAAAGTTTGCACATTAGACTTTGTACACGGTTCTAAAGGAAAGTATCTTACTCCGCAACAAACTGCCATTCCCCATCGTATCTGGTGTCGTAAAAGGTAAACGGTCCGCACTTCCCATCAGAATACCGGCCAAAAGTATATGCTCCGGCTGAGTTTAAACTCTGATTGACCGGCTGAAATTATTTTCCTTATTTCCCAGTAGGACATTAAGAAGCACGGCTCAATGCGACGGTTATCAGCTTACCCTGGGCAAAAAGTAATGTCCTTGCTGCACAGTCAACTGCTTGACACTTAAATCCCTCATGATTCTAGTGATAATGCTCCGTTTTCTCTCGTCATATCCTAGTCCTAGAACTCCATCAGGTGCAAAAAATGTAATTCCCTCGCCTGAAGTTACAAGTCCAATGGCTATTGGATATTCGAGATTCCCGACTCGAATGACGTTATTCGCATAGACTCCTTTAAATAAATTGTATCCATTGTAATCCTCATCGTCGAATCTGTCCTTTGTCGGTGTTCCACCAGCAACTTTAGGGTCATAAACATGTTGGTGAGGGTTCATTGTGCATCTCGAACCGCGACAGTTCGTCGAGAATACCCATGAATAAGGCCGATTGAAGTCGAGTTGGGCTTTGAAGGGTTGGTTGTCTTTTCCAATAAAGAATTCAATGTATGGGGGATCGGGATAGGCTGAAAACTATGTTTGTATATTTGTAATTAAGAGATAACAATATGTGAATTTGTGAAACTCACCCGTTTGGTACCTGTAAGTGAAGTCAGCCACAACACAGCCAACAAAAAGTAGCAAGAGAAAATAATTCATATTTGATTGTGCAAGTTGTACCACCGTCTTACTTTTATACTCGCTAACTAAAGATACAAATCTGATATCAAGACAGGGTTTGTATCGCTATCTTTTTAAAGTCTAATCGTCATGGAAATAAAACACAGAATACTGTTGTAGCCTCTTAAAAGTGTAGAAATCGGAATTGTATTATGGGTTTGAGCTTTATTTACACAAAAATTCATAGAATTTAAATATTTAAGTTACTCTTCAGCGGATTCTTTGGCTTCTTTAAACTTTTCCGGGGTCATAATCAGCTGGTGCATAAATTGTTTGGCCGATTCGGACATCTGATCTACATCTGTTTCATCAGGCTTTTGTGTGCTCACGTGCTCCTCAAAGTCTGGATCAGCCAAGAGACGAATTGCATGTCGAGTTTCATTGTCTGAAAATTAAAACTTATTTTACGTCATTTTGATTGCATTAGGTCATTTAAAATTATTCTTACCAGCCAAAACCCCAGTAAGTGAGGGCACTTTCTTGATGATCTCCTCTCTCATTTCCTTGGTCATTTCTTCGAATGCGAGGATAGCCGGGGTAAAAGCGATGGCAAAAGTTTTGCGCTCCTCGACAGTAGCGTTATCTCCGGCCAATGCAATGGGAAACATTTGAGGAGCAGCCCTTTCTACCTGAAGTTACAGTAACAAAAATAAGTGATAATGATAAAAAATATTAAAAAAATGGCGAATGCAAAAATAGAGGGGTCCTTCTTACCGACAAAACCAACTTTTTGACCCTATCATCAGCATCGGTCATATTAAGAGCCTCGTCCATAATATCAATGTAGATATTAAACATCGTCTCGTTCGCGAGGAGATTTTGGACTTTCTCATTGCTAGGTGGGCCAACCGAAGCAATTACTCGATGGAGAACAGCTTTGTCAGCCTTGGACCAGCCTCGGTTGTACTTGGCTTGGAGCTTCATGCCAATGTCTGCAATAATTTTATTATCCTTAACCATTAGCCCTTATATTTTATCATGAAATGCATAAAACAGATAAAGCTACTGTCCAAATCTCTTACCAGTTAACCCAGGGATCAGCTCCTCATACTCACTACTCTGTACAACCACAAACAAGGTGCAAACCACAGTAAACAGAACTTGAGTCATGTCGACGAGCTTTGGTGAGGCATATTTTGATGTCCTTTTATATAATCCGCCCGTGTTTTCGAGATGTTTCAGTAAATTAATGGAAGAAAGGAGCGCGAATAACAATGAAATTACTAGTTAGGGGAACACTTGTTATTCCGCGCGGAACCCCACCTCGATTGTCTTATTTTGCGAGAACGCGGAGCTCATAAAGTTTGCGAATTCCTGAATGGAACCTAGGTTAATTGCTTAAATAAATTTAAGCTCGATTTGGAATAAATCGGGAAAACCTATTTGTCTCCGAGCATTCAAGTTTCGACATCAGTAAATGAAGAAACAGAGCCTTTCGGCCTCTTTTACAAATTTGCTTAAGCTTTCAAACATACCTCATCAAAAAAATCGATAACTTTTTATTCTAAAGATTGGGGTTTTGATTGCTTTTGCAACCGCATTTACTGACAGGCCGAATCGATATGAATTTGTCATCTTTTATTCAAATTAATAATATGTACATAACACGTCATATGCACCGGAATTGTACTTAACAGACTAGCTGTTGGCATGAAATTAGATCCGTAATTAAGTAGTCTAATGCACTTTCCGCCTAGCTCTATAACCAGTTCTCTAATAGCCTGGAGCAGTTTTGGCAGGTCCACAGTGGTCGCAGCTTCCTTTGGGACCGGGTTCCCCGACCTTTCCTTCTTCTCCAGCGGGTCCCTTCTTTCCTGGACGGCCGTCTGGACCAGCTGGACCGGGTTTGCCGGCTTCTCCCTTGAGTCCGGGTTTCCCTGGTTCTCCCTTCTCTCCACGGATTCCTGGTCGACCTTCTGGACCTGGTGGGCCAGGTGGTCCAGTAAGGGTTGGGCCTGGCAGAAGACGGCCGGGATGTCCTCGGTTCCCAGGGCGTCCTTGAGGTCCTGCTTCTCCTGGTGGTCCCCGTTCTCCAATTGGTCCTGGCTGTCCCATTTCTGCGTATTGTCCTGGCTCTCCCCGTTCTCCAGGCCATCCAACTTGTCCTTTGGGTCCTGGAGCTCCGGGTGGACCTTGAGGGCCTTCTTCACAATCAAAGCAGAAGTCGACTTTGGGTGCTGGGAGGGGAGGATGTCCATCTTCCCCTTGAGCACCGGGCTCTCCAGGGGCTCCATCATGCCCTGGCTCTCCATCCTCTCCCTTAGGGCCTGGGGGTCCACGAGGAGAAGTTCCGCATCCACAGCAGTTATTTTGAGGAGCTGGGCTTGGAAGAGATGAGGCCCAGGATGAAGATGGGGCAGAGGTGACTGGGCTAGCGGGAGATGAGTCATAGCCAGCGTCACGACGAACGCGAGGGAAGACTTTAGAGAGAACCTGAAATAAAATAAACCAATAACTTCCAAAATATTTAGCAAGTAGGATTTCAAAAAACAAATGCAGATTAAGAAAGCTTGCCTGAGTCCTTGAAACCTCTTTCCAAATATTTCCGGACTTCAGTTTGCAGAAATCCAGCTCACTTTGCATGCCCGACTGTACATGTTGAATGTGACTGTAGACCATGGGCACAAGAACCACGCAGGAAAGTGTGGCAATTGTGGCCAGAGCGACGCCGAAGAAGGCCACGGCCTTCAGCGAATCGGCCTCCTCCTTTCGGTCTTTCAACTGAGTCTGCATGCTCAATCACACCCCGATTTCAGTGATCCCTTCGCATTTTATACTTGACATGGAAGTGGGACGACCTTAGTTCCGCGACCGTGATCCCGGCGTTCATGGTCGGGCCTGGATCTCGCCACGAAATCCTCACTTATCACTTTCACTTTCTTTCCACTGAAACCGACGAAAAGAAAAGAGCGCCAAAAAAGTTTAATTTGCGATACGTCAACAGCGATAAGATGAGGGTATTTGGGAGGAGGAAGCAAGATACAAAGCAATTCGGAAAGAGCGCCAGAGATCCTCACTTTTTCACTTTCAGCCACACTTTACCTTCCCCTTCTTTTTGCACTTGCCAAAAACCGGTTGCAACTCTCGCACCTTTTCGGGGAGTGATAAGCGCCCGTGATATCCCACTGTGACCGTAGATTCCAACTTTTTGCAGAGCACTTATAAATTGATCGAAAAGTTATTAGTTCGAAATAAGAACGTTTAATTAAACAAGTGATTGAAATCATAAAACCAATGAAAATTTTAAAATTAGTCAAATATTGAAAACAAAGTCGATTGCAAAAGCATGCCAAGGAATCTGTGGCGAAATAGTGTCCAATGTTCTCTACAATAAAAGAAAACATCAAATATGTAAAAAGAATCAAGGCTACTGATCTCACAAAAATCAAAATCTCGCGGTCAAAAGTCATCTTTCCAAGCACCTACTTTAAAATTTTTGTCGTAATGATATTTACTAGCCCTCCACCCATATTCAAACCCTCCATTCCCCATTAATCACTCGGTTATAACATCGTCATTGATAAAGACATCGAATATCCCCCGCTGTCCACTAAAAGCCCCGTTAATCCTCCGTCCACAAAAAAAGTTTTAAAAAACAGCTCGGACCCGCACTGCGCCCTCCGGATGAGTGTGATCTCTCCTTATCAGTGCGAAAATCCAGTCAAAAGCCACTTTTTTCGAGTGGGATGGACGTTATAAAAGACGATAAAAATGGAAAGGTTTGGGTTTAGAGGCGATCACGTCCAACCTTGGGCAGCGACGGATTTACCTGGGCTTAACCCTCAACTTGCTACTGACTTATGTCTCTTCTTAGAGGATTTACTTTACCTATTAAACTAAATATTTCCTTTTGCATAACTGGACTTATAAGACATTATATTCGCCGAGGACATTTTTAATTTTTATTTTACAGTCTTCGTTACAGGATGCCTGGCCAAAAAGACAGGGCGGAAGATGCCCAGGCCCTCAAACGAGTGGTTATGTTCGGAGTAATCTTCTCAACCCTAACCACCGCTTTTTTCGTATTTTATATCCCAATGGTCTACAATCGTCTTCAACATCTACAGTCATCCATGTCTGCCGAGCTGGAATTCTGTAAGCTCCGATCGGAAAACATCCATAGAGAAGTTGCCAGAACACAAGTAAATACTCATTTTAATTGATTTTGTTCCATATTGCTTCATGTGTATTATTACTCTTATAGGCTTTGTCATCGGCTCATCCTCGGCATGCTGGAGAACATCACCGTAACTACCGATATGCTGAAGAAGACAGTTATGGAGCTAAACCCGGTTCTGCACCTGCCGCTCTAACTTCAGGCATTACAAAAGCCGGCCCAGAATCCAACGGGGTTTGCTGTGGCTGCGGAGTCTCACCTAAGGGACCTCGAGGACCGCCAGGCCCAGAAGGAGAGATTGGAGAGGATGGACCACCTGGTCCTGAGGGAAACCCCGGAGAAGAAGGTGCTCCACCCAAACCGGCTCCAAAAGTCAATTGGTGCTTCGATTGCGATGAAGCCGAAATTGGTCCACCAGGAAAACCTGGACCCAAGGGACCACCTGGATTGGAGGGAGAGAAAGGAGAACCAGGCCGATTTGCTGAACAGGGTCTGCCTGGTGGCGTTGGACCTCTGGGAGAACCTGGGCCAGCTGGACCACCCGGACCTCGTGGTCAACGTGGACGGCCAGGAAAACTTAAGCCAGGAGAAGTTGTTACTGGACCCCCTGGACCAGCCGGGCCCGAAGGAAGACCTGGTCCACGGGGAGATCGCGGTCCAACCGGAGAAAAAGGACCACTTGGTCCACCTGGATCACCCGGAAAACAAGGACAGGAAGGGGCACCTGGAAGAACTGGACCACCTGGAGAAGGAGGACCTCCAGGATCCACCGGAAACAAAGGAGCTTGCGACCATTGTCAACAACCTCGTTTGGCCCCTGGATACTTTATCTAATCATGACATCACTTGTATATTTTGGCTCTTAGAAGTGCGGCTAGATAATATTATGTATAGAAAAGCGTCCGGCAAGCCGATGCTCTTGATCGTTTAACGATTAATTCCAAGTGATCTCGATCAAATAAAAAATTGGACTATAATTACTGTTTGGTATAATTTATTCCAAATATACAAAGCAAAGGAAGAGCATGAGATAATGACCCGGATGAGCATCGTTGGCTGTAAACCCAATGAGAATCAGCCACACTAACCAACTCAATTGCACTGCGGGCTGAACTACAGGCCAATCTAATAGCCTGGAGCAGTCTTGGCTGGGCCACAGTGATCGCAAGATCCCTCGGGACCCTTCTCTCCTTGTTTGCCCTCCTCTCCTGGTCCTCCGTCCTTTCCTGGTTCTCCTTCTGGTCCTTCGTCTCCGGCTGGTCCTGGATATCCCTTGGTTCCTGGCTGGCCGTCGTTTCCTGGCTGACCGCGTTCTCCTGGTTGTCCGTGAGGTCCTGGTGGGCCTGGAGGTCCGATCTTTGGTGGAGTGTCGACCAAGCGGCCTGGATGTCCTGGGTTTCCTTCTTGTCCTTGGTCTCCGGGTGGTCCTTGAGGTCCTGGGGGTCCGAGTGGGCCAGGGGGTCCTGGACGGGCACGGGGTTTGTTCTGACCTGGAAGTCCTCCAAGACCGCTGGGTCCCTTTGGTCCGGCGTTTCCTGGAGCTCCTTGTGGGCCTGGTGGGCAGTCGAAGCATGGGCTGTATGCAGGAGCAGGGCGAGGAGTTGGTCCTTCTGCTCCGTCCTTTCCTGGAGGTCCTTGTTGTCCATCTTCTCCTGGAGCTCCATCCTCTCCTGGTGGGCCTGGGGGTCCGTTTGGCGAGTGACCGCATCCGCAGCAAGCTGGTCGAGCTGGAGCAGCAAATCCACCGCGAGGAGCCGAGCCGCCGAAGCTGGATGGAGCAGTGAATGCTGGAGCAGCTCCACCATAGCCGCCGAGAGAATCTCCTCCATAAGATTGGCGTTTGCCGATAGCACGAGAAACTCGTGGGTTAGCTCCAGCCATCATCTACAAATCAGAGAAATGAGAATTCGAAAATATTCAAAATAAGTTGTAAGGCATTAGGTTTACCTGGGTTCGGGTGATTTCGCGGAGAACGTTCGCGGATCTCATTTTGCAAAAGTCGACTTCACTCTGCATACCAGATTGGATGTGCTGCAAATGACTGTAGATCATTGGCACCGACAAAACAGTGAACAATGTAGCCACTGTGGCCATGGTAACACCGGCGAAGGCGATAGCCCTAAGGCCATCGGCCTCTTGCTTGCCGTCCATCTGTTTGTATGGCGGGGAAGAGCCTTTCAGAGAGTCCATGCTGAGTCGATTGCGAGAACCCGAACGACTTCTGGCTAAACTGGTCGACCCAGATTCCTTTTATACTGGAAGCATCACTGACTCCGTCGCCGCATTCCGCGAGAACCGAGCCCATTGTGTGTTGGCCCAGGGCGAAGACAAAAGAGTGCAAAAAGCGGTGGTGGGGCGAAAGCGCGCAAACTTTTTTCGAACCAATTTAAAAAACGCCCGAGATCCTGACCCCAGTGGAGACAATAAGACACTAATTACCCGCGATGACTCGATTGATAAGGTTTCAGGTTTTCAGGAAAACGGCAGACATGATACGGAATACACTGGAAATACGAAAAAAGACCCATAGGTAAGGAATGGTCGTAATGGTCGTGATGGTCGACGGGTGTGGTCGGTCGACGAACCGGAATGTTATGGCACCTCTATTACACACACAAAATTCCATAACTACTTTTTACATAGATGTTGTAACGAACAAAAATGCAATTTTAAATATCTACATGCAGATTACGGGTCGTTAAATGCACCCTTCAATGATAGGGAAGCAAAACGTCGAGAACTATCTTTTACCTTTGCAAAAGGCAGTAATACAATCAAAAACCTGCAAATTTTTAAGCATCCGATGCTTCAGAAGCTCAGAAGAAGCCTCTAAATTTAAGGAACTGTTTTGTATATCTCAAAATGGTATGCCTTTTTTCTTAAAGTCATGCTTATAAAATCTTCTTTTGTTAAAACATTTTATTTTGCCTTATCTTTTGCTGTCAAATTTCATTAATTAAATGATTTATCCCTCAAGCGAGCCCTTCGGAGATCCTTTCCTCAAGGCTTTCTAGGTTGCGAATGCTCCTTTTCAACTTTTTGCTTCAACTTCCTTCTTTTGATCAGTGTTTCGCACCGCGAACAACTTCAGAGTTTTTTTGCCACTTGTCACCTCCTAAACCCCCACTTCGATTAGCTCTTTATCACATTATATTCCCCCTCTTTTCACTCTGATGGCGACTTCCAAGCAGTTGTCCGAACTCCGCAAGAAATGGAGCGCGGCTTTCGTCGTATCTCTTTCGAATTTCGGGCGAAAAAACTATTTGAAACAAAAGAAAAATTAGAAACAGTGCAATCATCAGGTTTTCCTCCCAGTTTAAAGGCTGGAAGAAGTGTCGCCGAATGACAATGGTGATGGCAAATACAACCGGCCGAGTTTAAAATTAAAATACGCTACCGCGGGAAACATTGTTTTGAAATATCGACTGGAACAGAAGGTGTAATCGGAAAAGGTCAGAGTAGAAAATTCGAATTTTTAAAGCCATGAAATCTCATCAGGAGTCTCAGCATCTCTTTAAAGACATGGTAAATACAGATCCAAAAAAGAACAACATCTTCTCATGAAAAGAACAACATCCACATTGAAATTGGAATGTGTCGCTTTCTCCCAAAGACTAATTTAATTCCCCCTAGGCCAGAAAATATCACCCTTGAAATTTATTTGTCTTTCTTTTTTCTTTAGTCGACTAACTTCCCAGTCAATCGACTAAATCCAATGTTTGTCAGGCCATATTTTACATTTCCAAACTCATTTCTCATCATTTTCCAAAACTTTGAACCCTGCAACTTCCAAATATGATTTGTTATCATTTCATTAATAAACAAATTAATCTCGTCGATCATAGCGTCCTCATTCGCCCCGCGAACGTTTTGTTCTAGCGCAACGCGGATTCACACTGACATCTTTTTTTCTCGTTCTCCGACCTCACGACCTCTTTTCGTCGACGGAAAAAAGACAATAAGGCGACATGGAGCCGCCCTCAAACCAGGCTTGGGGAAATGATTCTTGAACATAAAAAAGTTTCGCCCTCTGGCCCTCCTACCGTCTCCTCCCGAGTATTTAAGAGCCGCGACGTCAAGAGTGGGTCATCAGGTAATCATTTCCATTTATTTCACATTCCATAGGTGGTTTTAGTCCTCCAAGCGAATGTTTCCTATGGCTTTTAGCCTTGGGGAAACTTTCATTTCACAGAATGTATTAAAATTTCCTCAATTTTTAGTGTTTCTATCACTTTTTCATCCAAAAATAATTTTTACCGTAATTTTCTTATGCCGACTTCCTATTGCTTTGTATCACACCAACAGACTTATCGTAGTTTATAGGGATGGAAAACCACAAAAGGCACAATGACGAGGCTGAGGCCGCCGGCTTCCGGATGTACGCTTTCATCGGTGTCACCATGTCTACGGTGGCTACTATGATCTGTGTGCTCTCCGTACCCATGATCTACAGCCACTTGCAGCACATTCAATCTGGAATGCAGAGCGAGCTTGACTTCTGCAAAATGAGATCCGGAAACATCCTCAGAGAAATCACCCGAACTGAAGTGAGTTTTTGACTCGACCTAGTACAATATAGAAAACTTCAAATATTGTATCTTTACTTTCTCGATTTTAGTTCTTGGCCGGAGCCAACCCACGCATCGCCCATGCCATCGGAAAACGTCAATCCTACGGAGAAGAGGCTAGCGGCTACGGCAGCCCAGCTCCAGCTGCTCCATCATCTCCTTATGGCGGAGGAAACCGCGGCGGATTTGCTGCTCCAGCCCGACCAGCTTGCTGCGGATGCGGTCACTCGCCAAACGGACCTCCAGGCCCACCAGGAGAGGACGGAGCTCCAGGAGAAGATGGACAACAAGGACCTCCAGGAAAGGACGGAGCAGAAGGACCAACTCCTCGCCCTGCTCCTGCATACAGCCCATGCTTCGACTGCCCACCAGGCCCACAAGGAGCTCCAGGAAACGCCGGACCAAAGGGACCCAGCGGTCTTGGAGGACTTCCAGGTCAGAACAAACCCCGTGCCCGTCCAGGACCCCCAGGCCCACTCGGACCCCCAGGACCTCAAGGACCACCCGGAGACCAAGGACAAGAAGGAAACCCAGGACATCCAGGCCGCTTGGTCGACACTCCACCAAAGATCGGACCTCCAGGCCCACCAGGACCTCACGGACAACCAGGAGAACGCGGTCAACCAGGAAACGACGGCCAGCCAGGAACCAAGGGATATCCAGGACCAGCCGGAGACGAAGGACCAGAAGGAGAGCCAGGAAAGGACGGAGGACCAGGAGAGGAGGGCAAACAAGGAGAGAAGGGTCCCGAGGGATCTTGCGATCATTGTGGCCCAGCCAAGACTGCTCCAGGCTATTAGACATGTGGCTGAAATTGTTGTTGCATCCGCGCTTTTGTCTGTTCAGTATGAGTCTTTTGTATGCACATAACTTATTGAGCTTATGCAATAAGAAAATGCAAAGAATAAATATTATTACATAACTTCTCTAAGCAATTTATTCCAAAACGTTAATTAAATTTGAACAAAATAGAAAAACTTGAGGTCTACCTACGACGATTTTCAACACAAAAACAACAAAAGAAATTTCGAAAAGCTCACATTCCTTCATCCTCAACTGCTTCAGCAAAAATCACCTGCCTGGTCGGGACTTGTCGATTCTTCAGGCCATAGTCGGGCAGGGAACTATGAGGTAACTTTCTGCTGCTTCTGAGATTGTAAGGAGTCGTCTGAGTCTGCATTGTAACTGCTCGGCTTGGAGTCAGAGGTCTTGGCTAAAATTATATAACTATTATCCCCTTTAGTATCAAATCAAATAAATAACATGGAGATCAAATTTAGGTACCACAAAATCTAAACCACCATTAAAACAGCTAAATCTTACATTGAAATGACCAATAACAGGCGGTTCGGCGAATGGCTCTGATCTCACAAACTTCTGGACGGCATCAGCGGTGTTTGCGGGTGCTGGATCGGACGGCTCCACCTTTCTTCTCACGTATGCTCTCTTCTGCTTTTGTTCTGGAAGCTGAAAAATAAAACTGTACCAAAAAATAAGGTCAATCCTTATGTTCAACATCCATTAAGATATCAAAAAAAGAATTTCTTCATAGAATTCAGCTTACATCTTGGAGATACACTGCTTCTGGAAAGAGCATTCGATTTTCCCGTGAAAGGAGGACGAGCCAGACAATTACCAAGATTCCTATCGAGTACAACATCTCCAAAGGGTAAGGAAACAACATTCTGACCACGAATTTCTTTACCAAATCCTCGAGTAACGTCAAAACCCAGCCAACACCAATTCCTCACAGAATTCCAGGTTTTTTCTTCGATGACCGATTTTCTGGATGCAGCAGAATGCCAACGCAGTATTCGGGAAAACTATCCTTTTTCTGGCCCCGCGCTTCGCAGCTTGCGCCCCGGTTTCCCTGCAGACTGCGAATAAAAGTAGGAAACAGCCTAAGCCTGAGGCTAAGCCTAAGCTGCCTAAGCCTGAGGCTCAGCCTAAGCCTGAGGCTAAGCCTAACCTGCCTAAGCCTGAGCCTAAGCCTGAGGCTCAGCCTAAGCCTGAGGCTAAGCTAAGCCTGAAATTCCTACGTGTTTCTCAAATTCCTAACCGTGTTTCGCAGTCAGCAAAAGTTGTGGGCGCGAACCGGAAATTCTTGCTTTTCGGCGGGGCCAGAAAAAGGATAGTTTACCAGTATTCGTTGCGGAGTTCAGGCAGCATGGTTGCGTAAATTTATTTGCCGGTTTTTGTGAATGTGCTCTTTATAAAGTCTATAGACACAGAGTAGAAGGTCGTCCTATCTTTCCCTTGCTTGTGGCAGAGTGCGTATTTTCTGCATCGCATGTTTGATTTCACAATTTATAACCTATCAGCCAATCGATTGCAATTAACATCAAAAAATCCGGTAACAAATTCTTTACTTTGGCAATATTTTTAATTTTTCGATTGCATTCACCCTTGAGTATCCTCCTGAGTTGTATTTGGACAGGCCCTCCCATCATTTCCGTCAGCCTTCACATGAGTTACCGTCCCAATCGAACTCTTCGTGTACTGGGTCTTCTCCACCATGCTGACTGGTTGAATGGCTGAATTTAGAGGAGCCGCTATGCTGTTTGCAGCGGTAGTGTCCACACTTAGACTGGAAAGTGGCAATTTCTTCGGGCGACGATGTTTTTCTCGACGACTTCGGTTATTAGAATCCCTGGTTCGGTGTTTTCGCTCGTGTCTCTTCTCAGCAGTCTCTGTCTGAAAAGTGAATTGGTTTCTTGTGGGATATTTTTGGAGCAAATCATCTTATCTTTGGCAAAAATATTTTGAGTTGGCCATAGATAATATAAAGAATTTATGAAAATTTCTTCCAAATCCTCAAAAATTCTTGACTGCAAAGAATTTTGAGGAAAAATCAATTGATTGGGTTCGATTCCTATGTTTTACTTACCGGTTCCTCCTGAGTATAGGACATACTGGCCGATAAAGAAAATTTGTTGTCGCTCTCCTCTGGTGATTCCTTCTCCGCCTTCATCTTGGCCTCCTTCTTGGTATGTTTGGTCTCATTCTTACCCCTTGTGTCTTTGGTGTCCTTCGTATCTTTCGTTTCCGTGCTCTCTTTCGAACCTTTCTTCTCTGGCAGTGCAAAATGTGTATTATCCGTAAAATCGGCGTTGTTGTCTTCGACTGAGCCATGAATTGAAATTCTCTCTGTCCTCTCCACATTCGGATCAGGTTCTGAAATTTTGCCAAATTTAATGGCATTTCTTGTAAATATCGTAGCATACGTCTATGAGATTGTGTTTCTTACTTTTCGGGTGTTTGCTCTTGGAAGCTCTGAACGATTCCTCCTCGGTTGTCGTTGATTTGGCACAAAGTATGAGGCTGATCAGGGTCAGCGAAAGAATGAAGAGAAAGAAAATCATGGGGAACGTAACCGGTTGATCAAATTGGGATGCGAAATGAATGAAATTATTGGGAAAAATTGCGGCGAAATCGCCAAATTTTGTTTATGAAGGGTTGAGGAGTATTTATGCTAATTTTTTGGTTTCTGTTTTCCAAAATTTCATCTATCTTTTGGATTTACAAATTTTTTTGCCTTGAAGGTAAAGTTAGACTAACTGATCGTCGTATCTTTACAAGTTTAAAATTAGATTTGGTCCATAATTTTACCTGAGGTTATCATTTTTCAAAAAAAATTTTTTTTCATATTCATAATTTCAAATTAGATCCAAAAATTTTTCCGCAAGATCGCAGCTTCCTCATTTCCAAATGTTACCGTACCCCCAGCGAGGGTAGCGTCTTTTTCTCATCTTCTTATAACGGCGCCCTCGCATCTCCGAAAAGTCGTAAAGTTTTCTGAGGGTTTTTTGTTCGAAAAAGTCTCAAAAACTCGTAAAACGCAAAGGGGGGACACAACTTTCAGCAAGCCGGCTCATCAATCACGCCCGAAAAAACGAGGGTACCCCGTCGCCTTTTTTCCTCGAAGCTTTTTTTATGTTTTACGTTTGTCAAACGTGTGCCATCTCATCTCCCCCTCTTCCTCGTCTTTCCCCCTCGGATAAATCAGGAAACGAAGGGAGAAGGGAGACATTTAAATTACAAGACGAATATGCAAATTAGAAGGCGATACGAAGACATTCCACATCTTGAGAGAGCATCTGGTTTCGCGATGACATTTGGAATACAAAAGGAGTTAGAAAATAATGCCAAAAGTAGTCGAGTTACTCATTAAAATTGAGGAAAATGCTCTGTGAGGGTGAGTTTTTCAACAATGAATCATCGACGAAAACTACCGTAATCTCAAAGGAATGCAAAAAATTGGAAAGAATAAACATGAAATTTTTGAAATTTCAACAGCATTTTTATAGACGAGGAAATTCTAAAAAACCGAGGTACAAAAAATACTGTAAAATACGATGACTAAAATTAAGCTTTTAATATTACAGGGTGACAAATAAAAAATGCAACTTTTTTTGATGGGTCCTGCCGCGAAAACTTTTAGGTTTAGGAAAATATTGTTCATACCATTAAATTCTCCGTGTTTTTTTGTCCTAGCCTCTCAATTTTCATACGCATATCGGTTGATTAACATGTTTGTTTCGAGTCTCAAACAGAGGGACCCCGATTTTAAACGTGTCACGAGAAGAAAAAGGACAGTGAAAGATTGCTAAATTGGTCGGTGTAGGAAAACCGGCCATACGAAAAGCCATCAAACGACTCAACGAGCTTGGCCATGGTGGTAAGTGTCCAGGAATTAGAAAGAAGCGCATCTTGAAGACTTCTGCCAACCTTGAGATCATCAGAAAGAGAGTGAAGCAAAATCTGATTGTGTCCATGAAGAAAATTGCCCGGGAGACCGGCATCAAGGGAACAACGGATCGACGAATGGTGATCAATGTACCGTAGAGCGAGTCTTACAAGCTCCAAAAAGCTTAGCGCCTCACGGAACACTACAAGCAAGTACGGCTCAAAAAATGTCGAAAACTCAACCGTCGCGCCGCAGCTCAGCGATGAGAGAAGGTCCTGTTCGCGGATGAGAAATATTTCAACATCGAGCAGGCCTACAACCACCAGAATTGCAGGAGTTGGACTGTTGAGAGTCAAAAACCATCCGCCATTTTTGAACCCAGTAAAAATCCGACCTCTCATGGCCTGGGGCAAAGTCTTGCGCCAGCGGCGTGATATCCTTGGTTTTCCTTGGTTTTCTTGGATAAAGAGGTCAGAACCAAACCGATAAGTCTACCAGCGACATTTTGTACACCATCGTGATTCCGTGGGCTCAGTAGCATTTTGGCGGTTCAAAACAGACATCGTAGCAGGATTCCGCCATCAGCCATAAAGCAAAAAAGACGCAAGGCCAGGAAAGGACCTGTTTTCCCGATTTTATGTGGTCTGCGAAATGGCCGTCTACTCGCTGGATCTGAATCCGGCGGACTATGTTTTTTGTTTAGTTAGAAGCCAGGACCTCTAGTTAACGCCGAAAAAGTTTGAAGCCGCTAATTGATCGCTGCGATAAGAACGGGGCCGATTTCTCCAAAAAAAGCTCCGGCGAATCGCCCAAAATTTAAAGTCACGTTTTGAGCTCTATCTCGGGGCCAAGAACAGCCACCTTAAAACTGGTCGAGCATACTATTAACAGTGCTCTATGTTACTGATATTCACCGTTACTTTGGTTAAGTTTGGTGTTTTAGACAAAATATGGCCATAAATATGAGTTGCATTTTTTCTTTGTCACCCTGTAAAACTGTTTTATTCATACCTGGAAATCACCAAATTTTTAATCAAACTTTTTTTGAATATCGCAATAACTGAAAATTTCGGCGACATTGGCAATTTTCAAGAAGTTATTTTCGACCTATTTAGGACAAGTTAAAATATTTTACGAGAAAAATGGAAGGGAAAGAGATTCAGAGATCCGACACTAGGTTTTGTGAATAATTCGGAGAAAATTTTTTGGTGGAAAATAGACTATTATTTGATCTCGTTCTCAAGATGACAAATCAAATTTTTCGATTTGCAATTTTAGATAAAAATACTTTTTCTGAGCCAACTTCAACGTTGTAAAAAACATTTTTTTCTGTAACGAACTCGTTATTTTCCATAGAACCTCATTCATAAAGTTGAAGGCAAAATTTGAAGGAAATCCTTTGTACTTCGGGATCAAGCGTTCGATCTTTTAAAATCACGTTATAAATCATCAGTTTTCATTCTTTTTCTTATGATTCTTGACCTTCCAGATCAGCTTTTCCGCAGTTCGTATCTCCGGACCTGTTGCAATAACTGTTTACTCTGTTCTCCTGACTATTTACTTGTTTATTGTACCTCCATTTTTCCATTTCGGGGTCCCTGAGATCGGATTTTTTTTTTTTTTTTTTTTTTTCGAAACCCGCGAAAAAACAACATAGCTACCCATTAAACAAAAAAATGGTCGTCTCTTATCGGCCGATGGATCGCGGGGCGACGAGGCACGTCTTCATATGCGGATTCTCGGTTACGCCTTCGCTTCCAGACGAAAAATCGCTTTTCCGAGAAGATTTTCGAGGGTTTAAAGGGTGAGGAGATTGCGTAACTCCGTCAGTCGAGATGTCGCGCAAGGCTACTGTAGGTTTCTGGGAGACTTTTACTTTGGGCAAAGGCGAAAACTTTGTTTTTGAGGCTTTTATTACGTTATAATCATCAAGAAAATGACATCATCGTAGTTCAAAGCAAGGGTTGTATAAGGTAATTTTCTTCGCGATTTACATAACTTACGGTAATTTCCCCTTCATCACCTCTTCTCTCACTCTTTTTTATGTCCAGTTTACCTACGGTAACTCTTCAAGAACCCTCACAGTCATCTCAAACACTTTCCCATGTCCAAGTCGCCGAATTTATGCTAATTTTTGTTATGTAAACAAAAGGTTTTTGAATCATTTCTGTGTCGATCCTTGTCGTCGTGACCTGATTTACATATCTTTTCAAAATTATGCCACTGTCGCTGCTTTCGGCCGAGAAAATGGCATTTTATTGGGTATTCGAACGCACTGTGCAAAAAAACATGATGAATGCACAGTGCAGTTGATTCAGCAGAAATTTTTATGCACTGTGCAAATGAATCAGCAACTGCACTGTGCAAAAAGGCCGTGGGAAAATTGGTGGATGCACAGTGAAAAGAAAATTTCTCGTTTTGCACTGTGCGAAGGATTTAGAATTCAAATGCACTGTGCGTTTCTAAAATTGCACCGTGCAATTGAACTTGACAAACAGGGTGATCCTTGATCGCCCCCAAACTTCCTGACAAGGTCGCACAGTGCACGAAAAACGTTCTCAAAGCGACAAAGAATGATTCAGAAACAGCGACAAGATCTGCACTGTGCGCTCAACTCTTTTTTGTTGCTTTGCGATTCTGTTTTGTTTTGATCGCTTTCGGAATGCCGCGTAACCTTTTGTCTCGCACTGTGCAAAACGATTTTATTTTTTGACTGCACTGTGCATTCATTTTCCGATCCATGTTGCGAGCCGCGAACTTTGATTTTTGCACCGTGCAAAATTTCTTTCTTCTCGTTTCACGCTTTCTCCAAATTTCTGGCGCTTTTGTTTTCCGGCGACAACAGCTTCCCTTCATTCCGACATTTCACCTTTCTTTGTTTTTCAAAAATCGCTGTTTTGCATTTTTTTCGACCACTTCGTGCCCTGGGAATGGAATGCACCGTGCGGTTTGGACACAGGGATTGCGATCGAACAAAGGAAACGGAAAGAAACTTGGCCAGGTGAGTCGCGCAGCGATCTCTGGGACCAAACCTGGCCAAAAAGGTGCGCCGGAAATTTTTTGTTCCTCATTTTTCATAGCCGGCACAAATTTGAATTTTGGGACGCCTCCAAAGGCGGGACCCGAGGGTTAATGTCGCCGGTCCACTGACTCCGCCCTCTTAACCCAGATCGTGGTCATTTTTCGTGCGATCAGTTCCAAACAAAGACGGATTGTTGCACGGTGCGGTTCCCTTCTCATCATCTCCCTCCTCAACTCGTTTTTTGGTCGCTTTTTGCGTCCCCTCCTCTGTCGCGGCCCTTGACCTCGAAAGTCATCGCTGATGGCAAACGAAGAGGAAGGAAAGAAGTCGCCCACAGGTCTGTCGCAGAACCCAAGGGCGACGTTCCCCCTTCCTTTCTTCTCGCCCACCTCAAAAGCCGAATGCCGCAACAAATGGCCTCAAGCGATGCAGATGGATTGGCGCCGCCGTCAAATCCCCGCCGCCCCCAATCTTGTCGCAGTCGAGTGGAGATCGGCGATCGCGTGCGCCTTGGCTCGACCTCCATTCCAACGACAGGTGCGTTCATCGATCAGTGGGGGTCATGCGATCTGGCTTTTCAAGATGCGCGACATCTGGTTCTCTCACTTTCGCGATGACTCCGAGCCCTGTTGGTGAGCAGGCGGATGTGCGACAAGAGCCCCAAAAAGGGCGCAGCTGTGTTGTTTTCGCGCACTGTGCATTCCTGATCGAAATTTCCATTCGAAAACAAACGGAACGCACCGTGCGGGTGGACGCGACGCGAGGAAAACAGTCCAAGGCCAGACTGCACGGTGCGATTATTTTTGGGAAAAACATGATTGAACACAGATTTTGTTAACGAATGCACAGTGCAGAAATTTCAACGAACCGCGTGCAGCTCGCGAGAATTTTCGGCGTTTCAAGGCCCAAATCACTGTGCGTTTTTTGATTGCGAAACGCCGCACAGTGCATTCCACGTTTCGATTGATTTCGGGGTACCCGAAGAAATCGCGTTTCCCTTGTCGCTGCTGTCTTGAAAAGCCGAAAACCGGGGGCAAGAGGTCGTTCCGGCCCCCTCGTTTGTCGCTCTTCACGCACTCTTTTTCCTTTCATTCCCGCGCGACCGACCCGAAGACGTCGTTTTGCGTGAAAGGGAAAAAGGGGGGTTTTGTCGCTCTCTCCACTTTTTTCCTTCTCATTTTGTCGCTTTTTCCGTGCGCGACACACCTTTTTGCACTACTCTTTTTTTGCTTTTGTCCCAAAATTGGCCGGTTTCCGACGAAAAAATGGGTTTCCAGGAACGAAAAACACCCTGAGGGCTTGGTTGCACTTCCCCAGTTTTTAGTTTCCAGTTTAATTGTTGAGTTTCAAAATTCTGCTTTCAAATTTTCAAAATTCAAATTTTCGTTCCAAATCGCCAAGCGAATCCCTTTTGTGCCAAGCCCCGCCCCTTTTTTCGAAAGCCTTTCGCGTTCGAATCGGCATTGCTGAGGGCAAAAATGGGCGGGAAATCGATTTTGGATTCTCTCAGGGCGCACTTTTACGAAAATGCGGTGCGGAATGCGGTCGGGTGGGAAAGTCGGTGCATTACAGCGCTAGGATAGAACAGATGTTAGGTAGATTATATTGCACATGATGCTCTCTGTTGTTTTCTGTCCAAATTTTCATTTTTTACCGATTTTCCAACAAGATTTTAGGCTTTTTGAAAATTTTTACTTACTTTCCCACCTTTCGCACTGTGCATTCGCCATGTATTTTTTCTTTTACCTGAATGTCAAGCCGACTGAGTCTTGCAACGTAGCTGGGTATGCGTCTTAGTCATACTGTTCACAACAAGGGTTATGACTAGATCCATACTCAGCTCTGCGACAAGATCTCAGCCGGCCCATGGCTTGGGTTTATTCTCTACTCTAATATTTTGTGTATTCTACTGTTTATTTGCCGTGCAGGAGGCGGATCCTGCAGTTTACCACCTGACACTGAAGATACACTGTGATTGAGGGATGTATCACAGTTTCATGTGGTCGACTTCGGGATCTTCTGGCATGGTGGATATAATTGTCGTTGGTGGGTGTGTGTGTGTGTGTGAAAATCTCGGCCCGGCCCGTCGGCCATGGTCCGGCCGATCTGAAATTTTGGCCCACGCTGGGTGTGTCCGCGTTCACTCATTTAGTTCCATACGGAGGCAATAAGTTTAGTTCCGGACATTTTTCATCGTATAAAGTGTAAAATCGCCGGCTGCAGCCGTTTTTGAAAGGTACGTAAAAAAGAAGGTACCTCACTAACTAAATCCACTGTCCGGGCATTGACAGCGATGAATTGAGCCTGCACGCTAAATTTGGACTAGTTCTGACCAGTTCCCGAAAAGTTATAAGCAGGTTTATATGAATCCGTCTCCTATGATCTAGTATTTATTGACTGCCTTTTTTTATAATTGTTCCACAAACAACTTGTCTACCTCTCAGATCTCAATATCGATTGTGTCCTCAGGCAATGGAACATTAACTTCCGCTTCAATTTTATCCGGCAGATCGAAGCTGACTGATGGTCTAGAATGGAGTTTATTCCTTTTTTTCTCGATGTTCTCCACCTTGGCAGTCTCACATCTCTCCATGACCACTTCTTCCCTGATTTCTTGACTGTCTTTTCCACCAAAAATGTCTGATTTCCTCCGTGATGGGCAAGAAATAGCGCCAAAAATAATTGTAGCGATAAAACAAACGATCAAAGCGAGGTTGTGGTACAAAGACTTGGTTCCGTACTGAAATATAGCTATATGAATGAGTCTCCTTCTTGCTAGAGCGCGTAATTCATGAATCTTGATAACATTTTTTGATAAGTTTTCGTATATTGTACCACCTGAAGTACTATACTACAGCTCATAATATAGCTTGCTTCTTTGTTTTTCCAAAGAAGCGTTCTGAGAGCCATTGCGATCTTGTTTGTTGGTTTATTGTTTACCTGAATTTGGATTCTCTTTTTTATGAAATGGGGAAAACACGAGACAAATAACCTTCAAAAGCCATTACGGAGGACATTCCTAACTTTTTTGTGGGAAAATCGATTCAAATCTTAGCTAGGTGAGGTTCTTTGAATTGATAAGCTTACCTGGCGTCCTATTTTACCAATAAAAATGAGATTATTTACTAATTTAAGCGCATCAAAACCTAAAACAAGGTCCGTTTCCTATTTTGTTCGAATTCATGCCCCTCTGACCCGCTCATTTTCGTATATCTTCAACTTTGCGATGCTTTATGACTGTTTTCGATGCCGAAACCCTCATTACTCATCCGCCGTTCTCACCGTGATCTACCGTATTCCTCGAATTTCTCAACTTTTGCCTTATGATTCATTATACAAAAGGCTAAAGAATTCCGCCAAAAAATCCGCGTTTACGAGCCCGAAACAAAAGCGACGTGACTCTGAATTTGGCAACAGCTGTCGCGCGTTTATGGGCGTCGTAAAAATATGTCGCATTTTTTTGAAAGAACCGTGTTAATGGCGCGACGGAAAAAGAAGAAAGGGAGATCTGAAAAGCATAATGAGAATTATGAGCGGATACGGTAACGGAAGCGATAATGGGGAATTTGAAAATCTGGCGCTTCGAAATGGGGGAGAAAAGAGGGGAGATTTTGGATGAGAAGTGATAGAAAGCATGTTTAAAATTTTATGTAACTTGGCATAAGCGATAATTTCATTTGCGATTATGTATAATATTCATAATTTCTTGCTTGAATTTTGCAGAAACTTCCGTGATTTTTAAGTCAGAAATTGTCAAAAATCGGTTTTATTTTCGTTTTTTGACTTAAAAATTGAATCGAAAAAATATTTTCTTTTATCAACTCATCTCATTTTCATAGTGTCCCATGACCATATTTGTACTTTCTCTATGCCAACTTTCAATGGGATGTGGCCTTCGCTCTCATTTCCATAATCATATTTATATAACTTTACCCTTTACTCTAAATAATTGGATCCCCTTCCCCATTGACCTCTTTGCAATCCTATTATAGCACCAATGATTGATTCCTTTGATCTGTAATCTCAGTAGATCGTAAAGATCTCCTCGCATAAACAAAGCTCGTTTCAATCCGCGCTAATCGCCCCTTTTGGACAATGGCCATTAACCCAAATCTATTCGGCGACCGTTCAAAGCGACGCGATGATAGATGGATTACGTTACAGACATATGTTGGGGTTAATCTGGCCTGGGTGTTTGGTGTACAAAGATAGGTTGAATTGCATGGGGAAGGTAAGAAAATGGGAGATAATTGGATATAAGATGGCTGGTTTAATAAGATGCTGAAAAAAAATTTTTTGAAAAATGTTGCCATAAGCGGTGTATTGCAAGAATTTTGACGCAAAATCGATTACTATAAAGTTACTAGCGCTATTCCGTATTATGACTCATTATTTACAAAAATTTGCAAATTCTTTATCCGAAAAATTGGGCTAATGAAAAAAATTTGGTTTCTGTCTAGGATTACTGTTGTTCTTGCATTCATTACCCTTTCTATAGTACGGGGTGTATAGTTTTGCTACAAAACAGTCGCAATTCAAGGTCTCTGCCATCCGTCTTTTCCGCCGGGCGACGTGCAGCGGCATCCAGCAGCGACAAAACACGGGAATGTCATTTCCTTTTGGAATAAAATCATTTTCTGGCTTATTTGAGGCTTAATGAGTCTCATTACAATCGGCTGTCTACTTGTCGCGAATTTCAAATCCAAACAGTTTGATCTTTGCTCTCTAAAAAAGGAAGTGTCGGGAAAGAAAAGTCACATTTTTGAGGAAATTATCAAGCCAAGAAACGCATATATATTCGATCTTTGCCATTGAGAGAGTATGGATAATGAGGAGAGAGAGCGAGACAAAGCAGAGTTTGACCATGCCTTTCTGGCTCAATGGCTTGGAAACTTGAATTTGCAGAGACGCGTCAGTTATTTTTAGTGACTCATAAGCTTCTGAACGCTTATGCTTTACTCCAAAACAGAAGAAATACCGTACATTTCAAAATACAACCATCTCCCAAGAATTTTATCAAGATAACCTTTTACATGTTTGCTCTACCGTAACGCCTTGACCTCATAAAATCCGTTCTATGTAAAAAGTTTTCAAAACTCCTATGAACTCACTATCTCATCGCCAATTACCCCAAATTCTCATCTCAAAAACTAGTAATTCCCATAAAAAGTATTGTCTTTCTGCGACGCCTGGGTGGTCGTTGTACCGATTCACATAAAACCCGACGGCTTAAGTGTTTTTTGCAGGCGTTTTTTTAGGGTGTTTCGCATAAAAAACGACTCACCAACGAGGGTCACGCTGAGGATGGTACGATTTTTTGAGAGGATTAGAGAACCCGAAAGTTGCGATAAAAGATGCACTTACAGTGATTTGAAGGTAAAATCCCAAAGGTCTGAAGATTAATCCAGCGAAGAACTCAGACAGAACAACCAATTTAATTCTCGAATGGACTAACTGGGCGATGGTTGGGTCATCAAATGGGGTTGAAGTATTCAGCAGTGTCATGAAAAGCAATTGATGAGCACTGATGGCCAACAGAACCTTGAAACTGTGGAATATCCATGTTGCAATTGGCCGATGTTTTATGAGGATTAAAAGGAATGTAATTATCGCTCCAAAAACAGCGGATGATGAGACTCCGAATCGAGGGAATCGACGGGATGGAATGGCAAGGATGTAGGCAAAAAAGTAACAACCTGAAAACGACAAAAAAATTTTAATGTGGGAGTAGTAATGCTTTGAAACATAATGTTGATGAATAATTAGAACTACTTTTCAAAAAAAAAATCATAAAAACTTGCCTGCCAAAATTAAAACATGATATTGGAAATTAGTCCGGACTTCTTTGTGATTTGTCTGTACCAATAGTTCCGCAATACTCGAGAAACCGCTGAAATTAATTTTTTTTTAAAATTTATGTTGTTCTTCGTCATTCCTTCTCTTTTTGCTTACTACGCGATGATCAGACAGATTCTTTCCAATTCTGACGTCGTTTGTTTCAAGTCACAGCTGGGCTCATTTGCCTGCAAGTTTACAAAGAAATCAACTGATTAGATAATTAACTGATAAGACCCTGGAACGTCATTGAAAGGAGTACTCACATTATAATCGTGATCCAGCAAAGGCCTTCCGCTGTAATTTTGCCTCCGGGAAAACGCTTTTCCCTCCTCGATTAATAATTGAAGATAATTTTGCTCTTTCAGCCATCGAGGAGATTGGTGGACACATCTGATGAAAATTAAAAAAAGTAGTCACTACTTACAACAAGGTTAAGATAAAGCCAATAAAAGTTAGGATCCCTTGAGCCATTAGAATCGTCCTCCAAGGAGCTGCGAGATGGGCCATTAGCAAGGAAATGGAGTATAAAAAAAGGGCAAGGATCTTTCCAAAGTTTATGTGATGGCCAGTAATCGCATTAAATTTGTAGTAAGACCAGTCGATTACTGAAATCTTGGGATGGTTTTGATTTAGCGTTGGTCGTTGGAGATTATTTTTGGTTTTCAAGTCTGGATAAATTTCAATCAAGTCTACAAGTCATAAGCTCGCCATTTTTCTTATTAAACCTTATCTTATTTGGAATGTGATGATTTTTGTAAAATACGTCGCATATCACATCTTCTTCTTTAACTTACATATACACAACAAGCAATGTCCGGCGGCGCCAGTCAAGAGTCCACTGAAGAATCTGAAGCCAGTAAACGCCCAATAAATCGGGCATAACGCTGATATGAAGGATAAGATGACATGGACGAATGAGAATATTATGAGACCTTTTCGCGGGGATAAACTGAATCAAGTTGTTGTTTTTTTTTAAATAAGGCAAAGTATTTGGTGCATTTTTTGTATGCTTACTTTTGAGATAACAATGCGGATAAAAGATAACCACAACCTGAGCCAACATAATACGTGAGAAAAACGATAAATAAGGCGTTGTTTGTCAGTATTGGGTAGGAGAGAAACTGAAAATAATTCGATTTTAGCAAAGTACAGTTGAGATTCTCTAAAATGTAATCTTTTAGCGCAGCTTTTCTTGCTTACCTCAAAGGTTAAATAGGGCTTTTCGAATATTGATAAGGAAATATTCTTCCGCGACCAGCTAAAAGTAACTGCTTGAAAATTTTTGACTGCTTTAAAAGACGCTTATAAGATGAAAAAGATTAAAATTTTCGTTCTACCTGTGCCGATGCTCCTGAATTACCCCATTTTGTGCCAAAAATTGCAGAAAAATGACTTGGTTTAGGTAGAAAAATCCATAAATTGAGACTATCGTGAGCGTCTAAAAAGCATAAAAATCAGCTGTAAGAGGTTACCATTTAATTACCTGAATTCGACTTCCTTTCAGCGTTGGACCAGACTGTCGAAGTAATAAATCCATAAAAACAATTCTGTCGGAAAAGTCAGCGCTCGCCTCAGGGCATCGAAAAGAAAAGAGAATGAATCACGAAATTTTGTATTTTTTCGGGAGAGCCCTCAGAAAAGAGTCCAAGTTTTTTCCTCCGTCTTTTGTGTGATATAAAGTAAACATAAATAAATAAAAAACAAATATTTTGCTATGAAACATTAAAGGACCAGAAAAGGTATTTTTTGAACCGATTTTTTTATCGGCGTAATCAGGCAATTTCGTGGCGGGACTATCAAGGTATGTATGTGTTCTCGATTTTTAGAATGGAGAATAAACTTCTCCTGTGAATTTTAAATGACGTTTCTGGCGGAAGATGGAGTTGATTGGCCCAGAAAGATTGATATTAATGCTGAATAAGATGTGCAATTTCAGGAATTCCATCGAAAATCGTCATATAAGTTCAAAAATCATGTTGTACTTCATGAAAAATTGGAAAATTACTGATATTGCTCGTCTTTCAGGTTCTATTTGGTCTTCTAGGCTCATTGTCAGAAAGATGGCAAAACTTTAGCATTTACTATTCATGTTCCGTTTTTAGTTCAATTTTTTCCGTTTTATCCAGTTTTTTTTTTGAATTTTAGGTATCTCTTTCCATGGATGCTACTCTGAACATGGCGTCAAGTTCCTTGACGAATTCAAAAACAACTCACAGATCTTAAGAAAAGGTTTATTGCTAATATTAGATTAAAATAGAGAAAATATATTTAGATTGAAATAGAGAAAAAGGGTGAAATACTATTCAACGTTCATGAAGCGATAATTTCCCGTGTTGATGGCATTGTTCTAGTCTCCAAGGCCTGCAAAACGTAGTCTTTTCCCGACGTAACAGGAATCTGAAACAAAATGAACATTTACAAACAAATTATTGCTCAAAAGTTCAAGCTTATTACCCAAAAATCAAGTTTTAGCCCAAATTTTGATATTATCCATGGCAAAAGTGCATAGTTCTTACAAAAACGGAGTATTAATAACATGCTTTGTCCTGTAAAACGTATATCAACTCGTGGACTACTTCATGCAGTGATTAACTAAAGCTAGAGCACTAATTTCACTGATAAAAATATATTATTCATGATACCTGTCTGTCTAAAAAATAAACACAAAAAAAGTAAAATTCCCACCCGTCCACATGTGTCCGTCGACCATACCCATCCACGAGTCCGGATTCTAACTGCTTCTAATCGTCCAATCCTTCTTGTTCGGAGAGATATCTAAAAAAGTAACTGAAGGACAAAAAAAAACAAAATACACGAACGGGTTTGATGTTTTTCATCGAGTTCCTGGAATGACCCAGCTCATTCAACATGTGAAGCAATGGTTTTGGGCCAATCGGCCATTTAGAATTCACAAGAGAAGTTTATTCTCCATTCTAAAAATCGAGAACACATGCATACCTTGATGGTCCCGCCACGAAATTGCCTGATTACGCCGATAAAAAAATCGGTTCAAAAAATACCTTTTCTGGTCCTTTAAAGTCTTAGGAAAGTTTAGCCTTTAAAATTAGATTTACAGGACAGTTAAAGTATCGCAGAGTTGTCACTATCATTGTGAAAATATTGAAATTTAAGAAAATCACAATTTGATGACTTATATGAAAACAGTAAGTGGTCGAAGTACGGCACTCAGATCATCCCCAAATCCTGCATGCATGATCTTCATAGGCGGCACTAGAATTCCTAAAATTTATACGTCAAGGTTTTAAAACTCTACCGAAATATTCAACGATCTCGAGAGACCATTGACCAATAGATTTTGGAGTGTCTGCAATAGAGTCGCCACAAACCTCGCATATTTCTCACACGGTCCCATCACAATCCCGACGTTGTCTTTTATGAACTCTAAAAGGTCAAATTGATTTGCTTACTGTATGGAAAATGTGAGCACCAATTCAATTTTCTTTCTTATTTGTTCATTTTTCTCACACTCCAAGTCGAACAGCAACACAATTCTCATGCCATAGACTCATAAGGAGATTCGGAAAGAAGGATGACTCTTTTGCATGTAAGAATTGGAACTTCCTTGTATTTTATTACTCACAAAATCTCAGAAGATCTCCAATGTTGGACAAGTTATTCGGTCTATGACGCAGTATGTATATTCGAGCACTTATAAAGTTTTCTCGATCGATTTTCATTTTGTGTTGGGTCCAATTTCGGTGAGAAACGAGAACACGAAAAATTGGCTCTGATTTCATTATTAGAGAGGGGCCATAACAAGGTTGGAACTCGTCATTCCGAAGGGCAAAAAAACGAAATAATGCGACATTCCGTTGAGTATTTTCGGGTAGAGATTTTATTGAGTTTTAGGGTAAGCGCAGCTCAATTTTTAAGCCGGAGAGGGTTCGAAATTTGATTTGGTACGTGAAATACGCTTCGTTGTGGTGACATAAAAGGATACATTCATAACTCAGATATCGGAGAAATTTGGGGAAAATTTTGGTTTGAATTTGTTAAGGATTTTTAGCTGGTAATTCATCGAAACTATGTTCGGCGATTTTTCGCCCTAAATGCCTAAAATTCGAAATTATTTACAAAATTTGTGCGCTTCTGACAGACAGTAATCATTGAATATCTCGACAACGGCTGCAAACATTTGCTTTTGCAAAATTAAAAATGAGCGTCTTGCTTCGGGCATTTTCAGAGTAAATTTTGTCTCAAAGTAAATTCAGTCTTATATTTTAGGTAAAACGTTAAAAAAAATGTTTCCCAAATTCGCTCTCCACATTCGAAGAATGACACTCCTCTCCGCCAATCTGTCCTCCGCCCACTTTATTCAATTTTTTAATCTGGAAAATGTGTAAATTTATCCCCGCATCTCGTGGGCCCATCGGGACTCAAGAAAAGGGCTTGGCTTCTAGAGGGTTTTTGAGAATGGGATAAATAAAACCCCAGACAGATTCTACTTCTGGAGATTGAGGAGTGCATTGTGTGAGGGAAAGAACGGATGTCTGGGTGTTCCAGCGCAGTTAGTTCTTACAACTGAAGGAATTAGAAACAAGTCTGATGTTTGGTGATGACAAATGGAAGTCCGAAGATGGAACAAAACTATTTTTGAAATTTAAAATTTTTTGATTTTGAACTAATTCATTTTTCAAGCCTACAGTATGCCTTATGACCTCTACTGTAATTCTACACCTCTTTCGAAACAACTGTTGCCTCCCCCCTCCTTTTCATCACAATTTATCGCGTTTATCTTATCCATTTTTCGTCATCATCCTTTTTCTTGGCCAAAATTTTTTTTCCTCTCTTGACGGAAATTGTGGCATCAAAAAACTCTTTAGTGGCGTAAAATGATGAAGATGCGAGGGGGTATGTTTATCTGCTGTTATTAGATTTGACACTTCGTCTTCGGGAAGGACAAGGAAGATTCTTTCTGTCGGGCTTCTGTTCTAATTTTCGACTGGCATGATCGGGAATAGAGGGGAATTCCGGATTTTTTGAGTGAGAAATGGAGATCAAGGTAGAATAAGCAGGTCTGTTATGACTTTCTTTAGAATTTTTGTCTCTGTACAGTAAAAATCCAGCCCATTATTTCTCGAACTAGACTAGAAGAGCTGCAAAAATCCTGGAGGCCAAGAAAGACCTCGAATTCGCCTCCTATACACATCAATTGCAACTCTTCCGTTTACCTCCACCCTTCCCATTTATCATCCTCATCCCCTCTATTATCCCCAAAAAAATCTTCGTACTCGTTACAGCCCCCTTCTGATTCATTGACCACCGGACGAGGAGATAAATGCGCGGGGATGTTTTGAGCCGGAAGAAATGGCCATCCAAATTGGTTGGGTATACTTTTTTTGGAATGGCAAGTTTATTCGCAATGAGTTTTTTAGGAGACTAAGTTTATGTGAAGCCAAATGATGGACGTGGATGTATGAAGGATGCTGTGAAAGGGTGGAAATTTAAGCGATGGGGGTCGAGAGGGCTAACTATACTAAATCTATGGTTGCAGACCCATCTTATCTCTTGAAGCTTGTTCGCTTTTAAAAATGTTTCTAATAGTTATATAGCGCTTTAAATTGCGTGATATTTCGTGGCGTGATATTTCGCGCATATTTCATCGTAATCAATAATAACATTAAATTATTAGGGTACGTTTGGACCAGGTTCACCTTAATTTATCTCCTTTACCACCTACTACAAGATCTTCTCGCTGGCTTCCTATGAACGTCACTGGGGTTCTATGGACCCTCTATCCGTTAATCGGCATCCTCGGCTTTGTAAGTAGTTCATTCCCCACCGAAGTACTGCCATAAATTGTTTTATAATCATCATTTTTCAGTTTGAATTCCTCTCAGGCCTATTTTATTTATTCTTCTGCCTCCCATTTTTTGCATTTCTTTTACCAGTCGTTTCGGGTGTCATATCATGCATTACCTCAGTGTACGCCTTAACAATCCAATATTCAACGAAGTAAGTCACGAGATAAGATGAGAATTGATTGATTTCCGTGTTCCGCCTCCTTCCAGATGCGAATTAACAATGCAATTTATGTCGGCGCTACTCTCATTCCTATTATTTTTGAGCACGTTTACAGAAGCAGCATGCCTTCGGCGAAGTAAGTTGCAAAATTACATTTTTGATTATATTTGGTCCGTTCTTATATTATACTAGATGACTAAAGCAATTTTCTAGTATACTCTGCAAATGGAGCTGACAGTTTCTGCGCCGGCATTCTAAATAGGACCTTAGGGTCTCAGATGGCTTGCAAGGACGCCTTATCAGATCTTCAGCAGGACATGCTGACCAAAATGGGATTTCCGGATGCTCATAACTTTGAAATTGGGTTAACAACCTTTTTGGCGATCGTATCTTTAATCCACTTTTGTGCCGCTGTGATCCTGACAACCTTCAGTGCCATTGAAACGAGGCAAGCTACTTACCTGCCCTTATTTTAAGTCCTAAAACATCCAAATTGATATTACACTGCCTAAATTAATATTTTTTTTCAGATTTCGACTCTCCGCCCCTCATTGGCAAGTCGTCTTTGGACTAGCGACCTTACTGATCTCATATGCATATCACTCTTACTGTTGTATCTTCTTTTTTGCCTACTTTCCCACAATCGTCGCCTGCTTTTGTTTGGCCCAAGCCGCAGTTCCATGGCATTTCCGAGAGAAATCTGTTCAACGACAAATCTTTTCCATTGTCGGGGCTGCGTTGAGTACGACGTTAGTGGCCGTTACTACATTGGGGATGCTTTGTTGGTTTAATCGGTGAGTTTTGGCCTAAAGTAATATAAATCATCCAAATTTCGGCAAATATATGTTCTCAAAAACCTACATTTTGATTCTTTTTGCCACTTACAATATTGTTATTGAGCTTCCAATACTATAAACACTTTAGAAACGCTCCAATTGACGATAAATCCCCCGGCATGTACAGATTTTGCACTCTTCCCTCCCGGATCTACCAGGTCTGCCACAAAAGTCTCGCCTTCTCCAAGCCTTATGTGTGGTGGAAGCCGGAACAGATCGCTCAAGAGACGGGTATCGTCCAGATCGCGACTTACGCACTGCTGACCATCACCGGATTCATTCACTTCGGCCTTTTCATGCATGATGCGTTCGGTTCGACATGAGTTTTTTGTCAATAAAAATTAGGCTTATAACACAAAAAACAGCCCAAGAAGGGTTAAACACCCATTCTGAACACCAAAAGAGCCAAACTTCATGATGCATATAATTTACGGACTATACTGTATATTACTTTAGATTACAGAAAACAACCCGGAATGCTGAGAGAATTCGAATATTAGGCGTTGATTCCCTCCGTGGCCGTGCAAAGTTCGGCGGCCAGAGCGTAAAGTTGGAGTTTTCCGTCGTTTCCCTTGAGGGCATTCAAATGAGTGAGACCAATTATCTGAAATCATCATGTGTAATGTAAATAATCAGTCATTTTGACACAAACTGCTCTAAAGAGGTCAAAAAAGGTGTGGGTGAGCTATCTGATAAAGTCGTCCACCTTTTGTCCGACCCACCCTATCACAAACCCGTTAATTTTATCTAGGCCATGTTTAATATCACTCAAAAAATACGATTTTTGAAAGAATACTTTGTAATAATGGCCCTAAAAACAAACAAAATGCTCTAGTAACTGTTCTTTAGAATTTATACCAAAAAGAAGTCTAAATTACCTTGATATATTCGTATTTTAGGACTTCAGGTATGTCCACATTGAGTAAAGTCCGATTCAAAACTGATAGAATGTCAGTAAATGCATAACCGTCTTTCCTGAGCTTCTCCAAATAAACGACAGCCATCTTGAATTGAGCAGTTTGACATCTTTGGAAGAAATCAGTGATCTCTTCTGGACTCGGCTCATCGCATACTTTATACACAACATCAGCCGAGACTCGACCATAACCCGAAGCGGTGCATTGGAGATTGTTCAGAGCCTGCAAAGGAGAGAGTCAGGATATATACAATAAAGTCTTGGAAGAGAAATTTGTAATACTACACTTGCCATTCGGAGATCTCCTTGGCTGGTTTGCCAGATGGCTTCGAGTCCATCGTCTGTGTAATCAACTCCCTCTAGTTCGGCGACATTCTTCACCCTTTTTATTAGCTCCTCGCGACTCAACCGACTGTATTTTACAATTGCGCAACGACTTTGGATTGGCTCTAAAACAACACGAATTATTGTTTATTACCGAAGTTCTTGGATGTCTAAAAAGAAAAAAAAACAAGGCAAAACACATACCAATAACCTTGTCACTTTGGTTGCAAGCCAACATGAATCTTGTCGTCTTCGAATAATTCTCCATAATCCTCCTCAAGGCTTGCTGAGCACCTTCAGTCATGCTGTCAACCTCATCCAAAACAATGATCTTGTGCTTCCCCAAAGGTAGTGTGACATGGCACTCAGCAAAGTCTTTTATTTTCTGTCGAACAACATCGATTCCACGTTCATCCGAGGCATTGAGCTCAATTACCGCTTTCTTGTAGAGATCTCCAAGCATTTCTCTTGCCATCGCGTGAATAGTAGTCGTTTTTCCACATCCTGGTGGACCCTGTAATCAAACGATTATAAGTAATAATCCTTATTTGTAGCGTTTTCCTACAACGTCCTAAACTTCGATGAAAAGAAAGAAGCCAAACTTACAGCCAAGACCATGTGGGGGACATTGCCATTTCTTGCAAAGAACTTGAATCTCTCGATAGTTTGTGGATTTCCAGCAACTTGATCCAACGTCTTGGGCCGATACTTCTCTACCCTGAAGGAAATTGGTTTAATATATTCCTTTAATTTTTCTGCAACCTATTAATAAGCTTCGCTACCAAAGTTAACGCATAAAACAAAAGAAAAAAGCGAAACTTTGAGCTTACCATGGAATATTAGCCTTAGGTTTTGAAGTCTTGTCCACTTCCATCGGTTCAGCGGCTGTTTCACCCATTTTGTTACCTGATTTGCTTCTAAACTTTGGCAGAATCAAGTTCGACAATTTTCTGCATCCAAAAATATGTTTCCCGCGCAAATTGAGATTTTTTTACAAATAATTTTTCGAATTCCCGCGATTTTCCTGATGTTTCTATGCGTCTCACCACGAAGTCTGCATTAGAAATTTTTTTCACAAAAAGATTTTCTCGCGGTTTCAGTGAAACTATCGCGGAGTTGGAAGACAGCCAAGCAATTTTGTTCGGACATCGAGAAGTTCATCAAGGCCGACTCCAAGAAGACCCCAGGGCCGATTATTAAACCTTCAACTTTAAAAGTATTTAGCTATGACCCGAACCAGTCGGAAGCTACCCAAAGAGTGAGGATTTTGTGGAGAGGATGGATATTTATTGTGTTTTCAGGGAGATTTGGTGTTTTTCTATTTCCATTATGTTACAGTTGCTTTCAGATGGGATTTCTTGATAAAATTGGGATTTTCTCCCTGGTTTTATCGATATTTTTTATGTAAAGGTTCGGAAGGGGAATGTTTATTGATTCGGCTCCCCTTTCGAATTGACATAATGTCTTTGTCGTTTTCGGCGACCTTAATTTGCATTTTCTAAGCCTTTATTTTAGAATAATCTATTGTCTTGATGTTTGAAGCTCCCGAATGAATTTAGATCTTCGTTATTGTAACGTAGATGATATAAGCTCGTTGTGTCTTGTTTTTTATAGATATTTGCATTGAGTTATTGCTGTTTCTAATCCATTCTTTTCAGATGGGCGAGGTACGAGCCGATCGGAAAAGTGGTGGAAGGAACGAGGATATTCGCCTTCAAAACCCCGTTGTGCCATGAGTTGTGTTGTAAATACACGAAGAGCAAACGATTTACAGTCCAGGATTTTTATCGAACCGTAAGTTGCTTCGTTGTTTTTATTTTGTTGGCTTTAGCTTGTGGATAATGTAAAATGTTAAACGAATTACTATTTTTATTACAAGAAATGCTCTTGTTTGCTGAATTCCGTAATTCCAGACGTTATTCGGTGGTATTGATGTTGGGTTGGTGATAAATGCAACGAATACGCAGAGGTATTATGAAAAAGCGGAAGTGGAGATCTTGGGAATTGAATACGTCAAACTGCCTATGCATGGTCGAAGTTTTGTAGAGAGCGATTCGGTGGTCAAAACATTCATTAGATCGATTGACGACTTCCTGGAACGGAATAAAGACAACAGTGGGTTGAAGTTATATTATACATGGCATTCACCTAGAGAAGTTGATTAAAGACTTTACTTATAGATAAACTGATTGGAGTTCACTGTACTGATGGGGTAAATCGATCGGGCTACCTGATTTGCCGATATCTCATTGATCGGTTGAGCTTAAGCTCGCACAATGCTTTAAACGGTTAGCTGAATATCAAAGTAAATTATGTTTATATTTTTAGTGGTTGAAACTGCCAGAGGATATACAATAGAACGAGGAGCGCTTATTCAAGCTGTCCACAGAGCCGACAGGGAGCGGAGGCTTCGGAAGTATGTTTTTTACTTTTTTTATCCTGTTTTTAGGTAACTAAACATAGTTCATATAAAATTTTTCCAGAAAACGGCCAAATATTGAAAGTGACGGCGAAGAAGACGAACGAGAAAAGCGAAAGAAGAGAAAACGACAAGCCCTCAAACAGGAAAACAACGCTTTGGATGACACCCATGAACAGATTGATCAGGATACCCTGGCCCAAATTATGCAGCTAGAACAAACCCTTTCGTCGCAGCACACTCAGAGCGTCTCACAGAATGAGTTCCCACATCAATATTTTGAAGAGCAAAATCAGAAACGAGTCCAATCGAGTCATTTCCAACTTCATCAACAATACCAACAATTTGTTCAGAATCAATCCGGAACCAGCAGTCCTTATGTTGATAGCCCGCAAATGGAAGAGGATGAGTTTGAAGATGATGAGGAACAGACAATCGTAAGTCTTATTTATTTATTTTTTTATTTTTAGGTATTAATTTATTATACATGACATTTTTGATCCATAAGTTTATTTTGATCCTTTCAGGACATCTCAACTCTCGGAAAAATTGATGTTGTGGAAATGTCAACGGCCCAGCGTCGCCGCCAACGTCGCAAAAAGCTTGAGAAAAAGTTTGACGTCCAAAAACGAGGGAGATTTTGGGAAATCAACGAACTGAACAAACAGTAATCACAATGGGTATTAAACAATGTATTCTTATGTCGTATATTTCGTCACCTAAAATGCGTAGCTAGTTGAACCCAAGAATCTCTGTTTCAATAAGTTAATTTTATAAAATTTTCAATGCTTTGCATAATAACTCGATTAAATTGATGGATAAGCTGGTTTTAGAGCATGATTTAAAGAAAGAGTTATGGTGTTGTTATGCAGAGAGTAGTCTACTGAATAATTTTTTTTGAATCAAAATACGAATAAATATTAATATATGTAGACTTTGAAATATGGGGTTTTCACACAAAATTCCTTGGGTAGTTTTTTTGTGGATTTAGTTTCCTCCAAATTTTGCTAATTTAATACTCCGAACAAGTGAAGAAATAGACAAGTATAAATACGAGGTTAATATTATAATTGTAACCTGATCTAAAGACTCTGAGTTGGTGCTGTTGACTTTTCAGACTCTGTTGAAAATATTTTTGGATGAAATTTTATGGATCATGCTGTTAGAGACTTCATCTATTCTAATTCAAAAAATCTTGTTTTGCAAGAAATTGTAGGTGTTTTGGAGATTGTTGTTCATCTTTGTTTTATCATGGCGTCAGGATGGTTAATTTGATTAGTTGAGAAAAAAAACAACTGCCTATTTAAACTATGGAAGTTTAGTTTAACTTGGGGATCTTTTGATTTGTATTTTTGGGTGTTTCTCGCATTTTATTCATACTTTTCTAACTTACACTTCTTGTCTTATGTACAATATAAAGTTTCGTAGTATAACTCCTTCTCCAAGAAGTTTCTGACTCCCTGATTCAAAGGATCTTGTCATAAAAGGGCGTGGATGAAAACGAGAGAAAACATTCGATTCAAAGGAAACGAAAGGGCTACATTATCCATCAAAGAGGTCTGGAAGAATTTCTTTTAACCGATTTCAGGTGGATACATTGTGGGAATCAGATGACATAATCGCCCGAACGTTTTCTAATCCTTCTTTTATGTGTTTCCCATAAAAAACAAGTGAATTTAGAGTAATCAAATGATGAAAATTGAGATTTCTTTTGACACTCTTAGCTGCAGGTATAAACTACGATTATTTTCGACATTTTATGTTGAACTTTCATTTATCTGTACTCCGTTGTCATCAAAAGTTGTTATATTTTGTATTAACGAGATTCCTTTGTTCCGATTGCATCAGAATTGAGAATAAATTATTCAAATCTCCCCCAAACTACAAAAAGAAGATAATTTTGGCCTCTCAAGGACACAGAGAGCTCTCAAAATATCTGAGGCTTTGGGTCTTCGGAAGCCATTAAGATTTTTAGGATCAGGATTGGCGGATATCCGACAATTCATAGGAAATCTCAATCGTAAATTTATGGTGCTTCGATTCCCACAGAAAATCAACTCTTTTTTACCAATTCTTTGAAGTAGCTCTATTGGTAGTATGAAATTTTTCAAAATCCCCAAAAATTTTTTGTTTAGCACAAATTTTCATTTCAGCTGCCCATAAACTCCATCATCTCTGACCTTCGCCGAACAAATTGTTCGTATCTCTGTATTCTACCATAAAATTAATTTACTTCAGTCATCATTGTTTTGTTGATTTAGTTCACAACCCAATTTATTTTGTGGAATTTTAATTTTAATCCTCTGGAAGTCAGAAGAGCAGAACGTCCCTTTTCGGAGGTACTGGTCACTGTAACATGTTTTTTGATTTCCGCTAATTGAACCGTAAATTTGGGGCGATTTCGTTTTTCAATCGCGGAGGTTCGTTTTGGGTTACTTTTAGGTTTTTTATTGGATTCGGTTAAGAGAGTTAAGAGTGGGTTAAATCGATGATCAAAAAGTAACCAGATTTGCTCAACGTTTGATTTATATAACATTTTTTTCAGGGTGAAAACGTAAATTTCTCATTAAAACTGCTTTTTAGTCATCCATTTAGCCATAAGCTTTATGAGATTTCGCTGAAACTTGGCATAAATTTGAAAAAATGGGGCTTGAAAAATACAAAATTTTACAATTTTCAATTTCCTTCTCAATTTCAAACAGCCGTTAAGACGCTGTTGTCGCTGATCACTTTTTACAACGGCGATCCCGCTCTGTGAAGAATCTTAAGAATTTTTTTCAAAAACAACTCTGATTCAACAAGTTTTCGAACCATAGAAAAGAAAGGAAAGTTGTGTTTTGTAAAGGTAAAAAGAACGTATTACATCTTAGCGCACTTTTGCTTACACATTTTTAACAGGAAGTTTAAGGGGTCATAGTAAAAAAGTATATATTTTTGGTGATGTTGAGGGCAAAATTTAGGTTATTTTTCAGAAAAAATAGAGTTTTGATTTTTTGAAAGTTCATGCTCAAAGTTTGATGTGTTTCCTAAGGGCGTATACGCCTTTATAAAAAGGATTTCTTTATATAAAATACCAAAGGCTGGCTGTACTGACAGACTGTTTTTTGGCGATTTGTTACAAAACTTTTCGAGTTTTTAGCACTTCAGGTTTAGTCATCATGTGTAATATAAATATTTTTTACCCCGCTTTTTCTCAAAATCTCCTCAAAATTCTTCAATAACACAACAGTTCTATTACTCTCTCATTGATCCCGCTCAATTATTTATTTTTAAGCCTATTTTTACAACTCAAAACATACGTCAGATATTACACTGTGATTTGGACCATGTTTACCTAGTAAAAATAGATCAGCTGACCGTCGTATTGCTCGCCAATCACTCTCTTCTAATCACTTATCAACCCATTTATTTTGGTGGAGATTTCTGCGCATTTTTCGAATACTTTTCGCCAGATTCTTACAGTTTTTGACCGATTGTTTTATAAGATTTGAAGGTCTCTGACGATCTTCATTTTAAAGTGCTTGAGCTGTTCATAAATTTCTGTAAATGCGGAATTACTCTTCAAGGTTCAGTGTATTGTCCGTAGATAGTAACTACAAAACAGTTTATTTTAGTCGAAAAACTAGTTTTCCAATCAAAACAGAAGATGATTCTTACTAGTTTTTTGTTAATCAGTACAGATTGACCTTTAAGATGGGTTTACTTTATTTACAGTGGTCGGAAAGGTTTCTTATTCTTACTCCCACGTTTTTAGTGTTATTACTAATCAAGTTTCGATCAAAAGGATCTTGAACCTCGATCTCTTCGACAAAGAATGTTCTAAAAAGTTTTTTTTGACCTTTATGGTACTGTACTTTCCAAACACGTTCCAATCCCTCCCTTGCAACCTTGTCTTTTCCCAGTAATTACCCCAAGATGTCGAACAAAAGGCCGATCTTTCGCCTCAATCATCTCTCGCCCCCTACTCTTTAATTCCTTTACCTTTTAAGGCCATCCCCGGCCTCATTACTTGTAAATGGCCCGAGTAATGCCTTTTGCAGCCATTTTTGTTCCGAACAAATGCAAAGCAAATCGATGGATTTGAATTCTTTTTTTAAAGAAATCTCAGTAACTAAATATTTGATAAAGCCTCTCAGTAACCACTTGTTTTGAAACCCCCTTTAATGACGTTCTTTTTTTGACGTGAATCCGTGACCAGCAGCGTGAAACCGCGACGTCGTTCGGTGAATAAAACACGAGGTTATGTCATAAAGAAAAGAAATGGAGAGGTTAGATGTTAAAGAGGTCGGAAAAACAGCTCAAAGAAAAGGAGTAATGGTCAGATTGAGGGGAAAGTGTTTACAGTGTTGGCTTCTGCTTGCTTCCCTGCTATTGTTCAATTTTTTTAAAATTTGTCATGACTTGTTTTTGTCATATTTTTTGAAGTTTAAGAAAAATTTTTTCCAGATTCCGATTTTTTTAAGTGTGAATTTCAGATTAAAATTTTGGTTGATTACTGTAAGCATGATCTATAAGTTTCACAAATGCTTTACGATTAGCAAAGTTCTGGTCTCAATTCGCCTCAAGTTTCATCGAAATTTATAGAGAATATTTTTAAAAATTTATTCTTTTTTCTACAGTACTTTTTATCCAAAATAGCCCTTGAATTTTGATTCCCCAATTAAAACTTTTAATCGCAGCCCACGTAATTGAATCCTCTTTATCAATACCTATAATAGTTGAGGTCAATATTTGCAAACTTTAAACGTCAAACAAACTGTGCGCGACCTTTGTTTGCATTTTTTTCATTTTCAAAATTTGAAACCGCCTTAGAAACGGAGCTCCTTTACGTAATTGTGGGCTGATTCAGACATTCTTTTGTATAAAAATGTAGTCTTAAAAAGTAGTATGATTTCCATTTAGTACCAAACAACATGATTACCAAAGGTTTTATTTTTGTTACAGTAATCCGTTGGAATTCTAAAATTACGTTGAAAATGAGATTTTATTATTTGAATTCCACAAATAGTTTTCGCTTCATTCTGGCGACAAAAACAGATTGATTTACACTGAAAAGGGGTCCTTTCGAGAGTGAGAATACTAATTGAAGTGTGATTTGGGTGGTTTTATTACTTTAATTACAACGCTTTATTTGGGGTGACCCAAGATGGAATTACATTGAAATTAAGAGTTTATGGGATTAGGTTGGGGTTTTATTGTTTTGGGAGGTAAAATACGCCCATTTAGATTGCAAATTTTACAGAACTCATGTTCGAAGAATATACCAATGATTTTAATCAGAGAATGCCGCGGATTTTCAGGTTTCTCTTCATTTTCCATATCTCAACTTCAATGATCGTTGAATAGTATAAATATATGCCTGCAAGGTGTGATCTAAAATTTTTAGAACTAGATTTAAGTTTTATGCCAGTCTCTTTGACAAATTACAAGGACGTTTGAAAAGCGCACTTTCAACATGAATTTTTAAGGAATTTAAAGTTTTTTTGCAAAACCCGTACCTTTTGATCTTCCTGCAAATAACTTGATCACTTAAATTTCTTCTATTTCCAAATTTCAACCAAATTTTTTCGTGGCTTCCTCAAAATTGACGATGATTTTTACAATCTCTTCCTTCCAGGAGTCATGACGGAGAAGGGGTTGATAGCCACCGTGCGTGGCTACCCGCGCGCCGTCTTCTACTCGCTGGGAAATGAGTTCTGCGAGCGATTTTCGTATTTTGGAATGCGGGCGATTCTGGTGATCTATCTGTTGTATGAGCATAATATGTCGGCAAGGTGAGGTTTACAATATATTTTGACTCTTCCTTATTTCCGTGTTTAACCCATAGTTTTCTGTTCAGCAAGGCCTTCCTCGTCTATCACATTTTCATCGCCCTTTCCTATTTGTCATCATTATTTGGCTCGGTCGCTGCTGACAATTATTTTGGAAGATTTAGAGTTATCATATGGGTAAGTAAATCTGTCATCTTGAAAGACTTTTTAAGATTAGATGAAATTTTCTCCACGAAACAGGAACAACTTTAATTCCAATTATTTCAGGGAAGTGTAATATACGTTTTGGGGCACGTCTGCCTTTCCTTTGGCGCCGTTCCTAATCTGGAGCATTCCGTGAGATCTCTGTTTGACTTCGGAGGTCTTTTTATCATCGCCTTTGCGACTGGCTCCATCAAACCTTGTGTTAGTGCATTTGCGGCGGATCAGGTAAGATGGTCTACTATAAGGTTGATGAAACAAGTTTTTGACGTCGGTTGAAAGTTACTTGGCACAAATCATTGCTCTAGGCCATAAATCAGTTGCTTTTTTAGACAGGGCCATGTAAAATGAGGGGAGGTGGCCAGATTACTTCAACTCATATCCTAAATTATCCTTGCTTTCAGTTTGAAGGCCGTGCGGATGCCGACAAGGAGCGTGAGCGTTTCTTTTCTTTCTGGTACTTCGCGATCAACGCCGGCTCCCTCCTCGGCATGATCTTGACCCCCATCCTCCGCGGCCGAGTCTCCTGTCTCGGCTCCGACTACTGTTATCCTCTTGCATTCGGTGTTCCCGGAGTGTTCATGCTGTTTGCCTTCCTAATTTTCCTCAGCGGAGTCCGCCATTATCGACGGGTACCCGCAGATAAGGGAAATGTAATCGGGCAGGTTGTGAAATGCATCGGATTCGCGGCCAAGGAGAAGGTGAAGCACGTGGCTAGTGGGAAGAACACGAAGCGGGAACATTGGCTGGACTATGCGGACGGGCATTTCAGTCATTCTCTGATCGCGGGAGTCAAGAGTTTGCTGGGAGTGATTGTAATGTACATCCCGGTTGTGTTATACTCCGCGTTGAACGATCAAATGGGGTCCACTTGGCAGGAGCAGAGTATTAAACTCAACGGAAGAGTGGGGCCTTTCACCATCCTCCCGGATCAACTCAAGATCCTGAATCCCCTTCTGATCCTGTTCATGGTCCCCATATTCGAGGCCTATATCTATCCATGTGTCAGGAAGTTCACTCCGGTTACATCGTTGAGGAAAATGGCGACTGGAGGTATTCTGACGGCAGCGGCATTTGTTTTGGCTGGATTTCTGGAGGTATGAACTTTTTTTATTGAACTTAGAGAGTATATTCGAAACTGAAGTTTCCAATGTTTGGAGCTCAAATTTTTAACCACAAATTTTTGCAGCTCTCACTCCAGCCTTCTCTGGAGCCCTCTCCAGTCGCTGGCCACGCTTTTGTCCAGCGATTTGGCAACGCGTCCATGGATCTCCGGACTCTGAACGGATTCCCCCTCCAAATTGGTAAAAATGAATGGCAATCCGGTGAATATATTGTCCAAACAAATGATGGGACAAATATGAACATCACTGTGAAGCCTGAGGAGACAATTGTACTTGGAGTCTATGATGTGGATGGGGAAATCAAATCGTTTTCTTTCCCATATTCGGTCAAGAAACCTGAAAATCTTCGAACCCGGCTGTTTTTGTTGGTCCCTCCAGGCTCTGGATTAATTGGGAAATCGCTTTTTATCTATAATGAAAATGGAAATCTGGATCAAGAAGTGAAGATCGCCCCAGGCAAGAAAGTGGACTTACAACCGGGATCTGTCAGCTCGCCGAGATACCGGTTTAAATATGGAGATGGGTGCACCAAGGAGAGTTTGAACTGCCCGTATGAGAGGTGGGTTACTGTAATCTCATCAAATTTTGAAACATTTCAACAAACGAGTTTCAAGATTTAATTGCAACTTTTTTCAGAGACTTTCGCGCTGACATGGGAGCCGTCGTGGTGCTCGATCTCTCGGACATCACCTCCAATGGAGAGCAGACAATAGTCCGTCCAAATACGGTCAACATCCTCTGGCAAATCCCCCAGTATGTGATCATCAGTGCGGGAGAGATTCTGTTCGGGATCTCCGGCCTCGAATTCTCCTATTCCGAAGCCGCCCCCAACATGAAGTCGGTGCTTCAGGCCATGTGGTTGATGACAACTTTCTTCGGGAATCTGATCGATGCCGCCATCTCCGGCACCAAGATTGTTGCAGACCCGGCGGCGGAGTTCTTTTTATACGCGAGTATGATGTTCGCGGTCATGATTATTTTCATTATTATGGCCATGCGATACAAGAGTGTGGACAAAAAAGAATTCGACGAATTGCCCGCGGAAAAGCCGGAGATCGACGATTAAACGATTAACGGGTTACTGTAATTTTTTGATTAGAATGTCTGCCTTATTCCAAGGTTACGGTAATTTCATTTTCTACTTTTTTTGAGAGAATAATTTTTTGTAGATTTTACAAAATCCGTAGCTTCAGAATCTCCATTTTTTAGGATTTTTTTTATTTTAGACTACAATCTTCAAACTCGAATCATCAAAAGTAAAAAGTCTGCCTTTGAGGGTCTTTTTTTAGTAGTTTTGATGCTCGAAAAAGCCGAAAAAATGGCAGGGTGGGATGTTTTTCTAACTCTTTTTTATTAAAAAAGGATTTGAAATTTTAGGAACTTCTCTGCATTAAAAAATCTGCGGACTAAAGTTGACCTTAAATTACGAAAAATCGTTATTTTGGAAAGCTAAAAAAATAGGTTTAAAAATTTTCCCCTCCGGCCATTTATCAAAATTTTCGTTTCAAAATACTTAAAATCAATTTTTAATTGTTTTTTAATCCATTAGGATCTCTTTTCATCCCCGATTTATCCATTTCTTATTAATTTTTATTGTAATGTCGCCTTGAATATTGTTTTATTCCGAGAAAAGCAATTCCCAGTACATAACCAGCTAGATGTATATTATCTTGTGTGTATTTATAGACATAATAAACTTGAGATTACTCGAATCATTTTTAAAAATTTATTGAAAACAGAGAAGTAAGTTATGACGCAACAAAGAATCGAATCATTTTTTACAAAAATGTTATTCTTGATGGCTGCCTTGATGAAAAAACGGGTCTTATCTGATTATTTATCAAGGGAAAAAAGGAAAACAGTGTGTTTTATGTTATATTTGTTGGGCGTTTTTATTGGACAGGTTAAACCTTCGAGTTGTATTAGAATTTATAGCGTAAACTACAGTAATTTTTTGTTCTTCTTGCTGAAAAATTGAGTGGTTTTTAATATGTTCGTGAAATCCGTAGTTTACAAAATCTTCGTTGCTATTTTTTACGTTTTTTATTCTTCGATCTTCAATATTTTTCACCCTTTTTTCAGTTTTTCAAAATGACTTCATTGGTTCACCGGCCTCGGCAAAGCCAATGGCCGGCCATTTCCATGGACGAGGCTTACCAAATACTGTTAAAATCAGCAGAAGGAGTGGCGGTTGAGGAAAAGAAATTCAAAGATCTCCAAATTGGTAGGCCCCTATCGATTAGTACTAATATGCAATTTCCCCTATTTTTGTTCAAAAAGTTCTCATATAAATCTTTATTATGTATTTTGTATACAAAATACAGTATACTGTAAGGGTTTTAGGTGACGTAATAGCCGAAGATATTACCGCTCTGTGGCCTCATCCTCGTTTTCGGACCAGCAGAATGGATGGGTATGCCGTTAAATGTAAGAAAATCGACATATACTACTGCTTCTACTAGTGTCTCATATCATAAAAAATATTGTTTTTTCTAATATTTCCAGCCTCCGATTCGACCGGTCAATTCCAAGTTCTCGGTGGAATAATCGCCGGCCAGTCCGCCAGGTCTCTAAAAATTCCCCCAAAACATTGTTTTCGGATAAATACGGGCGGAATTGTCCCGGATGACGCTGATTCAGTGGTCCCAGTTGAGTATACAAAGCTCATTTCTCACAATGTAAGTGTAAAATACGACATCACAAGGTTCAATGTAATCTTTTAGGAATCCGAGGAGCTGACAATTGAGATTTCGTTGGAAACAAAACCAGGGCAAAACATTCGGTAGGTGATGATAATTTGAGGTCAAAAGGGGAGAAATTGAACTTGAGAAATTTTATTCTAAAAAATTTTGAAAAATCATCAAAAAATAAAAATTTTTAGTGAAGTCGGAAGTGACATCAAGCAACATGAAGTCCTCATAGACAAATCTACAGTCCTCACAGCGCCAGAAATAGCACTGCTGGCCGCCAATAATTACTCCAAAATAAAAATTTTCCGTCGCCCAATTGTGGCGGTGATCTCAACTGGCGATGAGTTGGTCGACATAAATGACATTGCGGAGTTGAAAGAAGGCCAGATCATTGATTCAAACCGACCCATGTTAATTGAGCTGATCCGATCTCAGGGATTTGATTGTGTTGATGGAGGGATTGTCAGGGATGAGTAAGTGGTACTGTTAAATCAAAGTAATATTTTTTTTTAAATTAAATTTCAATTTCAAAAAAGAGTTTTCAGAAGAGAATTGCTCGTAGAACATATCAAAAAAATTGCCGAGAAGTCGGATGTCCTCGTGTTTTCTGGCGGCGTCTCAATGGGGGATAAGGCAAGTGTAATTTTAAAATTACCATGAATATAATTTTCCCGGAAATCTCAAAAGTTTTTCTTTATTTTGGGACCTTACAACGTATAATAAGGCCAATTCTAGTTTTATTTCCTTGTTTCAGGACCTTCTAAAGCCGATTCTGCTGCAGGATCTCGATTTTGACATCAAATTCGGTCGCGTTTTCATGAAGCCCGGTCTCCCGAACACTTTTGCCTCAGGCACTCTTCATAATCGTCCCAAATTCGTCTTCGGATTGCCTGGAAATCCAGTGAGTGCCTACGTCTCCTCCCATCTGTTTTTATTCCCATTCCTTCGACGGAAATCAGGCCAAATCTCGGCCGAATTCGCTCCGAAGATCTCGGTTTTCCTCGGATGCGATATCAAGTTGGACAGAAGACCGGAGTATGTGAGGGCGGTGATGAGAGTGGAGGAGGGAGAGTGCTGGGCGGAGGTGCTGACGACCAATCAAGTGTCCTCGAGGCTGCTGAGTGTGGCCAAAGCCAACCTTTTGTTGGAATTACCGGCCTTTTCGGAGCAGCGACAGCAATTCCGGAGGGGAGAAAAGGTCAAGGCGCTGGTCATTGGGCCTATGAATGTTCACTAAAACATCTTTTGCGCTCAGATTTTCATGGTATTTGCGAAAACGGGGTATTTTTAAAATACTTTTTGAAGAAATTTTTAAAAAATCTGTCAACCGAAAATGTCTTCCTAACATAGTATCATACCTAGTGCATAATTTATACAGTATTACAAATATTAAAAAAATATAAATATTTATACGGCACTTCACAATAAATAATTTTACAGTAATCCTAATTGAATTTTCCCTTCTTAATCATGGCCAATTTCTCCTCAAACCATCTTTTTTACGCGGTCACGAATGTCTCTAGATCTCCAATATGATGCTTTGGGTAATCGAAGCGAGCGATTTTACTCCAAAATAAAAAAAAATCTAAGATACAATAAATTAGTTCATAGAATTTACAGGGATAATAAATAATCTCTACACCGTATCTAAACTATCGTTATGATTCCATCAAGACAACATCTACATTTCCCGTGGTATGATTGAGTCTGGCTCGTTTCCAGGGAGCCCCGAGGCGATAAACTTTGAGAAATCCATTTGAACAGCTTGGGCAACGGTCTGTTTGGAGGTCGTATTCAGGCAACAGCTTACTTTCTCTATAAAATATGATTAAGTCTCCATTAAATTTCGTGTAAATCTATTGCTAGGCCTAAAAAATTCAAAACCTTTCCATTACCTGAACCCACAGCACAAATCCTGACAAATGTACGTATAATCCGAGTCCTCATCGTAGTTGTGGTTAACGGAAAGAACCGGCAGCATGGGGAGAGTTTTGGCGCATTTTGCTACCCTGAAATCAAAAATATTATATTACCCATGACCAGAGATTGCCACGGCTCCGGAGCCGGCTCTTGGCTCCGGCTCTGAGCGGCTCCGGCTCCGAGCCGGGAGCCAGAGCCGGAGCCGGAAATTTTGGGGTCGGCTCCGGCTCCCGAGCCCAAAGTCGGAGCCAGGCTTCCCAGCTGTCAGAAAAGTAAAAATTTTGTGATCTTGTTAAACCAAATTGCTTGAAAAACACTGCGGAGGATGTGACTTGACTGCAAAAACGTTGGCTGTATAATCTCTGGCACTAATAACTTTTATTTTTGGAAAAATATTTAAAAAAAAACATTTTGCATAGGAGCCGGGATTCGGAGCCCGAGGCCTTTTTAAGTTTTGCACGGAGCCAAGAGCCGGAGCTGCAAATTTGGCCTCGGCTCCGGCTCTGGGAGCTAAGAGCCGGAGCCGAAATTTTGACCGTGGCAATCTCTGCCCATGACCAACAACAACATAACATCCATAATTGCGATAAAAATCCTTACCACTTCGCAAACCTTGGCCCATGAACCTCATCGGAGTAATCCAGCCGGTACACTGCCGCATGGCACATCTCATGAAGCAGGGTGTTCTCTGCCCTGAGGCCAGTTTTCAAAATCTTGGAGGACAATTTGATGACGTCATATTTGGGGGTATCGCCAGCTACATATAGACCGGCGTGCTTTGAGATGCGACCATTCCACTCCAATTGCAATGATTTAGGGATCTAAAGACCTTAATTTAGATACGGAAACAACCAAAACTCCAAAAATTTGAAAAAAATCTTCAAAGTCTCAGTTTCAATGGTCAAAAAGCTCACCTTATCTTCAAAAATCGCTTTATTGAATAACGAAAAGAGCTTCCTTGATAGGTGGATTCGATTATCCTTGTTCAAAACGATGCCTTGGATTTCATTCAGGAATTTGACATCTTTTTCAGGCACTAAAAAAATATTTTTTTTTCAATTTAAAACTCAACTTACAATCGAAAACTCGGCTTTCCGAGCTACTTCCAAAGCCGTTCCCATCAACTTTTCGTTCTTCTCCATCCAATTCCTCTGTTATTCCACTCTTTTTGATCGGTTTTCCTCCTCGACTGACACTTTTATTGATCAAAATCTTGCTTCGATCGTTCGATTTCAAAGTCTCTGACCAAGATTCTGATTCCACGGTTCTTTCCGCTTCATTTCTATCAGTTTCTTCCCCATCTTCAGTAGCATCACTCATCGTTTCTTCCAAATCTTCATCTTCACCTTGTTCATTCTCATTTTCATTCGTAATAACCGGCAATTTCCTGAAGGAAGAGACTCCCTTCTTCACCACATAGGTTCCTCTGCCATTCTTTTCCTTCTCCTCGGAATTGGTCGAAGATTTTGAGGATTCATAATTAGAAACCTCGTACTCACTTTCCTCCGAATCTGTCGTAATCACATCGCTAGTGGTCGATTTCTCTGTGCTAGTCGCAGATTTCTCCTTTTTTGAGCCCTTCAAAGTTGAGTTAGCAGAAACACCGCTACTTTTCATATCATCTCCTCTTACAGTCATATTATCCATAAGGTCGGTGAGATTGGATCCACTTTCCAGGGCAATGGCTCGGTTCATCGTTCCGTCGGTCTGAAACTTAATGATCCTCAATTTCATCCAATATAATAGTAGCCTCATACCAAAACACTCAATTAAATTTAAAAAATGTCAGGACTGCACCTTGAATAAGGTAAACTAGTATCAGTCTGTCGGGAAAATAACGGCTGATCATCGCGCCTCCGAATCGCCCATCATCGCTTTGCGACTGCAAGCCGCGACTTGGGATTTGGTGCGCGATAGCGGCGAGGCGAGACATTTTGCTGCGACAATCCGCCGTTATTTTCCCCGACAGATTGATATCAAAACTTACAAGGGAAGTACTCCAAGTGCGACGATGACATTTCGATGAAACTAGGCATAAATTTAGAATAATTTTTCCTAAGATATATGCGAGAATCCTAGCTCGCGCTTTGCAGAAACAACCGAGATTTTTAGATCGAAAGTCGGCCAAAATTTAAGACTTTTTGCCGAATTCCGGCACGAAAAGTTTCGTGCCCATTTCTACCGTAAAGGATAATGTTTCTACAAAAAATCAATTTTTTCCGCACGAAACTGCCAAAGTTATGGCCAAAAAGCGTTTTTGTCTCTGACCGCTCTCTACGTTTAGCGTGCTCTCTCGGCGGCGCGCAAAGCGCGAGCTAAAACTTTCAGGGATTATTATTTAGTCCATACCCGACGTGTGTGCAAAATTTAAAGAAAATCTGAGCGTCGCACTTGGAGTACTTCGCCTGTCAAGAAAATTCGATAAAATCAAACTTATTATACGTCCAAATCAACCTACAGCTCAGAAGCAACAAACAAAATCAAACTTTCCTTAATATTATCTCCAAGAATCCCCTAAACCATCCGAAAACACTCCAAATCGTTACCTTTTCCTCTCTGGGCTCGCTTTCTTCTTCCAAGTTCTCAACTTCTCCACTTTCTTCGTCAAGCTCCTCCTCAAAATCGACTTGCTCTCCTTTTACCGTATCATCCATAGATATACCTTCAATATTCAAAGTTTTTTCTTCATCTCCAATTCTTTCAAGTTTCGGGTCGTATTCTCTCTTGGTGCTGGACAAATCCAGGGTCTCAACCGATGAATCCGAGACTCTCCTTCTTTCTTGTGGCTTCTCCGGTTCTTGAGAAGCCAAATCTTGAGATGCCAGCGTGAGCGTAGTGACCGTTGTCGACGAATCATCATCGTAATCCATGTCCGACACTTCACCACTATCATCTTTCAAATCTTTTTTGGCGACTAAAACACTATTTCATTGCTATTTTGTAACTTACAAAAGTCGAAGAAGTCGTCTTTGCAGGGATTATGACACTTCCTTATCTTCTCCATGTCTTCTTTGACATCAAATTCGGTTTCCGAATCCGATGCGGGGACAAAATCATCGTCAATGCTGACGCTAGAATCCGAATCTTGAACTTGGGTTGACGTCAAATTAAAGAAAGTCATTCTGAGACCTGAAAAAACAGTAAAAATTAACAAAAAAAAGTTTACAAATAAATTTTTAGACTATCTAAAACAATATAAGCGACTCACAATCCCTTTCCTTGGCTTCTTCATCCTCCAGTTCCTCTTCAAACTCATCTTCCTCTTCATATTCGATCTCTTCCTCCACCAAATCATCTTCTTCTTCATCCAATTCCTCTTCCGATTCTTCGATCGACTCGTCACTCTTCTCCAACGATTTCTCCTCCTTCTCCTTGCTTTGATCCTTTTCTGATACCACATTTTGTGACATAGTCTCTTCTCTTCTGACACTGTTTTCCTTATCTTCTAATCCAAATGAAAAATCGTCCTGGTCAACCAATTTGAAGCTGGAAAATCGATTGACCGGAGCTGTTTTCTTTTCTTCTGGGCTTTCTAGAATGTCATAGACTTCATCGACTCTCAGACGGCTGAAGACATCAGTATTGGCCATCATCTCTTCATCCTCGTCCAAATTCTCAACTTGAACATCAATTTCGACATGAACTCTACTAATTTTAGTGTGACATGGCTTGGCTACAGCGACATCCCGGGATCTGTCATGTTTTTCTTCATCAACAAGATATGTTCTCTCTTCTTGTTCCACATCTTTCACACTTGGAGCTCTCTTTCCTCTTCTATTTGACATTTTTTTACCTTCTCCATGACTTCCAAATCCTCTCGTATTATTCGACCTGTCTCTGCAAACTTCGTTTTTCTCCTTCTGATTAGCTGATTTGGCCTTCCTCGGTTTTTTTGGACGTTCTGGCTTCATTGTGACCTCTTCTTCATGACCAATATCGTCGTTGATTTGGAAGGTCCCGAAAGCACTGTTGCCTTGAGAATCTGCCTTCTGAGGAGTTGAAATATCAGAGAGTATGTAACGGCTCGTCGAATCAGTTGGGGCGCTTGTTTTCTTTTCAGATTCCGCAATAAAAGTGGCTTCAAACGGGCGTTCTCCAACATTAGAGACGGCGGATAAGTTTATATCAGTGCAATCGGCAGTTTCCACGGATGAGAGACGTGTGGACTCCAACTTCGTGCTCTTAGTTGAAGTCTGCATCTGTGGAAAATTACCTCTATCTATTGAAAGTTTCTTCTGAAGAAAGGTTTTTGCAGACGGGAAGTTGCATGGAGTGATGTTCATTTGATCTAAAACGGCATTCAAATGTCAGTTAGAACAAGAAAATATCCAAAACTTCCCCAAAAACTAGTCTTGTCAGCTAAATTATATTATCCTACCTGCTGGTGGAAGACCCTCGGATTTGGAAGTCCCTGCACCATTCGTCGCTGGACGAAGACCATTTACAACTGGTTGAACCACTAAAAACAGAAGTAAAGTAAATAACAGTAAAAACGTACTGCACAAAGACCGCTTATTTTCCTTCAAATCAGCTATAGTTTGCTCGAAGAATGAGATCGTCGAAGTTTCAACGCTGGAATCGTCCGCCGCATATCCAGCTAGCGTTTCGTCTCGCTTGATAATCTTCCTTCTTCTGACTGTTCTCTTGGCTAAAACAAGATGCTTGAATGACCCCAATGTTATCTAAACATGAAGAAGAAAGAGACGATCTTACACTTTCCGCTTGCTCCTGTTGGCTTGATAGAGTGGACTGGTGGGAGAACTCGTTGATCCAGTGGTGTTCTTCGCAGAGGAAGAGGGATTTTCGACTTGTGAGGTGCTAAAACGTACTCTTACATTCACCTTGCTACCTAAAAAGCGAAAAATCAATGCAAAATCTTACGCTTGGCATTAGGATCATTTATGTTAGCATTATTGGACATTTTCAGCTGCTCCGACTAAATCCCCGACCAGTTGAGACAAAAACCCGGCCGGAGACAACGGAAAAATTGTAAAATGTCAGAGAAATCAAAAGACGTTTTTTGAACTGGGAAAACTCCCGCCGAATGGAACCAAGTGCCACAAATTGATTTCCACCCGTGTTTACAACTTCATTTGTGATTGTAAGTGCCTATATGTATCGACATTTATTTTATTGTTTCCTCATTTTGCTTGTTTTCAAAGGCGAAAAGATCAGTTTTCCCTTCTCCCGCACATTTCTCCACTTACTATAAAGTAATTGACGTCCGAATCCACGGACAGGTGCCCAAAAATTGTTTGTATGACCTTGGGATCGCACTCAACCTAATGTAAATACAAGATCACCTCGTTTCCTCGTGGAAACCCGAGTAAATACATTAAAATAGCCATGTGGAAGGTAGTTGAGTTATTTTGATGGGTTGAAAGACCAAAATTCTTACTCTGAGATGACTATTGTAATAGATTTACTGTAAATATTATCTTCTGATTTACGTATACTTATTATATTTTCTTATATTCACCACCGCTGAGGCCCCGTTCTATCGCGCATGTTAGCCGAGGGGCAGTCGGTTATCTTTTCGCTCGAAAAGTCGCGAGTTCGACTCCCACCAGAATCAAATTTCCATTCGGCCTGTTTTGAGGCCGAAAGGAGCCACAATTCTGGCAAAGAATCGACCGGTCGGCATGGAATATGTTGTCGCGCGTGTGAAGAGAGCGCCAACACCATTGATGTCTGATACATTTTCCGTCTCTGATCTGTTTTCGGTTTTATTTTCGAATCTGCACAAATTTTCGGGGAAAAATAAGATTTTTGGTCTCTTCTCGTCTTTTTCGATAATCGTAAAGGCAAAGAGAAGGTATTATAATTGTTGTCAAGTCCTTTTATAGTTTTGTGATCTTTTTGTGCAGTCCGGTGTAAAAATTTAGGGTCGAGAGACAATGGAATGTGAGGAGAGGCGAGCAGAGAAATTTTTGTTTTTTCGCAATATCTTTGCGAGTATCCCCGCTTTTTTGTAGAAGTTTATACATTATTGAAATTTAAATTAGTGCCGAATCTCCTCAAAATCTTTGCTCTGTCATTCGAGCGCCTTTAAGATAGTTTTTTTACTTTTTTTATGGCGTTATCTAATAAATTACCGTAATTTATGGACGTAGTGTTGAAATCGTGTCCTCAATGACGTCCAAGTTCCGTTCGCAAGAGATCTTCGAAGCAAAAACAGCATAGAAAACGACAGGCGCTGCTTTTTTTCTCTGGCCAGAAATATTTTTGACTCTCTTTTTATTTGTCGCTCTTTCCGAACGTCTTTTTTATTCCAATTTGCATCGAAAACGGCCACTCTTTTTGCGTTATTTACAGTTTTAGAGATTCAGATTTTTATAGAAGCTGTATCTGGATGAAAATCTGAATTTGGCCGCTTCTCTGGTCTAATTCTTGGCCGGAATAAGGGCAAAAAATTCTTTGGAAAAACATGTTTTCATAGGGGGCGTTCTCTTCGGCCCTCTCAAAAGTCCACAGTGAACGTATCCTTTCGTGTGTTTACCCGCTTTTCATGCACTTACAGGAACACACGTGCATGGAGAAATCACTAGTTTTAACGGGTATTTGAAGCGATTTCAAGGGAGTTGTAGCGACTTGAGTGTGCTCTGATAAGGCCCTAAGGCGAGGGTAAAACGTTCGCTTTTTGTTTTGCTCTTTTTCCCTGAGGGCATTAGCAAATTTTTGGGAAGGGAAAACGTGAGGAGACAATGCTTGGATTGGGATGAAACTTTGTAGAAATGGGGGGCCTAGAAAACTGTTTTCTGAGACATTTATGTATAGATGGGGGCTTAGAAGACTGTTTTCTGAGATTTTTATAGAGTTTATGGTTGATAAAGAGTTTTTTTGGTCGAAATTTAAAAAATAAATTAAAATTTTCATCGAAAAAGTCAAAAATTTTGCCTTGAAATTTTCTGGGAGATATTCAACTTTAGCCAAAAGTTATGAAATGGAGAGAGAATCCGTCAAAAAATGCTTCTTCTCTATAAATACGCGAACTTTTTGCTGATGAAGCCGATTTTTTTTTGAAATTTTGCCATCTTCATTTTGAAGAACCTGCCGTTTAACTGTCCAAAATTTTTTTGAATTTTTGAGAGTTTTTTTATTCAAAAAATCATTTCTGTTTCCACACAACGCGGTCTAAACATGTTTCCTCTCCTTATTCCCCTGAGGGCAGAAATCTTTAACTTGTGTTTTATTTGCACGTTTTCCAAAAGAAGGAGGGGTCCCACGTGAAATTTAATTTTTGTCGAGAATTTGTTACAACAATTTAGGGCTTAAAAGAGTAAAAGAGAAGTTCCAGTTTAGTTTCTCTGTCCAATAATTCTTTTCCGAACCTTGTTTCCTACAATTAACCCTTTCCGGACGAGTCGGCACGTATATATTAGAATGAAAGAGGGTACCCTGCTGAGTAACGGCATAATAGTGGTTCAGCCCATCGAAGCGTTATTTGGGACTTATGACAAAAAATGTCCTGAAAAGTACCCCCACTTGACATATCACTTTTAAAATTCTTGCGGCATGCTGTAAATCGGAAACTACCCCTGAATTAAAGTCGAGGAGTCCTAGTATTGTTACATCCAAGAACTGTCCAAATCCGAGCACCATAGAATTTGTTATGGATTTTTGGAAATTGAATTTTTAATTTTGGTCAATTTTGGACCTAAAATCAAGTATATCTTCCGCCGGTATCAACCATTTCGGTCCAAATGTGGTTTTTCCGAATCTATTGTGATGTTAGCTTCTTACTAGAATATTTCCAGAAAAAACCTATGAGGCATATTTCTGTAAAACGCGAAAATGTTGAAAGTGTAAAGGTTTCATCGTATAAAATGTCGTCGCGAGCCGCGAAGGGACGGGCGCAGCTCGAAACGAGAAAATAATAAAAAAAATTTGAGAAATTTGATTTTAGTGTGAAACCAAATTAAAACCGATGGAAATTGCCTGAAAACAGAGTAAAAGTATAAAAATGACATTTAGGTAACGTTTGTGTGCTATTCCTGTCTGTATTTCGTGTTGAATCATCTTGTTGACACTAAAATAATATTTATCAAAGAAAAAATTATTATTTTCTTGTTTCAAGCTGCGCCCGTTCCTTCGCGGCTCGCGGCGACATTTTATACGATCAAACCTTTACACTTTCAACATTTCCGCGTTTTACAGAAATATGCCTCATAGGTTTTTTCTGGAAATATTCTAGTAAGAAGCTAACATCACAATAGATTCGGAAAAACCACATTTGGACCGAAATGGTTGATACCGGCGGAAGATATACTTGATTTTAGGTCCAAAATTGACCAAAATTAAAAATTCAATTTCCAAAAATCCATAACAAATTCTATGGTGCTCGGATTTGGACAGTTCTTGGATGTAACAATACTAGGACTCCTCGACTTTAATTCAGGGGTAGTTTCCGATTTACAGCATGTCGCAAGAATTTTAAAAGTGATATGTCAAGTGGGGGTACTTTTCAGGACATTTTTTGTCATAAGTCCCAAATAACGCTTCGATGGGCTGAACCACTATTATGCCGTTACTCAGTAGGGTACCCTCTTTCATTCTAATATATACGTGCCGACTCGTCCGGAAAGGGTTAATCAATTTTAAAGTGTATAAAAGCGGCAGTAATTTCTTGTTGTCTCTCTTTTTACTTATTTTCGTGCTTATTTTAGGTCGAATCTCCCCAAATGCTGATAATCTCTTGCTAATTCCCCTATCAGCACGAATAAACAAACAAAAGATGTATGTCTTCGGTGTCGTTTAGTACAGGCGTGGTGTTGTTTTTGTGTCATTCTGCTGCTGGGAAATCTAAATTTACTTTGTTTACGCTTCTCTTAATTAGCAATTTCTAATTTTGGCCACGTGTTTGGCCTTTGGGAGATATTATTTTTTGTGGGTCAACGTCAAATTGCGCAAAAAATGGTGATTTTACACAAAATCATTACGAAAAAGGCCTGTTTGATGTCCTTATCGAGATTTTGAACTCTTTTACACCGCCACAGATTTCGCCCCATGTGTTTTTTACGGTCAACAAAACAAAAAACACCTGACTCGCAACAAAATATGTTGTATGTTTGGGCCAAAGATGACCCTCTTCTTCCTCAAAATATGCTCTTTTTTCGAATTGGCCTTTTCCTTTTTTCAATGTCGTGTTGTGGTTGTAAATATGCTATATTTGGACTGTAATGTCATCGTCTTTGATTACAATATGAGATTGATTTAGGGGTAAAAATAAAATGGAAGAAACCGAGGAGTTTGTGAACAAGGATGTTGGCCAAGAGCTGAAACAGCTAAAATTGGACGATCTGTTCAGACTTGGCAAGTATGCGGCGTTGGTTTCGATCACTGCTGAGTTCTTGATCCTTTTGCAGCTGGGAAATATGTTCTACATGATGTATGCAGGTAAGAAATTTGAGCTGGAAACATCTTGTTTTTATGCAAATTATTGTTGGATATCTTGGCTTTCCTTGCAAAGGGAGAGCTAGGATTTTCATCAATGTATTTCTAGCCTATTTAAAGTTTGCATGCAAATTTTGAAGTGTCTTGTAAAACTTTGTCGGGTACAGTCACCCTATTAATCCAATAACAAGTATAATATAAAAATATAAAATTTATAATCATCGTTTTTCCAGGAGTCGAGCCAGGTCTTGTCAGTTGTGGTCCAGTAAATCTCCAGAACTTCACTCATCGAAAAGACCGTTGCGAAGCCTTTGCTCAGGCCAAAGATCGTTATAAGTGTACTCCCGAGCTGAACATCCAATTCAACAGTGTGAGTTCGGATTGGAATTACATTTGTGCGGACGTGAGGCAAGTGAAACGAAGTATTTCCTGGCAAATGTTGGCCATTATTCCTGGTGCTGTGATCGGCGGTCAACTCTCGGATCTTTATGGACGAAGAAGAGTAGGTTTTTATTGTAGTAGGTCATCTAATTTTTAAATATGGGATGCCAAGTGTAATGTAATTCGCTATTTTTTTATATATCTTTATCGGGTTTTACATTTGAACCCCCCCCCCCCATTTTTCTCAAAATCGATTTTTTTTGATATTACACTTAACCTAGTATAATATTGATCTTGATAATCTTTCCCTTTCCAGATTATGCTGGTTGGAATCCTCTGTGTGATGGTTTGCCAAGTGCTGGTTTACTTCTCCCCAGACCTTCTCTGGTTCACAATTATCCGATCAATTACGCAACTCTTTAACGGCGGTATCATAGCCATTCAAATGGTGTTTACTGTCGAGAATCTCCCGAAAAATCATCGTTTCTGGTTGACGAACTTGATTACTTGGTCCCCCAACATGATTGTCTACGCTCTGATGGCATGGGCCACTCAGAATTGGCAACATTTGACCTTGCTCATGGCCGCACTGTGCATCCCGGCCTGGATCTTTTTGTTGTAAGTCACGGGGTAATAAAATGTATTAAAATTTAATGTTTAGCTTCCTCTCGGAATCTCCTCGATTTCTGATTCAGAAACATCGATTCGACGACGCCAAAAGGGAGTTGCAAAGGATCGCCCGGATCGATGGAGTTGTTGTGGCTGAGGAGATGATGGAGAGAGTGGTGGAGAGCGAGAGGGCGTTGCAGACACAAAAGAAGAAGTCTAAATACTCGTTCATTCATCTGTTCTACACCTGCAGACTGGCTCGATACACAGTGGCCTTGGCTTTCTCTTTGTAAGTTTTGAAGCAAGGACTAGGCGTCTGAAGTTATATCAGGGTAAAACATGTTACGGCACATGTTGTGTAAAATGATCTATTAAAATTAAGCTTTTTCTCAGCTAATGTGGCTAAAATCAGCATTAAAATTTGAGGGCTTTCATCAAATTGATATTATTCATGATGATTTGACTAATTTTTTTGCCAAAATTCAAACTTTGATGGGACCTTTTTACTAACATAATAAAAGTTTTGGCATACTATTTTCTTCATGTCCTAAAATATCCGACAAGACAGGAATTTTTACTTTAAAACCCAAAGGTAGTAACTTAGACCTCCCTTTTCCAGATTGACCACCAGTATGTTGAACTACTCGCTGATCTTCAATATGGAAAAGCTTTCGGGCTCAATCTACCTTAACACCATCTTCATGGGTCTCTTCCGTTACGGAGTTAACTTTGCTGCTATTGCCGCTGACAAGAACTTCAAATGGCTTGGCCGAAAAGCGGTCCACGGATTCGCGGAGGGCGTCTCGATCCTGGCATTGGTGCTGCTGATTACCCTTTATGTTCTTGATATTCAAACTCAATACAGATCCCTGATTACAGTCACAATTATTCTGGTCTTGGGAATGACGACTTTGTTGTATGTGAGCAATGGTTTGCTTTCCTCGGAGCTGTTCCCAACGGGAATCAGAAACTTGTCCTTCTCGTTTGGCCAGGTGTTCAGTAGGATTGGTGTTGTTATTGCGCCACAACTCTTCTTCTTGGTGAGTCCATTTAGATTATTTTACGGCTATCTTGTGAAAATTGATTTTTTAGACATATATGGCTCGGGACTTCTAAATCTCTCCGCAAGAGTCCATCCGAACCCTGGAAATTTAGTCCAAAGTTAAAAGTTGACAAAAAAGGAGGAGACGACTGAGAAAGGCAGAAATTCTTACAAAGAGAGAAATTGCGCAATGTTATGTCAGATTGCGCAACTTTTAACTTTGTACTAAATTTGCAGGGTTCGGATGGACTCTTGCGGAGAGATTTAGAAGTCCCGAGCCATATATAATACAGTGCGCGCCAAAATGATAGAGCCACTCAGTTTTTCTGGATTTATTCTTTTATGGTTAGGTGGGCCTAGCCGGCATGATGCATATATGCAATAACATCATAGAGATTCACTACGGCCACCATAACTTAGGACTAGCCGGGCGCCCAATCCAAAAAAAAAATCAAAAATTCGGACCTTTCCCCTCGGTCGACGCGTCAAAATGATAGAGCCACCGGATTTTTCTCCTCGGTGGGGGCAGGCGGGGATCTATTGGTACTGTAGTCTGTTAATATTACTACTGCTATACACTGCTGATGTGAAAAGGTTACTGTAACTACCGGTCATACGGTAGCTTTTGGCAAATTTAGAAAATCTTCCAAATTTAGGGTAAAATTGACCGGAAATAAATTTTTCGACGGTTGTATCCTGGTGGAAATACCTTCAAAACATATTAGAAGGCCTATATTTTCTAACAGTAATCAATTTCCGTCGAACTCACATCGACCACAAACAAAGAATGATATTATGTTACTTTAGTAGATGGACAAATTCTATAATATTGCTTATGTATGAGTCTGAGAAGCGGCCCCAGAACTTGTGGTACAATTGCAAGAGGACCATAGATTACAATAACAGGACCGAATACAATAATTCCTTTATTCAAATTGCTAGCGGTATTATGAAGTTTACCAAAGTTATACCCGAAAAAACGATATTTTGGTGGCATGACTAGCGTCAGAATATGATGGCTTCGGGTTTTGAAACGACGAGTGCGGATCCTTTTGTGCGTAACGTAGCATGATTAACTCAACAATAACGTAATGATAAACAACTACAGAGAAACTTTGGTGTAGTCATCTAGAGAACCAGAATTGCTTCTCTTGTGGCATTATTCCTAGGGTGTACGAGACTTTACAGCCTTTCCAGGTTAAATGAAAATATTCTATATCGTGTGTTGCAGTCTAGCAGGAAGTTTGGTTTTACCTCCATGCTCCCTCATTGGCATAATCGACATTATTATAGAGTCTGTCCATCTACTAAAGTAACATAATATCATTCTTTGTTTATGGTGGATGTGAGTTCGACGGAAATTGATTACTGTTAGAAAATATAGGCCTTCTAATATGTTTTGAAGGTATTTCCACCAGGATACAACCGTCGAAAAATTTATTTCCGGTCAATTTTACCCTAAATTTGGAAGATTTTCTAAATTTGCCAAAAGCTACCGCATGACCGGTAGTTACAGTAACCTTTTCACATCAGCAGTGTATAGCAGTAGTAATATTAACAGACTACAGTACCAATAGATCCCCGCCTGCCCCCACCGAGGAGAAAAATCCGGTGGCTCTATCATTTTGACGCGTCGACCGAGGGGAAAGGTCCGAATTTTTGATTTTTTTTTGGATTGGGCGCCCGGCTAGTCCTAAGTTATGGTGGCCGTAGTGAATCTCTATGATGTTATTGCATATATGCATCATGCCGGCTAGGCCCACCTAACCATAAAAGAATAAATCCAGAAAAACTGAGTGGCTCTATCATTTTGGCGCGCACTGTATTTGCTGTTTATTTCAGGCCGACTTCTGGAGTCCCCTTCCTTACATCACTTTGGTGGTGATTGCTTCTTTAGATTTCATTTTGTTCTACTTCAACACCGAAGAGACCAAAGGAAAGCCAATGCCGGATTCGATGCCTCCAAGGGAGCAGAGTTGGCTCGGTCGCAAGAAGCTCGACCAGGAACTTTTGGATGTCGAGAAGAAGACGGAGAACAACTAAACACCACCAGTATAATATTTGTCCATCTTTTCAAGCATTTCTTTTTTCATTTTGCATTTTTCTCTCTTTATGGGTCAAGTGTTCTCCGCAAAGGAATCGCCCGGAAAGATCGTTGATTTTGATTACTTTTTAGCGAATTTAGAAGCATTCGGAAAGCAATTACGAAGAATTTACGGCGAATTAAATCTTTGTGGACAGTATTTGATGCCTATAGAATTTAATAATTACAATTCGAGGAACAAAAAAGTATTAATAAACTTGCTCATAAAATCTCAAAATTCTTGCAATCTGTAAAGGTATCAGAAATTCGTTCAAAAATCACAGGCATAATTCGGTTCGTTTTTTTACCAATCGGTGCAAAGAAACAAAAAATAAAATGTAATCTTTGAGTTGTTACTGTTTTTGGGTAGCCGATAACGAAGAAAAATTTTTCTACAGTGAAATATTTCCACCCCAAATATATACATTTGTCATCTTCGCTATCGTTGCTTATCCCTTGGACTCAAAAACAAATCAATCAAAATTTGTTTCCCATATCCGACATTATTATTTTTGTTTTGTTTACGCTAATGGTTTGCATGGAAAGTGCGAAACCAAAAATCTGTTGTTTTCTACAGCTTCTGGCTATTCGATATTTAAAAATAAAAATGGCGTTATGGCAAAAACGATGGTAAAGTAGGCAGAGAAACAGTTGACACATTGGGTCAAGTGTTTCCCTCAGAATTATTTCCGGAATTTAGAGCGCAAGAAGGGTTTGCTGGCTCGTCTTAATTGCAGAAATCAATCACTTTCTGGTCAGGATCGCCGTTCCAAAACAATAAGTGAACAGTTGACCCTTGGTGTCATGTCTCGCTTTCCTGATGATTCATTTTATTCTGGCAGTAAACAGTAGAATTTCGAATTATACAGTAAAGAAAAGCGCTACTAAAAGGAAATGAAAAATCCGGAGAATATTTTTGCGTCATGATGACACTTGTAATCGACTAAATAAACAGTTTTTGTACAGAAAGTCCGGTCCGTTTCTTTTCCCACCCAACTGACCTGATTTGACAGTCGCTTAAAGCGAATAGGAGGGTGGGTAGAGAGTGCGCGGAGCGCCGACCTTTAAGTGTGCGCCTTTTCTTCCCCGACTGCTGACATGGAATCAGGTAAATTCCTTTTCGCTTCGAGTCCTTTTCCTTGACTTTTCTCTGCCCCTCGGTTCTTCATGGGCTTGTCAGGGTCTCGGATGGTACACAGATTTGCGTGGAAGCGCGGTGGGGGTGCCTGCGGGCATTTCAGGAGTTGCTTTCATCACATTGACGGATGATTTGACAAACTTTTATTTATATTATACTTGATATAAGAGATATTTTTTAAAAAAAAGTTGTAATTTAGTCACGGATAATATAACCGTGTTTTTTCCGCGTTCACATGAAAGATCCTTTGTTATTGTAGAAGCGAAGAACATTTGCGATTAAAGAATCAAGTGGTTTTTCGCAGACCGGCTTCTCAAAAAAGAGTTGTGGATGGATCAAGGGGAATATTCAAAATCTCTTCTTGTCAACTTTCTGAAAAACTTTCTTATTTAAAAGCAGACAAATACAGTTTTTAGAAAGTTAAAAAGTAATTCACAAATTGTTAATTTATACTAATTCACTGTCTTCAGCAAAATTTTTGCACTTTTTGTTTTTATATTATCCATGGTTTAAACTTTGTTTTATTCAAGTGTAATGAATGCATAAAAGCTCACAAATACACTAGAAAACGGTGATTTCAGGTGCATTAATATTATCACTTTCCTGTATAAATAAATTGGACTGGCGATAAAATATTTATAATCGAAATCCTTGTACTTTTACTGTTTTACACGGAATTTGTAAGCATATAGGATCGCGTGACTTACGATTTTTTTGTGTTACAACTCAATTAGAAACTTTTTGAATTGATGTGTTACAAAATTTGATCAAGAATTTCATGGGTATTTTCTCCGTATTTTACCTCAAAATCGGAATAGAACAACTCGAGGCCCCAATCCCCTCCGAGATCGTTGTATCCGAATATCGGATTCATCGGTTGTTTTAACCCCATTCCCCCCACAAATCCTTCATCCATCCCCAGCAGAAACCCCCCATTTTACTCCCAAAACTTTTATTTTTCCTTCGCGCTGTTGATTCATAATTGTTTTGCGAACGAACGGGTTTATGGAAAGCCGATTATTGGAGGAGGTCCTGGACTCTCGACCAACAGTTTTGATGGATTTTTCCGAATTTTGGGGAAATTTTTGTTTAATTTTTGGATAGGGCAGGAATTATTGGGTGGTGCTGAGGGCCTTTTAAGGTGATAAAGATCAATAATTCGATGATGAATTTATGGCTTGACTGCTTGAGGCAATTTTTATTTATTAGATTTTAGTGTTGAAAGGTTAAGAAGTTCAAAATTTTTTGCTTTTTACTCGATGATTTTTAGGTAAAAATCGCTGTGGTAAACTTAAAAAAATTTGTAAAATGGACATCACACTCCTCAGCCAAGGCCCGCTATTTGAGTGTCAAAAGGCCATCAATTTCAGCAAACCCCTTGTTTTAGTCATTCCTCGCTTTGGTTACTTACAAAAAATGGAAAAATTGGGCAGGATAAAGAACAGTATGCATAAAAAAGGGGGTAACATCTTTTTTCTTACCAAGACTTTTTTCATGCGAAATTAGAGCCGATATAAATCATCAACAAGCGGCACGATTTCTCTTGCAATTTTTTGCGTCACCCTTTGAGGTTATCCCTTTTTTCCGATACCAATCTGAGGTCAATAAATCGCGGGGTTTTGGAACAATATGGAAATGTGAACAGCACTGTTCAAGTTTGTAAGTAAACATTCTCTTGTTTCAATTCGATTGTTCCCTTTCATAAAGAGAGTCCCGAAGATGCTCCCAAGTTTTTTTTTGTGGTATTTCATTACTAATTTTTTGAAAAAAGATAAAAATATTACGAAATAAATTGATTTTACTATTTTTGATTACAATTATGGTATTTAAAATACAAAAGCAGTATTTTTATACACGAAAGTCATCACAATTTGATGGTTTGAGAGTATTTTCCCTCAAAAAAAATCGGCTATCAAGAACTCTATCAAAAGTGCGCGTTGTTTGTTTTTCATTTATTTGACCTGAGGGGTTTTTCTTCTTCTAAAGTCGTGAGGTCGTTCTCGAGGTTATTTTCCGATTCTAATCAAATTTTTTGCAGCTTTTTTATGACATAGATAAGGCAAAAGATTGGAATCAAAAATATGGGCGACGATAAAAGTGGATTTGCAAATCCGACTTGCGATATTGCCTTGGGAAATGATGACAGTCATGTAGCGAATGGAAACGTGGCCAATGGAAATGCTCAGCATGGTGAGTAGAGAGTAGTGATTGGGCTGTAGGTGCTGCAGGATGTGTAATCAAGGTTTTTGATTGTTTTTAGAACAATGAACGCGTTTTTTTGGTATTTTTTCTTACAGGATTAAGATCCAAAATGATGAGGTAAAATTGACACCTTTAGAGATAAAAAATACACTTTCTGCGGGTTTCTTATAAACTTGAAAATTCACAAACTGTGGTATGTGGGGAGGTGGCCTTTGCTGCAGAAGTTCAATGGCTTCTGTCATACTTTCCAAGGCCCTAGTTTCTCTCGCCGTCTCTCTAAATTTTCCTTAGTTTCTCGCCAAAAAATTTTGTTTAATCTCTCGGCTATTCCTACAAATCAAATTCCCAAATTTTTTTGGCATCTTCCTTTTTATGAATCTAATGCCAGCATCCATATTCCAGAAGCACCCGCTCAGCTAAGTGAAATCGCTCTTGATGACTCCAGCTGGGCTAATTCGGCCGCCAAACCAAAGCCAACCCTACAGCCAGAGCCGGAAAAGAAAGCCTCGATTGAAAGATCAGAATCCGCAGAATCTAACGTCGATGAAAACGATAAGAAACCATTGAGTGAGTAGCCTTATTTATCAATTATGTTTTGCTTTTTAGAAACCGGAAAGGTGATATCCCTGATCTACCCAGTGAACGAGCACTTGGCTTGGATCGCCCCGCCAGTCTACAGTTTCGAGAAGATGCCCAAGGCGTTGAATTCGAGGGAGTTGATGGTTCCACATTCAGAATACAGAAGGTTCATGTCCACGATCACGGACGACGTCAGGTTTAAAAGGTCGGTCTGAAAGATGTTTAATATCAGGGTAGAAAGCTAATGGATAATTTTATATGAAAAGCTGTAGGGAAAGAAGATAAATCTTTTTCATGTTTGATGTTATTTTTCTGCTTTAAGTCGGTATCAATTCCTGAAAATTGTAGCTTTCGCTTCGCAACAAAATCGTAGAGTTACAGCTTTTTTAAGCAATGAATTCTTTTGTCACCTAATGGCGAATTCGGAGAGAGAACGGAGAAAAATTTGATTTGCACAGTCGTATTTTATAAAATTTCAAATTTGTTCCAGTTATGTGATCCTATTTTCCCGAGCAGTCCCCATCTGGGTGATGACTTCAGTAATCTTGTTGATGTTCATGTTGTTCTCCAGCCAAGACGGTGGTCTTCATGTCATGGTTTTTACAATTCTATGGGGATTAATGTTGTGTATTGGACTGGGATTCTGTATCTTGTTGAGGAAATACGTAAGCAACCAAAACGAATTTTTTAATATCAAATTTCCAAAATTTTAGCTAGCCAATGGTTTGAATCTAGTAGTCCGGGATGCCAACGATCAGGCAATCAAGCACAATCTGATGGTCGGCGTCCAAGATCGCGGCCAGATCTCTTGCCACAAAGTTGTTGTAAGTTAATGTAACCTTGCTGCATTGTGTTCTCAGCTAGTCTTAATGTACTACGATGTAAGAGAATGCCAGCACGATATAAAGAAGTGCATTCGAGTTCATCTGGTTAACCAACCAGTGAAGCAGGAAATCCCGGCCGAAAGTGAGCTTGACTCACAAGCCAGAGAATTTATCGTCGAACATAGTCAAGCCTACATCAAGGCGTATGCAAAGGTAAGTGGGATTTTTGGGGGATTGAGACAGTTGAATATCTTAGATGTATCAGCAAGTATGGCTAAGGTCTTTAGACATTGATTTTTGGCCTTTTTCGGCCATGTACTCAACTTTTGAATGATATCCTTGGGGTCGTTTACTCTGGACCTTATTTTAAAAAAAAAAATTCTTTAGTAGATCTGCTCTTGCCATAACTCTCTTGGTGGGAACCCAAAATTCGTATCTTCTATTATATTTTCATTTTCAGAAGCAACTTTTATTCCCAACGAAGCCATCGGAAGGAGTCAGTGAATTCCGACCCAAACATTGCCAAGCCTCGATATGTATATGTCAATACGTTGAACAGGTAGGCTCCACTCCTTTGCTCGACTATATTTTCGTCTTCGTATCTTACATTCCCTTCGGATTTCAGAAAATATTCCAAGATTTGCCGCTCCTCCCATAGACCCGCTAGCCCCGCCCCCTCCGAAGATATACCATTCAGAAAATCGCTGTGATCTACACCCAACGCACCATATCTACACAAAGAAAACGGATCCGATTCGGTTGTCATAATTATTTTATGTACAGTAGACAATAAAGTATTATTAATACTGATATCAAACACATCTTATTGGTGTGTCTAACAAGGCTGGATGTTCTCTGATTGGTGGAGGTTTTTGATCATTAAATGGGCACTTTCAGAGCCGTCGATGAGAGGGGTTTGGAAGAGATATTGGCCGTTTTCACGGACCTTGTTGTAGGGCATTTGGAAGACGGAGTTGAAACCGGTCTGAAAACAAATATTAATTATCTAGGCATGCAGTAATCCCTGAAAACTTTAGCTTGCGTGTTGCAGCTACAGACAAACTATTTTCAAACATTTTGGACATCAAATCAGACAATTATTTTGCAAATTCTTACCGATCTTGCGATTTTTTGTGTGGCCACCGCTGTGCAGATCGATTCAACGGGAGAAATTCCGCGATCACTTGCGATTTTTAACGACAAATTCCAAAGGAACTTGGCCAGTCCCAACCTAAAATTTCGTAATTTATTATAGCCTTTACAAATTTCTGTCATCTTGAAAGCATCATCATTTTTAAACAAAGTCAAAATTACCCTTGGAAGTCCATGAAAACACAGATGATATCTATCCTAAAGAATCGATCAGCATCTTCCGGAATATAATACGGAACGGACTCTTCGAGATCACCAATGACTCCGATTACTTTGGGAAAGTTTGAGGTAAAATCGTCGATCTCTGATCGCATTTGTTTTATTACTAAAAGACAAATTTTAATAGTTTTAAAAAGTAATTCGACCTGACACAAAAAGATGGCCCTTACGTTCGCCATAATCGCTCTGAATTTTAGCTGGTTCACATTTCTTGGACCGATCCACGGGCACAATCCAATTGATTATGGCCCCGGCCAATTCATTATTCCTGATGGCAATGATCGACACATTTGATGGTGCCCATTTTGTCTCTACTTGCTCTTCAAATCCTCTTATCGTATCTTCGGGTCTCAGCTCTAAACTTACTTCATTTTAGCTGACATTTATCTTTGTTTCAAAAGAAAAGTTCTCATCGCAAAACAAAAAGTTTAATGTCTGACTATTTTGTTTGGTTTTTTATTATCAGCTATGAGAAAGGTACGGTATTTATGAATGCTGCATTCTTATTCTTGACAATAAATCAGATAGAGAATTTTTTTCGATTATTTTTAACCAAACTTTCTACCGGAGGGGATAATGTTTCCACAAAAAAATTCAGCACGAAAATGGTGTTTTTCTCTGTGACCTCTCTCCGCAATTTGCGTACTCTCACAGCGGAAAATGTGGCACTAAAATCAGCTTACCCAAAGCATGGTTGATCGGCTCATTCGCACCAAACTCATTCGCCAAGAACTGTACCACTATTGGCCAATCTTTTTCGTGGATGAAACAAGCTTCCAAAGTGCCCATTCTCGTGTGGATCTCACCAATTTTCTGTCGCTTTAACGACGGGTCCAACGTATATCGCAATTTCATATTCTGTAAAAACAAACAAATTATTGCAAGGTCACAGTTCACAAAAATTCACGGCCGTCCGAGTAGATCAAAAAATACACTGGCTTGTCACAATTCCATAAAAAGAATTCTGAGACTATTCATACGGCCATAGAGGCCATAAATACCACTTCCCGTCATAAACAAGTAAATATGTAATTGGAGGAACGGGACATAAAAACGACTTCCGTCAGCATTCCATTCAATTTTGGGGTTTTGAGAGCCGCCAGGAAGTTCAGATAGCCCGAGGGGAAAAGAGCAAAGATTTGAATATAGGAAACAAATTGGAGGGATCAATTTGATATCAAGTTGAAGGTCTTGAATGGACTTACATGAAATTTTATAGAAAATTTAGAGTAGTGAGAGCGGATTAAAAACTATGATAGCATACCAATATTCAATAGTAACAAAAGAAGTGACATTTATAGGCGAAAAAATGGGCTTGCTCGTTCTAGAAATGCACGGTAAGAAGCGGAACTTGCAATTAATTAGCTAAAATCATAGAAATTTTGAGAAAAGAACTAACAACATCACGGTATTTACTAGATACGTTAAAGTTACTCAGAAACCCACCCAATTTCAACGTTCGATATCAATAGAATGACTAATTCTTCATTGAACATCAGCACCACGTTGTGGAATCACAGAAACCAAATTCGTGAGTCATAGGGGATGATAGGGACTTTTAAAATTCAAAAGGACATTGAATAAGCCCGGAAATTTTGAACCGAAAGGGGGCAAAAAGAGGAATTCAATTAGAGCATTTTATAAATATATTTACACAACGCATTAATATGTATTTTGCATTGTCTGATGTTAATTTATGGATGGAATTTTAACGGGGAATCTTAATTTCCCGTAAAAGCAGAGGAAATTTTGGAGGGGGCCACATGAAAAGAGACGGATCAGGAGGAAAATAACAAATTTTATGTCGGGTTTTAACCTTCGTTTTACAAGAACAGACGAGATTCTTCTATTGATAAAATTTAATTTTTAGAAAGTAAAATTGAGCTGACACATAAATCTTTTAGAAAGATAACAAAAGTGACAATAACTGGAAGAAAATTCCATTTTTAAATGTCACCATTCTGCTATTTTAAGGATTTCTAAAGCCGAGAATCTTTTTCCAGAATCCTGGAATTGTCATCTTGTCATTTACAGCCCCTAGCATTGAAAACAGAATGCTCCTGAACTTAAAAGTCCACCGTCCTTTTATACTTGTACCGACCGATTATTCAAGATGTTATAAAGCTATTATACACTCGAGAGCGCAATCCACCCATATTCTTTGGCCTCAAAAACAGGAGCGGCCTCGAGAAATGAACTCTCATAGTATCAAAAAATATAATACTTGAGGTCGAAAAGGGTCATCAAGAATTGAAGAGAGCTCTTCTCTTGAGGCCAAAGCTGTCATAAACATTAGAGGTTAAGTGTAGTACAAAGTTTTTTTGGCAATCCCTTTTTTAATTGTAAAAAATCTACTTTTTTGTTGAGGGAAAAAGGTTAGTACTTTCATGTCGGACGGACAATAAAAGTCAAGCGCAAATTACCCAAAAAATCGAGAAAAGGTCTTGGGTAACTCAAGTCACGTGACCAAAACAATTTAATCTTTCTCTTTTCTTTGTCCATTTGACCTCAGGATTCCCTGAGGGCATAAAGGCTCAGACAAAAAAAATTTTTGTGGCCTTCAATTGATGGGTTATTTACTTTCATAGGCACTGTAAATAAATTTAATAAATATTTTATAACTTTCAGTCTACTAATTTTGGCTATAATATGGACAACTACATAACTGTAGGTGGGAGTAGAAAGGGCCAAAAATCGACTTCTCAAGCGAAATGAGGGGCAATTCCGGCTGTCGGAAGCGGGAAAATAAAAGTGAATAGGACAGTCAAAACACATGATCCGCGATGGAAGAGCCCAATTTATATGATTCAGAGGACTCGGAAGACCAACCCAAAATCGACATCAGAGAAGGGATTAGTGTAAGTCCGCTGTTTTCGATCGGGTTTAGTAAATACGAAATCACATTTGGATAGCTGCATTTTTTTATTTTTTAGGGCGTTTAGTAAATAGAGCTTGCCTCACAAGTTCAACAAAATATGGTCACTGCAAAAGTTTTGAGGGTGATCTCTGCAGACGTGATAAAAACGAACCGTTTATTTTTTATCGTGCAATTTCTTGCTTTTTGCACCGCGCAAATCAATCTTTTGGGCCCCTCTGACTTTGAGTTTTGCCACATTTTTTCTTTTTTTCAATTCGCTGAAAATGAGTGAAAAATAATTTTTTTTTTCTCTTTTGTCATCTTTATGATCTCCAATTTGCAAAGACTTATCCAATTCTAGGTCCTTTCTAAAGCAAAGATTAAATTTTTTGGAATTTGCCATGTTGAATAACCGGAACGCCCCAAAAATTCAAAATAATTGCACGACACACTATGTATCTTATCAAAACTGCTACAGCTGACCATAACGCACACAGATGACCCGGACCGGGAGCCTTTTGTAATTGTTGAACATCAAAGTCTAAATATAGAATCGACCGGGAAGTTGGACAAGACCAAATTATATGTAAGCGACAAGGAAATCGACGCTGTCATTTACACCAAAGAAAGGGATGAACAGACAACGTGAGAGCAGTAGTAGCACTCTAAAACTTTTCCATTTATATATAGAAACTGTTCCAAGCAAGAAGTGGGGACCCAACATGAGCATCAGACCTTGTCCATGGAACAACTTCAGAGGGTTTTGGCTTCGCAAAAGTTTGAGAGATTCCTAAACACGATTGTGCCGATGTAAGTGGAACAAATTTGCAATGTATACATGTACTAGAAGCAAGGAAAAAAATTGATCTTATTTTCAGGATGGAAGAGGAAGTCCGGCAAAATGTGATCCTCGAAAAGATTTTATGGTAACACATCCTCCACCAGTCTTTTCAAACCTCAGTTTCTGACTGGAAAAGCACTGTAAATTACAAAAAAAGTCCATAAACCGCCTCCAAAATGGAAAAATAAAGAAATCCAAAGGAATTCTCTCCAAAGTTTATTTCCAAGTACAGTAAGATGATTCTATTGTTCTTTGGTGACATCCTTTCCGTCCTTCTTCGGATCTTTCGGGGTCTCTTTCGGTGGTGGATGAGCTGCAATGTATTCATTGTACTCTTTGTAATACGAAGAAAGAGCCGGATGATTGATTCCTTTCACCTGGATGTAATCACAAATCACACGGTGGATGTAGAGGTACTGGATTTCGGTCTGAACGGCGTTGAAGCGCATGGATCTGAGCTCTCTCACAACGTTGTACACCTAAAACATTATTTTATCAAACTCCAAAATTGACAAAAGGCACGTCACACGTCAATCCAAAATAGAAGAAAAAAATTTCCCGCCCCTTTTTGGTGATTCGTTCAAAACGAAATGTCACTATCCGATAAAACGCATTTTCTTACTTTTTTTCGAAAAGTTTCTTCTTTTTCGAGAAAAAGCAATTATTTCGGTGCAAGTTCACAACTTACGAGGAAAGGTTTCTTCTCCATGATCTTAGCCATGATCCCGGCCAAAGCCACCACTGTTCCGGTCCGTCCAACTCCAGCACTGCAATGAACAACCACCGCATTACAATTGGGCTTTCCTTTGCACGCGCCCCTGATCGTTCTGACCAATCTGAGGATCCCCATTCCAGTGTTCGGGACGTGTTTGTCTGGCCAATCCTTCCACTGAAACATTCTGAAGGTGTGTTCCGGGACAAAGGGAGTTGCGTTTTTGCCAATTTCCATCGTTACCATATCATACGACCGGTCTTGTGGTTGTGTCTAAAATGCGATTGCCAAGACTGATGTCAACAGTTACCTTGACATTTCTGACCATCAACGATCCATATGGCAATGTTTCTCCGTTTGCTTTGGGAAAGTACTGGACGCACTTCACCTTGCCCAACTCCTCCATCTGACACAACATGACGATTCCGTAGCACTTCTCCTGATAAACCATCCGCCAAAAATCGTTGACGGTGTCTTGCAGCGGTCCCTGTAAACGACCCATTACTTTGGTCCCATCAATCTACCTGAGTGCAGATCATGGTGTGCGCCAGGTCCTCGAGGTTCGTGTAATTTGCATGGATATAGTCGGTGTCGGGCGGGACATTATACCACAATCGGACTCGGGTGTGATCGTAGCAGAGCTGGTCGTTGTACCGATTTCTCGTCCGATTCTCGTTGAAAGCGTTGGTCGTTGCTTGTGGAGGCACGAACTTCTTCAACTCGGCGTATTCCTTCTTCAAACCCTCGACTCCAGCGACCTTCAGTCGGTCCAGGAATTCGACGAGAAACGTGACGGTCTCAGTGTCTCCGACGACTTTGGGCTGAACTGCCCCTGCGGGCAGGATCTGAGTTTTGTCATCCGAATCTTCCGGGATGTCCATGGTGGGTCCATCTGAAATTTCGAAAGTTTATTTCGTAATATTCAAAGTGTCCAAATTTTTGGCAAAGAGTCGCACTTTTCGAATGATAATTTCAAAGATACCACCGAAAATTTTACGATCAAAACGTCGTATCTCCTCATTCTACCTTTGCATTGCGCCACAAAAATAACTTACTGACGGTGGAGACATCTTCGTCGAATGTGGTCGTCTTGCCTCTCCGAGTGGGAGTTTTGTGGCCCTTTCTTCCCTTCCGCGCTGTTCCAGCAGTCTTCTTCTTTCGCTTATCCATTGATGGAAACTCGGCGCCGAACCCGCAGCTTCAGAATCTTCGGAGAACTTGAAGCGAAACTAACGGCCGGCCACCGTTTCCGCAGATTTTTGGAAATGACTCTGATTTGGAGTCGTTGGATCGAAGGGAGAAAAATTTGAATACAAATGAAAAAATTTTAAAATTTTGCATAAAAAATTTGAATTTCCAAAAAGTTGCCAAATCCCTCAATTCATCCCAAAATCCACGCGAAAATCAGCCGAGAAATGGAGAAGATCAGTGAGTTGGCGGAATTGGCCACATCCCAGCCAAACGAATGTCATCAGATTCTGGCCGAGAAGCCCTTGGATTGTTTCAAGGCGCTCAAGAATTGTCCCGATTCGTTGGCCGAGCTGGTTTTAGAGGTAAATTTTAATTTTATTCTCATTTTGTATTACGCTTTTCATTTTGGAATTCTTCAAGTTGATTTTTTGCTCTTTCAGGAGCTAAAAGTTCGTTGGAAAGCGGCCGAAGAGCGAGTTAAACAGCTGGATGCGCTGGCGAAGGCAGTGAATTTTGAGAACAAGTCAGTGGAAGAAGATCGGTGGGAGATTGTGACAGAACTCATCGAAAAAGCCGTTCAAGGATTCGATCTCAAGGCCGAGCATGCGGTAAGCAACATCTCTTTTATCGACCTTAAAATTTGGCGTATTTTAAGATCGATAAAACATCATTATGACGTATTACAACGAACCAAAAAATCGGAAAAATTTTTTGGTTCACCCTAATATTTTCCTTTACAAAGTAGTAGGCTTTATTTTCAGAAGAGAAAAGTCAAACTTGGCCATCGAATTGTCTTCGAGACCAAGCTGTTGTTGGTCATAAACAGAGCCTTTGATCGTGCCGAAGCTGTTCTCAAGGACTTCTACGCTCTTCACAACGATCGAGACGCAGCCGGCTATGAGCGAGATGATCTCCGGATGGAGATTCGCCTCTGCGACATGTGCTTTGTGGAGGTTCATACTGGATTCCTGAAGAGTTATTTGGGAGTTGATTGGTAGTCGCTATTATATTACTTGATTATTTATTTAAAGAATGCTTGAATAAACTTTTAAATTTGGAAGCAGTAAATTTTGACAAGCAAGAGGCAAATACAAGCTGCAAAAGAAGCGTTGCTTTGACTCCAAAATGTTTTATAAATCAGTTGTGCGGACGTCGTTGATGAAATCGATGAATTTCTTCCGTTCTGCGGCCCAGGTCGGATCTGGATTTGGCTTTTCTAAGCAATTAATGTAAGACTTTGCGAGATGTCTACTCACTTCCATTCGTATCGACAATGTTATACTCATTCGCCAAATCTATAGTCTCAACGATTTTTCCATTGTACTTGTCGAGAATTGGAAGCCCGGCCAGCTTCACAATACATTTTCCAGCAAAATAAACGCTCTCACCGCCATCGTAAAGGGATTTTGGGATCTAGAATTGTATACAGAATTATGATGACAAAACTTTTGGTTTGGGAGATTCATCCATGGCCTTTATTTGTAACGTTTAGAGACTTGAAAGAAGTCCCAGGGAGACCTTTAACGCTTTTCTTTCCTACAAAACCTGCTATTTGTTGCTCGTCTAACACCAGAACTCCTTATCATCCAATCCCCGGCACTTTGAAAGCCAAAACATACCGAACTTTTCCCAGCAAATACGGTCTCATTTATCAGTTCCGTTTTTACTGCGCCAGGCCAAATCGAGATCGCTGAAACTCCAGTTCCTTTCAGATCAACAGCAAGATCCGCAGCCAGTCGGTCGCACTAAAAATCATTTGATTTTAGCCCTCAAGACTTTAATTATTGTAGAAATTTACTCACTGCGTCCTTCCCAACACCGTAGGGCACATTAAAAATATGTCGCATCCCCCCAGCCGAGCTGACGATTACAATCAGCCCCGACCCTTTCTTGGCCATCATTCTGGCCGCATAACTCGAACAAACGTAATGATTCTTCAGCCCGACATCATTCACAATGTCCCAGACCTTCTCCTGTTTCTCTTTAAGTTCAAAAAACTTCTTTCCAACATTCGAAGTTGTGAATTCGATCCCAGCGAAGGCATTGTTCACCAGGATGTCTAAATGTCCATGAGTTTCCTTCTGAATTTTCAAGAACAACTTTTCCACTTCTTCGTAGTTGGAATGGTCACAATGAACGGCGATTCCCTTGCCTCCTTTTTTCGCAATCTCTTCGACAACATGTTCCAACGTTGAGGCCGTTTTTACCTTGTGATTTTTGCCTGGTTTTCGACCAGTAATGTAGACAGTAGCACCAGCGGTCCCCAGTTCGATCGCAATTCCTCTTCCGATGCCACGAGAAGCCCCAGTAACTAGAGCAACCTTCCCTGTCAGCGACATTGTAAGCAAAATTCCGATAACTTAGAGTTTGGGTGGAAAGCAAAGATTGAAAAATTCTGACAAAACTCCCGGCTTTATATTGTGTTAAACTGCATTTCAAGACCTTCAATTTTCCCGGACACTATCATTTCCAGACGGAAGTATCTTTGCACCCCCACTTCGGGAACATATAACATGTCAAAGTAATGGTAAGCTGTAATCTAAAGTCTAAGAAATAAAAAGATATGTAACATGAGTCAGACAAAATTTCAGAAATCTAGAAATATCCTTTAGTATTGTAGTATTTATTTACTTTCTCCTTCTGTCTTTAGCTCACCATAAACAACAATATTGAACTATGTATAGTATCAAAAAGAAGATGTAGTTTGAAAAAATTATACATGGCTACAGTAGACTTCATACGATGCGTATAAATTTACTTGTGCAGATCTCCGGCTCGAATCTTATTAATCAGCTCAGCGAATTGCTGTCTTTCCTCCAATTGCGGTGGTACGACGACTCCTAAAAGAATGTTGCTCGCTTATTGAACCTTACTTCCATCCACATCCTTGACTCCGTATCTCACAGCCAGATCGTAGCTTAACAATATTTTACCATTAAACTTGGGCAGTTCTTTGTCGGCAGCAAGTTTTGCAATGGTTTTTCCAGAAAAGTAAATACTCTCCCCGTTGTCAAAAACGGCGGATGGGATCTGAAACAAGCGTAAGATTACGGCCACATATTGTGAAGTCTGACGTAAAAAGGCCATTAAAATACATTTTACACTCAAGTAGTCATTAAACGGAGCCTTTTGGAGCGCTAAATCTAGCAATATATTGCTATGGATAGGTTTAGTAGTGTTTTTTTTCAACGGTAATGTTCTTACCAGCTTATTTGTAGATGCATCGATTGCCTCAGTCTTGACAGCGCCCGGCCAAACCGAAAGCGAGATGACTCCAGTTCCTTGAAGTTCAATGGCCAAATCAGCGGCCAAACGATCCCCCTGAAAGAAATGAAAAGATTATTTCTATCCTGTACAAACGGAAACCTTCGTATTGGACTTACAGCGTCCTTTCCGATTCCATAAGCAGCGTTGAACAGATGTTTCATCCCTCCCCTTGACCCGATGGTCACAATCAGCCCACTCTTTCTCTTCACCATCAATTTAGCGGCATAGGTAGAGCAAACATACGTATTTCTCAACCCAACATTGTTCACAATATCCCAAGCCTCTTCTGGACTCTCTTCGTACTCGTAGAACTTCTTCCCAACATGACTGCCAATAAAAGGAACAGCAGCATAAGCGTTGTTCACCAAGATGTCCAATTGGCCATTGTTTTCATTGTCGATTCTCTCAAACAAGTTCTTGACGTCCTTTGGGTCAGCATGGTCAACATAAACGGCAATTCCTTTTCCTCCTCTTTGGGTGATTTCATCAGCGACTTCGGACAAAGTTGTTGAATTGGCAAATTTTACGGCGTTCTCGGGTCTGCGACCGGTCACATAAACAGTCGCTCCGGCGGCACCAAGCTCAATGGCGATACCTTTTCCAATTCCTCGGGAAGCACCGGTAACCAGGGCGATTTTACCTTTCAGAGACATCTGTAAAACTATTCAAAGTTTTGGGACTTTGGATCTATAACAATTGCACGTAAATTGCACGAAAAACAAAAATGGAAAAAATTGTATTGAGTCAAGTCTTTTCCCGGCCATTTGGGTCAATTGTTTCTCTGCGCAGAAATACCGTAATATTACGTTTAACAGCATCAAATAACAGCATCAATTTAAAACTCGAAAGTCCAAAAACGAATATTCACGGCAAAAAACACCCGAAAAATAAAAAAAACATTTCTGTTGGTCCTTTTTATACCCCATTGCTCGGTTTCTTTTTTTTTACAAACAACGCTTTCTCTAGTTTGTTTAATCTTGCACAAATGTGTGGACAATTGCATCACGATACATATTATGTACATTCAAAAACAAATATCGGGAATGCTACATTAATTTGTGTCTTCGAGTTTGTGTGAAGAAATTTTATTTTACAAATTGAACATGTACGAGTCCTTACATCGCATGTAGTAAAGTTTTTTATTTTAATCATGATTTATGTCATTGTTTACTGTTGAAGATCTCCGGCTCTGAACTTGTTCATTGTTGCAGTGAAATGTTGATAGACTTCTTTTTGTGGTGGTTCAACGACTCCTAAAATAATATCAATTTTGTCGTTCAACGGCTTACTTCCATCGACATCCTTGACTCCATACTTAACAGCCAGATCATAGCTCAACAGTATCTGACCGTTGTACTTTGGCAGGTCAGGATCAGTCACTAGTTTTGCCAAGGTCTTGCCAGTGAAGTAGAGGCTCTCACCGTTGCGAAAAGCCTCGGAAATAGTCTGAAGTTTATGCAGTTTTTAACATAAAATCTGATACTTACATCAGTCCTGTCCGAAGCGATGACTTTCTCTTGAATATGCTCGGTTTTTACAGCACCAGGCCATAAGGAAACTGAGACAACCCCGGTTCCTTTCAGCTCATGAGCCAGATCGGCAGCCAGTCTGTCTTTCTGAAATACATACAAAAATAAGCCAGCATTTCTCCCTCAAAGTACATTGTTTTGTATAGTTTGCCTACCGCGTCCTTGCCAACGCCATACGGCACATTGAAGATGTACCTGATCCCTCCTCCAGACCCGATGGTCACAATCAGTCCACTCTTTCTTTTCACCATCAGTTTGGCGGCATAAGTTGCACAAACAAAGTGATTTCGGAGCCCAACATTATTCACAATGTCCCAAGCCTCTTCCGGAGTCTCCTCGTATTCATAGAACTTCTTTCCAGAGTTCCGAAGATTAAATTGAACAGCAGAGTAGGCATTGTTGACCAAGACATCCAGCTGTCCATTCTGTTCTTTCTCAATTCTCTCAAACAGTTTCTTTACATCATTCGGATCAGAGTGGTCAACATAAACAGCGATTCCTTTGCCTCCCCTTTTAGTGATTTCATCGGCAACTTCGGACAAAGTTGTTGATGTTTCCAGTTTCACAGATTGCCCGGGTTTCCTTCCAGTTACATAAACAGTCGCTCCAGCGGCGCCAAGTTCAATGGCAATTCCTTTTCCGATTCCTCGGGAAGCTCCGGTGACAAGGGCGACTTTACCTTTCAAAGACATCTTCTAAAAGCGTCAACAAATAAAGTTCTATGGCAATACTTTTTTACAGAAAAAACGATGATTTCACGTCCGTTAAAGCAACCCCCCTGCTTTCCCAGATACTAAAAAATATGCAGAAACTTCAATGGTCATTTATCCGCAGATCTTTTCTCACAAGATTCGTTGTAGTTTGTGGGGCAAATCTCAACGGCGAACCGTATACGGAAACCAAAAGTTGGGTATCCCTAGATGAGATTTGGAAAGTTTTGGGTTAAAAAAATGATAATGCTCTTAAACATGTCGCAAATTATCTTTGCAAATCAGTGTGCTTACAACGCCTACGGCAAGAAAGATGAAATTCCCTCAAACAAAAGCAAGTCCTTGGGAAGCTCATTCGACAAGGGCGACTTTACCTTCCAAAGACTTCTACTACAACCACAAATAATGATTTTGGCAATGAAAGAAGTTTATAAGCGAGAAAACAAAGGCCAGCCCTTCCTTCACCTCTTTTTGAAGATTTGACGTTTCTTCTCTTCTAGAACAACGTTTTTTGTAGTTTCATTGCCGAAACTTTTTTTGAGGTTGCATCAGGTAATAAATCACAAAGTCGGAAAACAGCGTCCTTGTGCTGTCGGAGAAGAAAAGCCCATTTCATTTTTTGTAGTCAACACGTTTGCCTTCACACAGCTCTTGGTAAACTACAAAATACAATCCGCACGAACGAATACAAGTTTTAGAAGCCAAGAGATGTTTATTTACAGAAGTGAGAAACGTTGTGTTGTGTTTTGGGTTGCGTCATTTTTTATGGGCAAAGATCACCAGCAAGATTTTGGTGACCGTAGAAGGAGAAGGGATTCGATTTTTTTTTGTTGAATCATTCGGTTGTAAGGATTCAAGCAATTGCGATCCAGGATGGTGTAAAGCGACCAGCTGGTGTTAAAGCTCGTTGAAATTGTTGAGATGTCAAGCAACCGAAGAATTCCCTTTTCTAAGAGCGGGGTATCGCAAGTTCTGGAAAGCAGTGAACATCATTTCTTAGTGAGTATAGTCCGTTTTTATTTTTATACGCTACAAACTTTTCTTTACATACAGGAAAACAACCACAAAGAGAAGATAAGAAAATGCTATAAACAAGTCGAAAAGGCGCTACAGAATCTAGGAATTCAGTTGCATCATGTTGTTCCTTGTACTTTAATAAACCCAGAGTCATCAGAGAGTGCAAAGGATGACTGAACAGATTAGGAGTCGTATTTGATCCCAGCAGTCCTAATTTTGTTAATAGTATTGGCGTAGTTCCTTCTCTCCTCCAGGTAGATTGGCTGTGGGATCTCTGAAAGAAATCGGTTCACTGGCTTGTCAAAAGGATAAAATATTTGAATACAACCCACTTCCTTCCAGATCTCTGACTCCATATTTCTCGGCCAATTCGGTGCTCAAAACAATTTTCCCGTGATACTTCGCAACATCAGGATCGGTCGCCAACTTAGCAATTGCACGTCCAGAATAGCCTATATCTTCGCCCGCGGCAAAAGCATCCGCTGTTTCCTATAAAAAGTTTTTTCTGAAAAAGCTCCTAAACTGACCCCAGTCTGCTTCTGGACGACATTCACATCGATATATTCGGTTCTCACTTCTCCCGGCCACACTGAGACACAGTTGACTCCTGTCCCTTGCAACTCCACAGCTAAGTCTGCAGCGAGCCGGTCAACCTAGATCAGATTATGATAGAAGATGTACGCTCATCTTACCGCATCTTTTCCAACACCATATGCAACATTAAAGAGATGTCTGAGTCCCCCGAGGGATCCGATCAGAACAATCAGCCCCTTCTTGTTCTTCACCATTAATCTGGCGGCGTAGGTCGAACAGACATAATGATTTCTCAATCCAACATTATTCACAATGTCCCAGACCTCTTCTGGATTTTGTTTGAATTCATAGAACTTGGTTCCAATGTTTCCCATCAGAAAAGGGACCGCAGAATAGGCATTGTTCACCAAGATGTCGAGTTGTCCATTCTGTTCTTTGTCAATTCTCTCAAACAGTTTCTTTACATCTTCCGGATCAGAGTGGTCAACATAAACGGCGATTCCTTTGCCTCCCCTTTTAGTGATTTCATCGGCAACTTCGGACAAAGTTGTTGATGTCTCCAGTTTCACAGCTTGTCCGGGTTTCCTTCCAGTTACATAAACAGTCGCTCCCTCGGCGCCAATTTCAACGGCAATCCCCTTTCCGATTCCTCGGGAGGCTCCGGTGACCAACGCGACTTTACCTTTCAACGACATCTTCTAAAAGTGTAAACAACTAAATTTGTTTTGCAACTGGCAAAACTTTTATAGAGAAAAAATGATGATTTCACGTTTCATCGCTTCGAAAACAACATTTTTTGCACCCCTGTTCTCCCAGGGACTAGAAAATACGGAAAATTCAATAGTCATTTATCCGCAGATCTTTTCTCACGATATTCGTTATAGTTTGAGAGATAAATATCAACGGTTAACACAACGGAAGCCGAGAATTGGGCATTTCTCGATGGAAAGATTGGCTTTGGAAAGTTTCGGTTGAAAAAAACATTTGATAAGGCTTTTAATTAAACGTGTCGCAAATTATCTTCACAAATCGGTTTGCTTACAATGCCTGCGGCAAGAAAAATGCGAACCTCGTTATACAAAAAATGGACAGATAAATTACGACGCCATCCGTAAACTCACGACTCCCTAATTTAAATTCAAAAACCCTGAAAATGATTTCCTTTGGAGAGGCTTCATTCTGAGAGCACTCAAAACATACGATCCACACGATTCAAAATAACAAACTACAAAGTGAAAAGAAAGAAATACAGCTGTCAATGAATAGCGAGTAATACTTGTAGTCATCATTGTTTTATTCACATATTATAACCCGTATAAATATTTACTACCCGTATACATACAATAGAAAAATCTGCAGCGAAAGGTTCGTATTAATGCATGTTTAGCCCGGAAATTCAGTAAGCGGTTCCTTTATTTCTGTCGCTGAAAGCCCTGAGGGGACAAGATCACATCTTTTTAGATGACGAATGCAGTTTTGTCTCCGTCCAAACCGATCCAAACAGTAGGGGCAAAAGAATTCAGTCATATCCAGGGAATCTTTGGAGTGTTTCTCTTTTTTGTGTCTAGTCAAATCCGACTTCCGGGAATAGGATGATCCACAATCTGAGCAATCGAATCGCCTGGACGGAAGCTTGGGCGGGTTGGCCACAGGATCCATTGAAGGGTTGGATTGCGATGGGATAAGTTCTCTTTCTGCAGCTTCTACGTTCTCTGTTTCCTCGACCACTTCAGGAATGCCCTCCGGCAACATCTCAACCTCTGAATAATTGTTGATGGGGATATTAAGAGAGCTCCAGTCATGGACCATTTCCATTTGTGCTGGCCCATTCTGAATCTGTTCATGGATTGCGTAATCAACCTCGTATTGCAATGAGGTCTCTGGATAAGACTGAAGAGATCCAAATTCATGGAAAAAATCGGCTTCTGACGTCCAGCATGTGCCGTAGGACTCCTAAAAAATTCTTTTAATGGCCTTGGAGGATTCGGAATTAGATTTCTTTCGTTTTTTACCTGAATCAAATCCTGAGCCACATTCGTGAGGATACTTCCCGATTCTTGGTCCAAAAACCTCGAGATTTCTTCAAACTCATCCTCTGAATTCATTTTTTCATTCTAAAAATTGTCAAAGTAACTTTTTAAATCTCCATAAAACTCAAATATTTTCTCAATGAGATATAAAACACTGTTTCGCTATCAGAATAACTCTGTTATGTAGTTTATTTGGCAGGGTTATTGTATTACAATATAAACATTACTCGGAATAAAACTTTATGCACAGGGAATGTCATGGAGTAAACAAGTGATGATACAAACAACTAGACATTTATAGCTAATATCACAATAGAAATCAGCGGAGATCTTCCTCGTCATCCTCACCGTTGGCTTGCGCAAAGTCTTCGCCAAACTCGGACTCGGGCGCTCTTAGATCCTTGATAATTCGGAGATAATGGTTGTCCATGGCCCTGATCACACCACTTTTGAGGACTTCTTGGATTCCCTCATTATCTCCCTTTTCGTAGCGAACAATCAACGCCTGTCCAGCTTGATTTTCGAGGGCGAATTTCTCATCTCTAACGAGAAAACTGAATAAAATGGATAATCTTACTCTTGAAGCCATCCCAGGCATTGTCTTGCAGCAATAGAATCGCCATTCAGCAGAGAAATAATCACCATTCCAAGGCCGATCATCCCGATTTTCCCATTATCAATCTCCTTCAACGTCTCCACCAGATCGCGAGACACTTTCAACGCCTGAGAGTACTTCTTTTGCCTCAATAAGAGCCCGATCAACCGTTGAGAGAGACTGATCACACTCTTGGATCTGTCCGCTTCAATCACAATCTTGATTCCCTTCTCATACAAAGCGCAGGCCTTCTCCAAGTCCACTCCTTCAAGGATTTTCCCGGCTTTCTCGATGACTTGACAAGCTGTATCCCACGAATTCGCATCCAAATAAAGAAGAGCGCTCTCCTCGAACAGCTGCGACGCTTTGTCGATTAAATTCCCGTCCTTGGCCATCATGGCGGCTTGCTCTTTTGATCTAAAGAGAGGTAAATAATGAACCCAGCAACTTACTTTGCCTCATGGAACTTGTTATGGTTGTTGTGATGACACTCAGCTGATTTCAAATACATCTCCACGGCTTTATTCAAATCCCCAGCGTTCTTGTAACAGATGGCAGCACGGTCAAATTCATAGGCAGCCAGATCATATTCCGGCTTGGTTTTGAGTTGCCAGATTGACGTCTTCAGGAGCTTCTCGGCCTTCTGTATGCATTGCTGCGCCTCTTTTATGCGGGAATCATCACTCATCTGAAAAGGAAGGCGTTGTTCTCAGACTCAAGGGGGAAATGAACGCGGAATTTTCGGAGCGCGCAATTTCAATCATCAAAAAAACGATCATCAACGACAATTTGTCGGAACTGAGCTAACATGTTTTATAAACACACACAATAAAAAAATAAAAAAAAAATGCCAAAAATCTTTGAAAAAATGTCATTTGGGGGAGTTTGAAGTTCTTTTTTTACATGTAAGTAAGAAACGACAGCATTTGACAAGAATTTTTTCAATTATCTACGTAGTTGTAGGAGTTAAACTTAAGATTTCAATTTGAAGAGAATCAATCCTCCGTTCCAAAAAAGCAGCCATGGAATGAAGATATTTGAGCAGATAAACAAACGTCAAGTGTGGAAACAGCGACGAAGAAAATGAAAAAAACATTTTATTCGAATAAACTTTCAGCCAGATGAGAATGGCTTCAGAAGAAGAAAGCTGTGGGGAGAGCTTGACTTCAAGGCGACGGAGGGGGACGACGAATGACCGATGGAAAGGTCTGACTTTAGATCTGATATTCGATATGATTGTTCAAGTGTTTTATGCGACGTTGACTTGGAACGACTGACCGTTACAGTAACCACGAGTAATGTGATTCAAATGACTGAATATTTCATGATCGACATAAGCTGACTTTGACTAGTTGAACTTCCGATTGGATGAGAGAACAACCCGCATTGATATTCAAATGTGATAAGCATACGTGCCAATAATATATTGAGGCATCCGATAAGATAGCAGCTGTTCTTGACAGATCGAAATCAATGTAAAAAATACGACATTTAATGGAAGATCATGACAAAAAAGGTTTAATTAACAAACTAATTATTATGTTATTGAAATATGCCCTAAGGGCCTGTTATGAAAATATTTATGAGTAGACGACGCTAAAAGCTGAAAAGTTAGAAGATTGATAATAAACTTGTAGACCATTGACCTGATGTTAGATGACGATAAAGGCCAGGAATTGACAAACTCAACCTGAAAAGGATGCTCACAACCAAGATCATGGACATCAGACCGTCAAGGTGGAGAAACAGACGGAATTTCATGGCTTTCAAGGCTGTTAAGATGGGTGATTTTGTAAATCAATTCGAGATAAGACTCAGACGAGCCGCACTTGTAAAAAAAGTGCCCAAATGATCGAAAATAATAATTAATGTGAATATTTAGTGGACATAATAACAAATAGAAGATGAAGAGTTTGAAAGTGAAAACAAACATAGAATAAAAAAGAGTGATGAGAGATGACGGAGACCTCGGAAGCAAATCCGCAGAAGGGGAACTCGTGAATGTGGAAGGGAAGAGACCTCGAAGGCATTGAGGTCGGCAGACAGACCTCGAGACAACACCTTTACCGTTCCTTGGGCCCTTAGGCGAAGCCAGATCGGACCATGTTGGAGGCTGGCTGACGACGCGCTTGTTCATTATTGATCACCTTCTCCACCATTTGACGACCATTCGCGATGGCGGAGGGGGAGCCAGTCAGACTAAAATATAGGTTGTATGAGAGACAGCACAACATGCAAGCGATCAGACATGATTTCAACTCAAAATCAACACTATTACTTACCTAATAAGTCTGTGCCCTGTAGATGCATTTCCGGTTCCTCTCTTGTGAACCTCGACCTTGCAGCCACTCAATTGTTGGATCTCCACCAATGTCTTTGCCTTGGGACCAAGAACAGCACCAACGATTGCATCAGGCACCTCTAATTCGAGTCGTCCATCTTCATTAACACGCTCCTTGATGACTGTGGCAGCGAAAGATTCGTTTACAGAATTAGACTGCCCAAGGACGTCAATAAGAACACCTCCAGGCTGGTTTAGGCTCTAAAATACTTATATTACTTATGAAAACAAGCTGATTAGAGGAGGAGTTTATCTTAAAGAAGGAACATAAAAATAACACAAGTGCAAGGATAAATTGCAAGCATAAAAAAGTGCAAATGAATAACCGAATAACAGAGAGGATGTTCTTGATCTTCAAACAAAAACCCTTGTGGATAATATAACCAAATAAAGGATGAACACCGGATCACTACACACCGTAAAACAAGGGAATTGAGGAAAGCCAGACTAATAATATTCCTGCTTCACATAATAGGGATCCCATACCTCTGAACGATCATTATCCAAGATCGAGGACAAGCCATTATTCGAAATCATCGACTGAGTCAGATCATAGCGCTGGGGCATCGACTGGCCAGGATTGCTCAAGATCTGATGAGAGGGCTCAGATTGTCTGGACTGAGCCATCGTGGCGACTCCAAGACCCAATCCTAATCCCATGATGTTATAACGAGCCAAGACGTTCATGGCTTGCATTATCTCAGCCACAGCAGACTCTGTGAATCCGGAGGTCCGAAGTGTACCTTGGAGATTGTCGAGGAAGGAGATTACCTAAAGACGAAGATAATAAAACGTCAATCGAACATACCTCGTTGTTGTTCAAGACTGGGACGCCATTATATTTGATCTGCGGAGTGAAGCTCGAGCTCTTGTTGAATCCATTATCCGACACTGCAAAAGAGAGGTAAAAAATTCCCTTCCAACGTACAATATGGTTTGTTATCCTGGAACTCACCAATTGAGGTCTGGGATTGCCAAACGCTCTGAGTGGAACCCCCAAACGAACTGAGGCCACCAAAAGCGGGAGTAGAATCGACTCTTCCAAAAGCGAATGACTGGCTTGATGGATACTGCTCAGTCTTTTGTGCTTCTTGAGCATGAAGAGGATCAGCTGCCACCTTCTCTAAAACCTTCGAGATGGCATCCAAGAGAACCTGATTTTGTTCGGCGCCGACTGTGATAACACGCTCCATCGACTGCTTAGCTTCTTCTGACCCAGCTTTTGGGTACACCTGAATGTTGGCCCCGGTGGATTCGCGGATCTCCTTGATGCTGGCGCCAGACTTTCCGATAACCATACCTGCAGAAGTGTTGGGCACAACAATCTTCATTTCGTTTGGACGATTAAGGCCCTTGAGATCAAAGGGATCAGCTGGGTTGTTTGATTCAATCTTTTCTTGAATCTTCTCAAGGATCACTTTCATAACCATCATACAGGCAGTAACCTTTCCTTTCACGAGGCAAATACGTTCGTTCGTGTCTAAAATTATAAGAAAGGTCAAACAATGACATCAAATTAATTTCTATACCTAAACCTCCAAAAAAGCAATAACAATAAAACGCGAACTTACTGTGGAACATCTCCTGGTTCTTCGACATTTGAACTCGGCAGCCTGAGTCGGTCTTCAGCTGACGCATAGCCTCGCCACCTTTTCCAATCAAAGCTCCAACCGCTCCAGCAGGAATCAAGACTTTTACTTGAACTAAAAGAAAAACATGCCATCAAACAATCAGTGAGACTTACCTTCTGGATCGCCTGTATTCGGTTTCTTCGAGGCTGGGCCACTTCCATTTTCGGAGTTAGATCTCTTTTGGCCAACAACGACCGCTGGGGTCTCGAAATCGGTCTCAGTTTTGGGCTCAGACATGTTTGGACTCTCCTGAACGAGGTAAATGATATAAATGAGATGTAAATAAATGAACAACACGATCTAAAGCTCGAACAGACTCGGCAGAAAAACTTGGGAGAACAAAATTCTGTTTTCGGCAAAATCGATTCGACGCTGAGTCCAATAAACTTGGTCCCATGGCGCTCCACAGTAGTTATTGGCATTGTGCGTCAGATTTGAATTCTCTGCTTTCGCGCCAAATGTAAAACCATGTTTTGTTTGGCAAGAAACACAGGCCGTTGACCGCGTATACGCATTATTTTTGAGGAAATTGTAAAATAACCGACAAAGTGTCGGTAGAATTATTTGCGTATGAACAAACAAGCTGAAACTTTAGCTTTATCAAGTGATTTAAAGAGTTGGAATTATCCATAATTTGAGGAGTTTGAAGAAAAGGAAAGCAAAATTATTATTTGTGAATATAGATGGGCCAGATTAGAAATTATTTACTAGACTTTCCAAGCCATAGCATGCCTTGTACACCTGCAACAGCTTCCATTTAGAAACACGGAATCCTCAATCCTTTGTGCTTCGGGCGCAGCTTGCGCAAACGTTCTCTTGACGAGATCGCGGCGAAAGAGAAATTCTGACAAGAATTTGTTTTTTCGAGGAAAATCGGATAAACAGAAGAAACGTAGAAGAAAAAGAACGCTTTGTTTCGTTTTTGTATCAGCTGGGTGCTGTGCGTTGCCAGTTCGGACGTGGTTGTAAATGTCTTGAGGGTATGCGCATAACCTTAACCTGAAACAAGGTGTGCCGACAGTGTTGGATTCACTATACATGTTTTGAGATTGTTGATTCTATGAACTAATATTTTTTATTTTGACATTGCGAGTCATTTGCCTAAATTTCTCGTGAATTTGTGTACTTCTTCGTTTTTATTGCATTTCTCATTTTAGAAGTCGGTGTAGATGGAAGTCTACCGACAAAGTAACTATTGGTGGCACGATTCGCCCACCCATTCATGTGGCATTCCATTGGTGGAGACGCAGCCCGGCGATGGAGGTCCTCCTCCGTGCTACGCTGAGTTCCTCAACGAGTTGAATGCTCACCGTGTAGATAGTTTTGTAAGTGCTTTCTTTGTATTTAGGACTGATTGTTTTTCGTTGTTTTTCCATAAATAATATGTTTTTTAGTCCCCAGACATGTCTCATTTATCGAAGAGATTCAAAAAAGATGTAGATATCGATAAATCGACTGATTCTGTGGAAAATGCGCGCACGTCTCCATTTTCTTCCAGCTCCAAGGAAGGTCCTAGAACCCCGGTTAGAAAGTACGCTTCGTTTTATTTTCTTTTTGTTGGATTTTAGGTATCATCGATCTAATATGTTATTTTAGAACTCGTCAGTCAACCGTCCCTCGAAAACTTCTTCGTTCTCCATCTCCGGAGGAGATTTCTAACACCAGGCTGAATGATTCTTTGGACGAGGAAGACTTCGACATGGCTGTGGCTAGTCAGGCCATCGAACAAGCTATTAGAACCCAACGGGCTGAACGAAGTCAGATAAAGCCACCGGTGGCCTCGGTCAGTCGAGTTCAGTCCAGTACCACGGTCAAAAAGACTCATGTCTTTGCTAAACCTCAGATCCCGATTGTGATTCAAAGAACTCAAAGTTTTCAACGAACCCAGACTACGCAAAGAGAGGAGATTTTCGACCACCAGAAGGGACATCAGAATACGAAGCAGCAACTCAAGCAGGCCCCCGTAAAGCCTCAACCTGTTCCGAAACAAGTTATGGCCCCACCAACCCGGGTTCCACCTCCCCGACCTCAACCAGCAGTTGTTATTCAAAGACCCAGTCAAATTGTTGTTCCAATGAGACCAGTGACCCGCCTTCAAGCCAGAACCTCAGCTCAGGGTATTGCCAACCAAGCTCAACCTCAAACGAACCAACCGGTAAATCGCCCATCCGTCTCTAATCAAGCTCAAAAGCGGCCAATTGTCCAAAGAAAGACGATCTCAGTTGTCCCTCGCTTCTCGCAAAATCCGGTACGAAAGACCAATTCAATGGATCCAGTCCAGCCAAAAGCGAACACGAAGAAGACTCCTCTCAGAGACAACAAAACTATGGAGAGAACAAAGAGTGTCGAAGTGGAAGACGACTTCTACGACGATTCCTGGATTCAGGGAGTTGAAATACCTAAGTTTAAATAAGGTTATGTTATGTACAATACATATTGGTCATTTTATATCGCTGCATGTTAAACGTAGGTACGGTCTGTTGTTCCCCTTTACCGTCTTATCCATATTGCCCTCTTTATTTGCAGAGTTGGCCTGAAATTTCTCTAATTGTATTTAGAATGAATTCATCGTTGATTTACTAAATACAATGTCTTTGTGTGGTTAAATATTTTTTTGTATTTAGTGTTACTTTTGACCCACGTATTCCCAGTAAATCTCTGTTAGCTAAGCATGCGTTCTCCCCGTTTCTTCTCGTCGATTTTGCCCGTTCTCCCAGAATTAGCTGTTATGGATAATATAATTTGATTGCAGACCTACCTTTTCTTCAAATTCGGGTTATTTTTTGAGTAAATAAAGGTTCAATTGTTTGAAAGAATCGGAAAAATAAATGGTTGAATTCCAAAGAATTCTTTGTTCTTCGATGAGATTTGTATAACGGAGAAGGTTCAGATGCGATGAATATTCCCAGCTTGACACCGACAGAGTTTCCAGTGTCTTATTTGATATCCGAAGTGATCAGTTATCTCAAGAACCAGGATAAGGTGCAGGAAGAGCTGAGGAATGAATGGGTTCGGAAGATCGAAAAGAATGGAGTCGGGAATTTGGATGAAAACATGAAAGCACTCAGTGAAAAGGTGTTTGCCCAGGCAAGAAATGATACTATTGACCTTTGTGCATTGTGTTTTAGGGGTTAATGAAACGGAAGGATTGATTTTGACATTGTTTTAGGGCAATGTTGAGACCAGATTGGAGCACATGGGCTACAGAGTTGGCTACTCGCTTGCCGAGCGATTGTCCAAGGATCTCCCAAGACTGCCCGGGGAATTGGAGAGTGTTAAATTTATTTGTAAGGAATTCTGGACGAATGTCTTTGGTAAACAAGTGGATAATTTGAGAACCAATCATCAGGCAAGTGTAATGTAAATTTTGAGTCGAACTTTCATCTTTCAGGGTACGTATGTCATCCAAGACAACAAATTCCCTTTTCTGACCTCATTCTCGGAGGGACAGCAGTACCTAAACGAAGCCATCCTTTACCTAGCCTTGCCTGCAGGCATTCTTCGAGGAGCTCTGAGCAATCTTGGAATCGAAACTTCAGTGGTTGGATCCTCAGACGCCCTTCCGATTGCCAGGTTTAATGTGACTGTACAACAAGTTGAAGAGGAGAAGAACGAGGTTCAACCGCTTCTGTGATAATTCATCGGTGTATTGGATAAAGAGTGGAGGCTGACATAATTTTATTTTTTAATGAATATTTATGAAAATTTTTGTGTGGGGTTCTGATATTTTTTGGATGCTTTCCAGGCCGATTTGCCATTTTTCGGGTTTTTGTTTCTGCACAGTGCACTCGTCGGAGGATTTTTTTGGCTAACTCGCAACTTCCTCACTTAGGAAGTGCACTTACAGGGTATCTTTTAACCATTCCACTCACAGGCTGCTTTACAAATACCGTACCGAGCGGAGAGTGATGTTCTCCCGAACAAACAAGATGATCGATCCCCCTAATCCCGTTGTTGGGTACTCAAACTCCTTATCCCTGGTTTTTAACATCCTCAATCCGATTTACCCGAGGGATTAGGCCTGGAGGGAATCCTTGATAATCGCTAATTAATACTATATATACTTGGATGACATTTGGCAAGTGTACACATCCCTTGCAAATGCCACGCTTTTTGTTTTTTGTCATTTTTTCCGTTCCTTTCGAAATGAATGGCATTACTTTTTAAGACGATGAACTAGGATTACCCCCGACAAATCTTTGAGCCTGTCTTAATTCCTCTGTTGTTTGTAAAAGGTTCGGGATTTGTTCGACTTGTACATAACAACGCTTAACAAGTAGATTACTGGGGCCGGTTGTATACTGGTCGCCAAAATTTTCTTTCCACCTGGATCTCGGGAACTGCTGGGCCTAGAACCTTGAAATTGGACACAGAAACACTGTGGGACGGTCTAACACCATATCCAAAAAATCGATCAAATGATCAATGATATGATTTTTTCAAATGATACGATTTTTTGGGTATGGTGTTAGATTGTCCCAGGATTTTTCTATTCCGAATTTGGAGGTTCTAGGCCCAGCGGTTCCCGAGATTCCCGAGATACGAGGTGGAAAGAAATTTTTGTCAACCAGTATACGTAGATGCTGTACAGCATTAGGTCAGAATGAGCAACAGGGAAGACTAATAACTTCTACACGGGCTCCTTCAGAGAGTCCGTAAGAACTTATTGGTCTGAAAGGATATATTGTAACTACGGGAACTCCTGTAGATCGACGTGATTTTTGTTCCTTGGCAAGGTCAGTACGGGGGCTTCCGTGAATGTGGCCCCATCATATTTGGTGGACAAGAAACGGGATGCCTCAACTTCAATTTGATATAAATTTTATAAAAAATGTTGCATTATTGGTGGAGAAATACGTGAAACAAGGTTGTGAGCTCCGGCTGAACCACACATTAAACATTAGTACATTCCAAGTTTGCTCTCTTGTTTCTTTCAACATTTCTTCAATCCAGTGAATTATACACATATATAAATTATGAGTAATCAAGTCTTCAAAGATTAATCCAGGTTGGACTTTCACTCCCCCAGCTGATATCTACATATTTAGAATTAGTCAGTTTTTTATTTTAATTAATCCAATCAATTTGTGGGATATGACAACTGCAACGGAAGATTATGGAATCTGGGATTGGATGGATGATACAGCGCGTAGGATTTCCATTTTTCAGATTCCTTCGAATTATGATTAAATTTTGATTTGTGCTTTGGGAATATGTGGCTGATTGGACCAATTAGAGGCCTAATCAACGAGTCTGGTCAGAGACAAAGATATACGGGCCCTTTATACAGGGCGTCTATATGTCTGTAATTCCAGACAAATACGGAATAATCTGATTCCCTTCCAAAAACCAAATAAAGCTATTACTTAGAGCTACGTGATATCCAAATTTCATATTTATACTTCAAAAAATGAACTCAGTAGACACCTAGTAGATCGTAGTATTCAACTTTTTTGACGTTTTTTTCTGAAAAACGTTATTATTTCAGTCAATTTTTAACATAATGGGATAAAATTGGTACCAGTCGATAGCCAAACGTTTACTCTACAAAACTTTTTTAGAGGGGCGGTTTACTTCAAAAAATGAACTCGGTAGACACCTAGTAGATCACAGTATTTACGCTTTTTTTACGTTTTTTCGAAAAAAACCTTTGTTTTTCACTCAGTCTTTAACATAATGGGACAAAATTAGTACCAGTCGATAGCCAAACGTTTACTCTACAAAACTTTTTTAGAGGGGCGGTTTACTTCAAAAAATGAACTCGGTAGACACCTAGTAGATCACAGTATTTACGCTTTTTTTACGTTTTTTCGGGAAAAACCTTTGTTTTTCACTCAGTCTTTAACATAATGGGATAAAATTAGTACCAGTCGATAGCCCAACGTTTAATCTATAAAAAATTTTTAGAGGGGCGGCTTCTTTTGCCCTGTGGCCTGCGAAACGTCTATGTTTACTGTCATGAACCACCGTTTTTGACACAAAAAACCATCGCGTTTCGAGGGCGCTTTTCCTCTCTTTTGGTTTTTTCGGAAACGATCGAAGGACTTTTTACGCAAATAGAAGACATCGTCTCACGAAATTGAACGTTTCGCAGGCCACAGGGCAAAAGAAGCCGCCCCTCTAAAAATTTTTTATAAATTAGACGTTGGGCTATCGACTGGTACTAATTTTGTCCCATTATGTTAAAGACTGAGTGAAAAACAAAGGTTTTTTTCGAAAAAACGTAAAAAAAGCGTAAATACTGTGATCTACTAGGTGTCTACCGAGTTCATTTTTTGAAGCAAACCGCCCCTCTAAAAAAGTTTTGTAGAGTAAACGTTTGGCTATCGACTGGTACCAATTTTATCCCATTATGTTAAAAATTGACTGAAATAATAACGTTTTTCAGAAAAAAACGTCAAAAAAGTTGAATACTACGATCTACTAGGTGTCTACTGAGTTCATTTTTTGAAGTATAAATATGAAATTTGGATATCACGTAGCTCTAAGGAATAGCTTTATTTGGTTTTTGGAAGGGTGATTCTACGACCACCGGGAGCCGAGTTATCCACTGATTACTGCTGAGAACCCCCCGTTTTGGACGTAAAAAGTCACTCCGATAAATGCGCCGCTCTATAGATGGTCTCTACTAATCTGTCGCGACTCTCTCGCTTCGAAACGTGTTTTGGGTGTTCTCTCGCTTTCCCTTTCGTTTATTTTATTTATTTTTCGTTGATGAAACAGGCCCCTGATTCCTACTGTACGGCTAATCGGGAATCCAATTTAGTAAAATTATTAAAATGCGGGTTACGGTGGGTTGTAAGAACTGCAGAGACGCAGGGCAGTCTTTTGAAGTTACAGTCGGGGACCTGATCCAGTGGCAAAAAACGTACAATTTTGCATCCGGGAAGTATCAAAAATGTGGCAAAATGCTTCCCTCTCCAAGCGAAAAAAAACTCCGATTTCAAAAGTGCGCCCGCTTTTTTTGTGAGGGAAAGGGTGCTCTTCAAAACAAAGTTCTTTCACTTGGAGAAGGAAGCATTTTGCCACATTTTTGATGCTTCCCGGATGCAAAATGGTACGTTTTTTGCCATTGGATCATGTCCGTCACTGTAGATCAGGACTACTGGACGAGGTAAAAAATGAAAAAATGATTGTTTGCTGATCAAGAACGGGGCAAGCAAGACATCGTAAGGCTATTTTTTTAACATGCCTAAGTTGTCATATCAAATTCAACATAAAATTTTGTACAATTTCTGATAACTTTAAGGTTAATCACAGTAAATTCCAGCCTAAAGTGCACTTCAAACCTTCCTAGATTAGTTATGTGGTCAGGACCCAGCAGCTTAACCATTCTGTGGATTTATAATTTAGGATAATCTAATGGCCCGGGGATTTAAAGTTTTGTGTTCTTCACACTCTAAACAGGGTATTATTGTTATTCTGGAATTGGAACCCAGTAATGTTTATCGAGATTAACTATATTGAAGGTATTAAGATCATAATTTGAGTAACGTATAGTAAGTATTAGTCAAGCAATTATGTGGGGGAAATCCGAGAAGATCTTGAAAAAAAGTCACGAGAGAGAGAGAGTATAAGTACAATGTGGGTTTGGGTTATACATAATTTGAGTTGTGAAAGAACCAAATTATTTGAGGTTTAGTTATTTCTGCATTTAATCCCTGGAATTTGACTGCTAATTCATTAATTGCAGTTGATTAGCGGATTATGATGCGGATACGTTGAATCAGCACCTAAGACGTTACTAATTGGAAACTAATTCATTTATATAATTGAGATGCAAGAACAATGGCCGTAAGCTAAGCTGAAACCCCATGAAGTCCACTCATTTACTCGGGTTGACGTGCTCTAGTGTTGGGTTGAATGATCGTGAGATAAAGATGAAAAGTCCCGCTCATCCATTCAACTTTTGTCGTCAAACAAAAGGTTACGTAGTTCTCGAAAAGTGAGTTCACGATTTTTGGCGGATTTAACAATTGTAAGGAAAGTTTAAGATTCAAAAAACTGAAGGCTTGCGATGAATCTTTTGGCTTGAATGAACTTTTTCAAGTACAGATGGCCACAGTATGCGATTAGTTCTAAATTTTTCTCCATTTACTTCTGAAAATCAACGTTTATCCACAAAAAATCTCGACAAGGAAATACAAGCCCGTTCGGATAGTTGTTGTAATGATTTCGGTGGGATGCACCGTGAAAAAAATTGATTTTGTTCCGTGCAAATCACGCTTTTGGGCTGTCGCTCGCACCCTGATTTTTCCACAGTGCAAACGCCAAAAAATCGAAAATCAGCGCGTTGACTTTGGTACGGTCTATTACAGGAGACTTAACGAAGTAAACCAAAGGGGTGGGATAAGAAACGTTGTTAATTCTTTCTGCCAAGGAATGTACGTAGTTGATCTTTGTGTATTTTTATACTCCGTTGTTCTTCGTTGCGCCTTCAATCTTCGGACTCTTGGAAAGAGGACTTATTTCTTTCTCTTAACACGTGCTTCTTGGTTGTCTAATCTGTCCTTTTCTAAGATTAGATCTTGCTACCGTAACTCACTGAAACGAGGGATTGCAAATATAGTACCCCAAAGTATTTGAAGTATTTTTAATTTCCCGAAGTATTCAGTAATACAGTCTCCCCAGCCT